CATAGGTTAAAAATAAAAGGATAAAAAAAATTACACCATATACGTTAGTTTCCCAGGGCTGCTGTAACATCCCACAAACCAAGTGGTTTAAAATAACAGAAATTTAAGGGGCTGGGCTGGTGGTGCAGCGGTTAAGTGTGCACCTTCTGCTTTGGCGGCCCAGGGTTCACCGGTTTGGATCCTGGGTGTGGACATGGCACTGCTTGGCAAAAGCCATGCTGTGGCAGGTGTCCCACGTACAAAGAAGAGGAAGATAGGCACGTATGTTAGCTCAGGGCCAGTCTTCCCCAGCGAAAAGAGGAGGATTGGCAGTAGATGTTAGCTCAGGGCTAATCTTCCTCTCACACACACGCACAAAACAAAATCATAAATTTATTCTCTCAAAGTTTTGAGGCTAGACCTCTGAAATTAAGGTGTCAGCAGCTTCATTTCTTCTTGATATTCTGAGGGAGAATCCATTTCCTGCCCTGTCCTAGGTTCTGGTGGTTGCCAGCGATCCCTGACATTTCTTGGCCTGTAGACCCACACTCCCATCTCTGTCTCCACCTTCACATGGCATCCTCCTCTCTGCGTTTGTGTGTGTCCAAATTTCCCTCTTCTCGTGGGACATCAGCCACTGGATTGGGCCCACTCTAATCCAATATCATCTCATTTAAACTTGATCATGTCTGCAAAGAGCCTATTTCCAAATGAGGTCACATTCACAGGTGCCAGGGGTTGGGACAAGAACTTGTCTTTTGAGGGGACACAAATCAACCCACAACACCAGGTAAACACTCATCAAAAGAAAGCTGGAGGATAGCTGTACCAGTATCAGACAAAGCAGACTCCAGGACCTGGAGATATCACCAGGAATAAAAAGGAATATTTGAAATGCTAAGGGGCCCGGTTCACCAAAAAGACAAAGCAATCCTAAACGTGTACGCCCCTGTTACAGAACTTCAAAGCACATGAAAGAAGTGATAAAACTAAGAGACAAAGCCATCATTAGAACGGAAGATTCCAACATTGCCCTCTCAGCAACTCATAGGAGAAGCGGACAGAAAATCAGTGAGGTTTTAGAAAACGTGAACAAAACTATCACCCCACTTGACCCAACTGGCATTTATCGAATACTTCACCCAATACCAGCAGGACACTTTGCAAGTACGCGAGGAACATTCTCCAAGATGCAGCACATTCTTGGCCGTTAAAACAAATCTCAACACATTTTAAAAAGGACTGAAATCATATAAAGTATTATGTTCTCTGGCCACAACATAAATCAAACTAGAAATAATTTTGGAAGCCTATCTGGAAAATCCCCAAGCATTTGCAAATTAACATTTCTAAAGAATCCATGGGTCCGAGAAGAAATCATAAGGGAAATTAGAACATATTTGCAACAGAAAACACAATATGTTATAATTTGTATGATGTAGCCAAAGCAGTGTGTAGAGGGAAATTTATAGCCTTAAATTCAGGTGGTGTCGTCCTGCTCCCTCCATTACATGGTTCCTATCAACCTCTCACCTGGTAGTTTCAGGACCACTGCTTGGAACCTTATTTCATAAGAGTTGCAAAATGTTGCCTGTCCAACTTTATTGATCCTTCTGCATTTATTAGCCAGAATTCTTCGATAAAGAACAAAAATCCCTCATCAACTATTTGGTTACCTTGAAATATAACATCAAATAAGAAAGGCAAGGGCCGGCCCAGTGGCGCAGCAGTTAAGTTCGCACATTGCACTTCTCAGCAGCCCAGGGTTTGCCGGTTCGGATCCCGGGTGTGGACATGGCACTGCTTGTCAAGCCATGCTGTGGTAGGCGTCCCACATATGAAGTAGAGGAAGATGGGCACGGATGTTAGCTCAGGGCCAGTCTTCCTCAGCAAAAAGAGGATTGGCAGTAGTTAGCTCAGGGCTAATCTTCCTCAAAAAGAAAAAAGAAAAGAAAGGCAAGATTACTTATTTGTTGCTAGAGTCTTTTGTCTTTAGAATAATGACATAATTTCCCAGCAACAATCACCTGTGATCAACAAGGTTTCTTTTTTTAGTAGGATTATGAACAAATGGATTTAAACATACTTTATGTCAACCATATGCAGTTTTTTATTCTTTTTGAGGCTCATGGTTCCAGTGGTTGGGGGGCTCTTGAAGCTGGTTCCGGAGTCCTTTCGATCCCTCTCAATAGTTTATTACAAAAATTTTCAAACATACAGAAAAGTTGAGAGAATTTTACACTGAACAGTTACAAACCTACCACCTAGAATCTATAATTAACATTTTTCTTTGGCCAACACCATCAGTACCACTTTTTTTTTTAAAGATTTTATTTTTCCTTTTCCTCTCCAAAGCCCCCCTGGCACACAGCCGTGTACTCTCAGTTGTGGGTCCCTCCAGTTGTGGCACGCGGGACGCTGCCACAGGTGCCATGTCCACGCTCAGGATTCGACACAGAGAAACCCTGGGCCGCTGAAGCGGAGCGCGCAAACCCAACCACTCGGCCACGGGGCCAGCCCCACCATCAGTGCTACTCACCTTCACCAAACACTCTTTTCAGTTTAAAGTGTATCCTCCTAGGCCTTTTTCTATGGATTTTATCTATTTACCTATTGCATTAATCAGCTTGAGCCACCATAACAAAATACTGCAGACCGGGCAGCTTAACCAATGGAAATTTACTTCTCACAGTTCTGGAGGCTGGAAGTTTGAGATCAAGGTGTGGGCAGGTTTAGCTTCTCCTGAGGCCTCTCTCAAGACATGGGCTAAGGCTGCATCCATCTGAAGGCTTGACTGGGGCTGGAGGATCCATTTCCATTTCACATGTCCGGCAACGTGGTGCTGATGCTGACTGGGAGCTCATTTCCTCCACACGGGGGCCCCTCCATAGACAGCTTGAGTGTCCTCAGGACCTGCTGGCTAGCTTCTTTCAGAGACAGTGACGCGAGAGAGTATGAACCAGGTGGAAGCTTATCATTTCTAGGACCTAGACTTGGAAGGCACATAGCATCATTCCTGCCACATGCTATTCATGAGAAGCAAGTGACTAAGTCCACCCACACTTCAGAGGAGCAGGGTTTGGCTTCCCCCTTTGAGAGGAGGAGTGTCAAAGAATTTATGACCCCATCCAAACTCACTTTTACACTCACTTCTGTGACGCTTTGATTCCTGAATGTTGCCCCTGTTCACTGTAATTCTTAGATGGCAAGAATCTTACATTCTTTACTCACAATTGTATCCCCAACACAGAGCGCCTCCCACTTAGGCATTTACACAATTTGAGTATCAGTGGCAGCATTTCTCCAACTTGTGAGGATAATGGAATTGCCAATGTCTTGGTGCTACTACCCCTATAACGCTAGGAGATACATTTTGAAAATACACTTTTTTTTTTTTGCATCATGAGCTCGTTCACAATTTTACCTGCATTAAAGGATATGACAATTTTCCCCTCACTGGGAAACAGTAATCAGTGGCTACTCTGTGCAACATATGCAGGCCACAGAAGTCTTTCCTAAGAAACATGCAGCTGCCCGAGGAAGGTCAGCTGTTTTCCAGCTTTTCTGTGAATATTTGCTTCCTGTTCATCGATTTGTCACCTTCAGCACTTTCTGGAAGAGAAGGGCTGGCAGAGCGCAATGATCTATGAACACTGCAGATGAAACTAGAAATTAGGAGGATAACTTCGACTTCTAGGAGAAATCGTTTTGTCTTGGTGAAGCCAGTCCACAGGCCACGCACATAAAACGAGTTACCCCTCATTTTACAGATGGGGAAACTGAGGCAGAGGGCTCAAGTGACCTGCCCAATGTTACAGGACTGAAAGTAATTCAAACCTAGTACTAAAGCCACCTAAGAACCTAGGGTCTTTTTCTTTCTTTCTCTCAATTGCGGTAAAATCCACACAACATTAAACTTACCAGGTTAGCCGTTTTTCAGCGTGCAGCGCAGAGGCATTAACCCGTTCACATTGTTGCGCACCGTGTCCACCATCCATCTCCAGAATTTGTTCATCTTCCCCAAAAGAAACTCTGCATCCATTCAACACTAACTCCTTATACCCCTCTCCCAGAACTACTCGGTTCTATTTTAGGATTACTAAAACATTCACAATCAACGGCTGCCCTCGAGCACCGGAATAAACCAAAATGCAAGTCAGGAACACAGAATACCCTTCCCCGGGCGGACCACGCCGCCCGCTCCAGCGCCGGGCCCGCCCCCCGCGGCAGGCCCCGCCCCCGCGGCAAGCCCCGCCCCCTACCCCACGTGACCTGCGCTCGCTCGAGCGTCCGCGCGCAGAGGCCTCCGAGGGCTGAACCACGGTGACCATCTGAATGGGGGAGGCGGAATTAGAGCCGCTGCGGTGGGCTTAGGCGTAAGCGATTAAAGCAGCTCTCCTTCGTTTTTGTATTGCGCCATGCAGTCGTCTTCCTAGTGGTGTTGTCCATCTCCGGCTCAAAGTCCGGGATTTCTTTTTATATTTTGGAATCGTCCATCCTTTTGACCAGTCAGTGGAGGAGTCTAAACACCGACACGTGAAGGGGGGACCTAGTAATGTAAGCTAAACTATTTCTCGGGTGAGAGGCTGAGATATCACAACCAAATAGTTGGTTGAACTTACAGTTTCCTCCAGTATTAATTTTTGAGTTAGATATTTTCATTCAGTCCTGTATACCAAGACGACTTCTGCTCCCTCCCTACGGCGTCACAAGTAGTTTAGTCCTTCGCCGCAGCGCCCGACGGGAGAAGGAGGGGGCCTGGCTGCCATGTTGGACGGAACCATCCGCTCCCATAAATGGGGGAGCTCGAGCTCCCCTTGAGTTTGTAGATTGACCGGAGGAGCTTTGGTGATTAGAGTTGAGCACGTGCTAGTCACAGGAGCCTTATCGCAGTCGCCGGTGGATACACTGCTGCCCTTTGGTCCCTCCGGCCTCTCTGTGAGGCGTCAGGGCGTGGGCGCCCCCCTGCTCCGAGCCTGGTGGGGCGCCCCGCGCACGCACATGGCCCGCGGTCGGCGCGCGGTGCGGCCTGGGAGAGTCGGAAGCGCGGCGCGGCGGGGCGAGGCGGTAGCAGCGGGCCATGCAGGACGCGGAGAACGTGGCGGCGCCCGAGGCGGCCGAGCAGCGGGCTGAGCCCGGGCAGCAGCAGGAGCAGCAGCCGGCCGCCGAGCCGCCGCCGGGGGAGGAGCCGCCGCGACCCGGGGGACCTGGCGCGCAGGAGGCGGCGAGCGGCGAGGACGCGGCTGCGGAGGTCGAGGCCGGGCCGGGGCCTGACGTGCCTGCCGAGCCCGCGGCCGGCCGGGAGGAAGCGGCCGGCGCCGCCCCCGGGTCGTCCCCGCCGCCGCCCGAGGAGTCCCTCGCTCCCGTCCCGGCCGCGGGCGAGGCCCTGGGGGAGCAGGCCCGGGACGCGGCGGCCGAGGCTCGGTCCGAGGGGGCGGGCGAGCAGCCCGGCGGCGCGGCGGAGGACGGCGGCGCGGACGAGCCTTCCTTCAGCGACCCCGAGGACTTCGTGGACGACGTGAGCGAGGAAGGTGAGGCGGCGGGGCTGTCTGCGCGGAGCTTCCCGAGGCCCCGAACGCGGGAGGGCTCACCGTGCGCCCTGGAAGCCGGCAGGGGGGTCCCCCTTGGAAGTCAGCAGGGAGGTCCCCATCCTGCACGTAGGGAAGGTGCCCTGTGAGAGCTTGGACCTGCTTTCCTTTCACTTGTCGCCAAAAAATAAAAAGGGTGGGCGGACGGGACAGAGATGACTTGGGGAGCCAGTTATTTGCACTCCAGCCAGGAATTTGGAGGATGGCGTCGGCGTGCACGCGGGAGCTGTGGCCGTGGGGGCAGTGGTGTGGTTATTAGGGTCGAGCAAACAGGACCCTCCAGTGCTGCACGGTCTTGGGTGACAGTTTCCCTTCTGGATGCCCCGAGTGTCCAGCCACACCTGTCAGAGGCCTGAAACTGACTCAGTACCTACTTCTTAGGGGTAGATGGGGCGCTGTCCCTCGGAACAGGTTGTGGCAGAGCTGGATCCTTTGCCCCTGACCCACAGAAGTGTCTACTTCTAGAGAATTTCTTAGTAGGATAATGCTAGGTCGACTCTGCCAGCCACCTGTTGGGTTCTCTGTTTTCCTGAGTCTGCAGGCAGACCCTCATCCTTTTGCTGGCAGGTAGTTTTCTCAGGTTTTGGTGGTGTTGATTCTAGCTCGCTTTGCCTTCCTTTCTGCCTTGATTCAGTTTACAGGCTTTGTTTTTGCTTTCTGCTTGAGAAAGCCTGTCTCCTAAAGTGACTTCTAGTGACGGCTACTCTCATTTGTTTTTATTTTGTTTTTAGCTGTTCGAACTCTCCAAGCTGGGAGCACATCAGTGGATTCCTCCATGTAGTGACTATGTGATAGTAAAATGAGGAAAGTAAATGAAACATTAATGAAGTGACCAATAATACACCGAGAAAATAAGATATTATGTTAAGATGTAAAGTTTTTTTGAGATACTGTGTCCGAGCATCCTGAGGTTCAGTCAGAATCCTGAAGACTCTCAAGTAAAATGAAAAAGAAAATTTAGGGAACCAACATAGAGTTCTCAACTTTTAATTGAAACATAATTTTAAGGAGCTGCCCGTTACTGTCACTATTATTGTACGTTATTTCATAAGATAAAAGACACTTTAGCATGAAAAGCAGGAAAGGCTCCACAGCTAGTGACCGCTTGAGAGCCGTGGAGTCAAAGCCCCTCGCCCGGGAGGGAGGAAATGTGTTTTTGCGGCGAGGAGGTAGGTTGCTGAGAATTTGCAGGGAGGTGGTATCGCTGGCACACCCCCGTTCCCACCCTCCTGCCCAGTCCACTGTTCTTTTTTACGGCAACAATTTTTCTTATATTTTAAAATCTAAACTTTGATTTTAAAGCCTATTTTGAGCCTTTGATTATTTACTCTGCAATCGACTTTTTTAAAGCATCATTTGAGCACACCTAATTCACACAAGATTGGTAGCACGTGAATTGTTTCCAGAATTGAAGTGTATGACAGTCAGAGGATGCCGACGTGAGCGCAGGCCAGCCGGGCCAGGTGACTGCTGGAAGGGTCTTTGGGAGCCCTTGTGATCCTGATATTTTTGCCAGAATGACCTGCGAAGCTCCTGGCCCTGAGGGACTAAAACTCAGCAGGCCAGCAGTCAGTGTTCTTGAGGCCCCTTGGTTGCGGTCAGTAGCTCACGTACAGTGTGCGTTTCATGAGAACTGCCCTGTGGGGGTCAGAGCGTCGCACAAGGTACAGCTTCTTTTGAAAATGGACTGAGTCTCGTGAAGAGCTCTCTCTGGGCACGACATAAGCCCCACGCATCCTCTTGCCTCCTTTTTCTTTGAATCAGATCGGCACCGTCCCACAGTTGCATCTTAATTACAATCATCTTTTCAGTGTAATTCTTCAACTGCCTTTGGAGGTCGGTCAAACTGATTTATGATAAAGGTCGTGCCTCTAAATGTCTTCTCTTTGGGCTCGTTAAGTGTCATGTATCTTTATGTTTGCTATTTAGTTTTGAGAATCACTTCTTTCTGTTTCTCCTGGAGCCTGATTGGGAATCCACAAGCCAAGAGTGACCAGGTGCGAGGGCTGGTGATGATGAAGGAACTGTGTTTTTTCGTTGCGTAGTTACTACATGTACTCCCTTACTGTGGATGGGCAGATTCTTATAAACTAGACACTTTCAGGTTATGGGAAGAGTCCACAGTTTGTATAAAAGCTGAACTTTTTATTGGAAACCTTGTAAATTCAGATCAGGCTTAACAGGCCATTTAATTGTATGGTGAGTGAGCTTTAAAATAACCCAAGGATTTCACTCCAGTGTCGGTAGGGAAGATGTCTCCTGTTAGTGTGACTCTAATGTACCTTTTCGCTTCTTTTTCCCTCTTCTGGGTGTCAGTTTTAGCTTCTTTGAAATTTAAGTAGTAATTTATTTATTAAGGTAATATTTCCAATATCATTCATAAAAGTGTTGAGTTTAATTAGAAATAGTTGATAACAGGGCCTGCCTCTTGAAATTAAAGGACTTTTTCTCCTTTTTGAAAGACCTTTTTAACTTTTCTTTTTTTTCTTGAGGAAGATCAGCCCTGAGCTAACTTCTGCCAATCCTCCTCTTTTTGCTGAGGAAGACTGGCCCTGAGCTAACATCCATGCCCATCTTCCTCTACTTTATATGTGGGACGCCTGCCACAGCATGGCTTGGTGAGCGGTGCCATGTCCACACCCGGGATCCGAACCGGCGAACCCTGGGCCGCCAAGAAGCGGAACGTGCGCACTTAACTGCTGTGCCACCGGGCTGGCCCGTTAACTTTTTTTATGGCAAATTTCAAACAAAAGTGGAGAAAATTCATGTTAACTTTTGAAAAGGAAATGCAGAGAATATTTTGTGACACGTGTCCTGTTTAGCTTGTTGAAATTCTTAAGAGCATAATACAAAAATTGGAGTGATAATTAGGTTCCAAAATGCATAGATACATGAGTAACAAGCCATTATCTTCAGCTGTTGTTTAAAAATTACCTTGTGCTTTCGTTCTGGCTGTATTTACTGGTGTCCTTTCATCAGGACTGTGCTTTGATGGCAGCTTTGAAAGGTGTCTTTCTGTTCCAGCTCCTGACCCAGTGCCTTGTAATGTTACAGCTTTCCAGACAAGCTAATTGGGTTTAGAATTCGTACAGAATTTATATTAGGGTGGTAGCATTTGCTTTGTTTCATCTGATACTCCTCTTAACCTCCAAATGTGCATCTCGAGCCAGTCAGGCGTTTCTGTTGCTGCTGGAGGGTTATGGTGCCGAGGACTCTAGGCCTGAGACAGCGCAGGTAAGATGGCAGAGGGCAGCGCCTGGGTGGCGTCGGACCGCCCGCGCAGACCAGTGGGCCTCCAGTCCGCGTCTGGGATCTGTTCGCCTTGGCTCCTCTCATGATTCTATTTGCTCGTCCTTTTTACACCTGTCTTGTCTTCTCTTTTTCTTACTGAAACTGGCCATGTTAGGGAAAGGAAGCAGTCCTAAGAAGTTTGAGTGCTTCTATGCTCTTAGATTTGGGTTCTCTGCTCTTGATTTTAAAAGCAGGTGACGTGAACATAGTCCATCTTGAGTTTTGAGTGTGGTTAGGGACAGATGAGTTAACCCGTGGCTTACTGCGTTCAAGCACTGTCCTCAGCCCTTCTGAGTGGGGTGTCTGTAGAGGGCTGGGGTCTGCAACAACCCTGGGAGGCGGTTCACGGAGTCGTGAGGCTGTGACGCGCCATCGTTGGTGTGCTCTCATGAGGTCGTGTGTTCTCTAGTCTCCTCCTTTAATGCTGGTCTCAGCCCCGTGTTGTCTTCCAACAAGGCTGTTTGACTTAAGGAATATTGGGTCCCGGGCTTTTTGTTTCGTTGTAAACTGAAGACAGTGCCTGGTTGGTGGCTTTGCGTTGGAGGGGTCAGGCTCGCCGCAGGCGTCCCCCAGCTCACCTTGGGTTTTCCTGATTCCCCGTGAAAGGCTTTCCTCTCCTTGCATGCTGCATTATTAAAGTCTTCTTAAAAGAATGCACTTAAAATCTTCCGTTATTGCTAGAAATCAGTTGACAGATCTTGACTATTAAAAGGGAGTGTGAAGAATTAAAATCTTGCTAATTCTTTCAAATTTAAATTTTAAGGCAGGCCAGGGCCATGATTTCCTTTGTTCGCAGTGAAAGCATTTAGATCAGTTATTCATTTTTTGTTTCTTGGAAATGTGTTCAGTGTCCTAAGCTAATAGATTCATCTTTTGGTTGGTCAAAAAAAGTCATTTGACAAATCTTTCACTTGTACAGAATTGCTGGGAGATATCCTCAAAGATCGGCCCCAGGAAGCAGACGGCATCGATTCGGTGATCGTGGTCGACAATGTTCCTCAGGTGGGACCTGACCGTCTGGAGAAACTCAAAAATGTCATCCATAAGATCTTTTCCAAGTTTGGGAAAATCACGAATGATTTTTATCCAGAGGAGGATGGAAAGACAAAAGGGTGAGTGGTGTCCTCTGTCACTGAAGAGTCAGTCGCCTGTGCTTTTCTAGTCTCTGACAGTCTGTCGCAGGTCACTGTGGTGCAGTGCGGGCCTCACTGGCCGTTTGCCTCATTCATTTCTTCAGGCCAGCCTCCGCTGGCAGCTCTGCGGACAGAGCGGTGAACTGGTCCCGGGGTCATGGGTCAGGGAGAGGGAAATGAAGTGTGGTTCTGAAGTAGGGCACTCTAAGTTGGCTGCTAAATTCTTAGGAGATCAGAGCCTGACAGTTAAATCTTCTGCCATCAGAGCAGTAATTGACACAGGCACATCCTGGGTACAGGGCCCGACACGTCTGGAAGCCAGGAGAATTTCAGGAGCGTTTGACATGTGGTACTTTATTGGTTCTAAGGTAGACTTTTTTGCTCATTTCACATCTTTGAAATGGGGATCCTTCTTATAGTCTAGGTGAAAGCACTGTGTCATTGCTTAATTAGCAGCTTTTTTTCCTAGCATTACCTAAAATAGTGCATCTTTTAAAAATGGTAGCATGAGGTGTGTGTTCTGCAATTTTCTTTTTTAACTCGGTATTAGGCTTTCTGTGTTGGTGGATCTAACTCCAGTTCTCCTGTCGAATGCTGGGGTGTTCCCTGGTATCCTACGAGTCCGTGTGCTTTTCTGTCCCTCGACGTTTAGTGTTTTGCAGCGATAAAGTCTTGTGCCTGTCCCCTTTTGAACAGGTGTGAGTTTCTTTGTTAAATACCTAGCAGTAGAACCACGGGGTTGTGCAAAATGGCCTTGGACAGCGTCTGGAGTGCGGCTGGGCGATGTCAGATTAGGCTGGAGTGTTTGTTAGCAGTTTCGCTCCACCAGTGGCAGCAGAAGTTCTGTGTGTGGCTGCACAAGCTTGTCAGAAGCTCTGCATTGAAATTTCACGTGAATGCCGGTCTTCGAGAGCACAGGCAAAATCGTCTTTTATAGGACAGGAGTGAGAAGATCTTAAAGTTTATTTTCTTTAATACAGATTTTGGAAACTATCTGGAACAGTTTTAGTTTCTAAAAAAATTAGCAAATACAAGTAATGCACTTGACGTATTCTGTTTGGGAATTGGGTGGAAGGATCAACTCTTTTTTTTTTTTTTTTTTTTTTGAGGAAGGTTAGCCTTGAGCTAACATCTGCTGCCAATCCTCCTCTTTTTGCTAAGGAAGACTGGCCCTGAGCTAGCATCCGTGCCCGTCTTCCTCCACTTTATATGTGGGATGCCTACCACAGCATATCTCGACAAGCAGTGCCATGTCTGCCCCTGGGATCTGAACCATGGAACCCTGGGCCTCCGAAGCGAAACGTGCGAGCTTAACCACTGTGCCACCGGGCCAGCCCCTCACCTCTTTTTTTTTTTTTTGTAAGATTTTTTACTTTTTCCTTTTTCTCCCCCAAGCCCCCGGTACATAGTTGTGTATTTTTAGCTGTGGGTCCTTCCAGCTGTGGCATGTGGGACGCAGCCTCAGCATTGCTTGATGAGCGGTGCCGTGTCCGCGGCCAGGATCTGAACCAGCAAAACCCCGGGCCGCCGAAGCGGAGCGTGCGAACTTAACCTCTCGGCCACGGGCCGGCCCCAGATACCTCTTTGTGACCAGCAGTGTGTGATACTTTTTGTCATGAGAGCCTTTTAATTTTGCCTGTAACGCACAGTATTAGACTACCCATGTTTTTCGATTTTCTAACAGCTTTATTGAAGTAACTGACGTACAGTAAACTTGCATAGTTTTGAAGTGCACAGGTACGAGTTTTGACACATGTACCTCTGTGCGACCATTACCACAGTCAGGATAATGAACGTTTTGATTAGGTAGCTTTTCTGTCACTTGTGGGAGACTTTGGATCTTCTGGTGGGATTTCATTAGTGTTTGGGGAACTCCTCTGCTGGTGATGTGCCTGCCTTGGGGGCGTGGGGTAAGACGGCCACAGACGCTTGTAGTGCTTACACTCGTGTGCAGGGGGCTGGGTGTATCGAGCGTGACCTGGTCTGAAGGTCAGCACTTGGGCGCGTCGCCCCCTTCTCCCTGCAGGTATATTTTCCTGGAGTACGCGTCCCCTGCCCACGCCGTGGATGCCGTGAAGAACGCCGACGGCTACAAGCTCGACAAGCAGCACACGTTCAGAGTCAACCTCTTCACCGACTTTGACAAGTGAGTTCTGACTCCGGCCCTCAGAGCCTAGACGGTCACATGTACGTGAAGGACTCGGCATTTCTTGGGGGGAGGAGTTGGGGTGGTAGTTCCATTCTTGGATCAGACTGCTGTAGGACCACTGCACGTGCCTGGCCCCCTCACTCCTGGCCAGCAGCCCCTCAGCTCGTGGTTCTTCCTTGTCAGCTCCCAGCTCGGGGCAGGGCGGCGTGCAGAGCGCCTGTGCTTGAGAGCCACCAGCGTCGTCCTCCCCTTGTTCTGATCGTTATTGTGTGTTACTAGGCAGTTTCTTTTTCTCTTCCAGGTACATGACAATCAGTGATGAATGGGACATTCCAGAGAAACAACCTTTCAAAGACTTGGTACGTTGTATAAATCTACAAGTAGTGGAAAGAACTGCTGGACCGCCTCTGGACTTGGGTGATGGATCCCTCAGGAGTTAAAGATGCTCACTGAATTAGTCACATCTCCAAGAGCGAGAGTTATGAGTATGTCTTCTTTGATTAAAATTAATGACGTGTGTTACATCCCTTGCCTTTGGTCCTTTTTCTAGGGGAATTTACGTTACTGGCTTGAAGAGGCAGAGTGCAGGGACCAGTATAGTGTGATTTTTGAGAGTGGAGACCGTACATCCATATTCTGGAACGACGTGAAGGATCCCGTCTCCATCGAAGAGCGGGCGGTGGGTACTTGCTGCCACATGGAGACTCGCCTTTGTTTCCTTGACGGAGGGGAGCTTGGGTACAGAGCAGGCCAAGTGTCATGCTCTTTGAGACTCTGTCTCTGAGAGCAGTTTCTTTTCTTGTCGTGTTGAAATAAGTCGTGAGAACTGAATAGCCTTCTTGTGTTTTTTAGTTAAGAGATCAAGGAGTAAATTCATGTAAGGGGAGGGCTCTTTGCTTCTGGCTTTTGTCGTCGTGTTGATGTTGGCACTGGCTCTTCCCGCAGAGATGGACAGAGACATACGTGCGCTGGTCTCCGAAGGGCACCTACCTGGCGACCTTCCATCAGCGAGGCATTGCTCTCTGGGGGGGAGAGAAGTTCAAACAGATTCAGAGGTTCAGCCACCAGGGGGTTCAGCTGATCGATTTCTCCCCGTGTGAAAGGTAAGCTGTTAGAAAGGGCAGGCGGAGTCTATCCTTTTCCCTCATGCCACCCTTCTACAGATAAGTTTAAACCTTTTTCTTCTACAGTCATTTCAAACTTAATAGAAAAAGTGCAAGAACTGTGCAAAGAAATCCCATATGCTCTTTACCGAGATTCTCCAGTTAACAGTTTGTGGCATTTCCTTCGTCATTTTCTGTCTCCAGATACATGTGCAGTACTTTTCTTGTGAGCCATTTGGGAGTAAGTTGAAGTCTTATGTCCCTTTACCCCAAGTGTGCATTTCCTAGGAAGAGGAAGTTCTCCCGTATATCCACAGTACAGTTACTAACTTTAGGGAATTTAACATTGACTCAATACTTTTATGTAAACGCTGCCATTTTCCAGTTTTGCCACTTGATGCAATAGAGTGTGCTTTGTAAAATTCTTTTCTTCAGGATGTAGTCCAACATCGTGTATTTTGCAGATAATTTTCGTGTGAATGAATTTTTCTCGTGTATGAGATAGTCCACGTAGCAAGGCATAGCGGGAGAAGGTGAAACACCAGGAGCTTGAGGGAGCCCTGCCCGCGGCCGTGCAGCCTCGTCCTCGCTGTCTGCTCCCAGCCTCACTGCCCGGATTGCCCTCTCTCCCCTTGACTCAGCCCCCTGTGCAGGGCTTGTCTCTGAAGCCGTCCGTCCTTGGGTTGCTGGTGTGCTCACTGTCCCCTCTGTCTCTTGACGCTGTCTCTGCAGCCTTCAGCATCTTACCACGTGGTCTGAGTTCAGCTGGCACTGACGAAAGCACCTGTATCACAACATCCTGAGATGTTGTAGCATGCCTGCTTTTTTATTTTTATTTATTATTTTATTGAGGTCATATGGGTTTATAACATTGCGATTTCACGTCAGTTTCTGTATAGACCACATCGTGCTCACCACCAACACTCTAGTTTTTATCCGTCAGCCTGTGTGTGCCCCTTTATCCCTTCCACCCCCTCCCCCTCCTCTGGTAACTGCTCATCTCTTCCCTTTGTGCATGTGTTTATCTTTCACATGTGAGTGAAATCGTATGGTGTTTGTCTTTCTTCATCTGCCTTATTTTGCTTAACATAATACCCTCAAGGTTCAGCCATGTTGTTGTGAATGGGACAATTTTGTCTTTCTTTTATGGCTGAGTGGTATTCCATTGTATATATACCACATCATCTTTATCCAATCATCCGTTGAATTCATATATTCAAATAACACATGAATAATAAAGAGGAAGGAGACCCTCTTTTCTCTTTTTTTCTTTTTTTAAGAGTGAGGGCCTTGAATCAGGCTCTTCGTTGGCACTGTCGTGTCATGAAAGATTAGCAGCTTGAGATTCAGGAGACCCAGGTTCTGGCTGAGCTCTTTTCCTGAGAGCTCCGTGTGGCGGTGGGCAATCTCTGCCTCAGTGTCCTAAGTTGGTCCCTCTGATCCATCACACCTCTGAAATGTGCTAAGTGTACATCTTTTCATCAGTATGACTTTGTAATTTTGTGGGGTTTTTTGTTTAAGATTGGCACCTGAGCTAACATCTGTTGCCAATCTTTTTTTGTTTTCTCTCCTCCCCAAAGCCCCCAGTACCTAGTTGTATATTTTAGTTGTAAGTTCTTCTGGTTGTGCTGTGTGGGATGCTGCCTCAGCATGGCTTGATGAGCGGTGCCATGTTTGCGCCCAGGATCCAAACCAATGAAACCCTGGGCGGCCAAAGCGGAGGCACAAACTTCATCACTCGGTCACGGGGCCAGTTCCTGACTCTAATTTTGAACCATAACCGATGGTGGGGGGTGGGGCACTTGGGTTGCTTCCACGTCTTAGCTATTGTGAATAATGCTGCAGTGAAGATAGGGGTGCGTAAGTCTCTTTGTATTGTTGATTTCATGTTCTTTGGATGAATACCCAGTAGTGGGATACCTGGGTCGTGTGATATTTCTATGTTTGATTATTTGAGAAATCTCCATACTGTTTTCCATAGTGGCTGCACCAGTTTGCATTCCCACCAGCAGTGTGTGAAGGTTCCCTTCTCTCCACACCCTCTCCAACATTTGTTGTTTTTGTCTTGGTGGTTATAGCCATTCTCACAGGTGTAAGGTGATATCTCAGTGTAGTTTTGATTTGCATTTCCCTAATAACTAGTGACGACGAACATCTTTTCATGTGCCTGTTGGCCATCTGTGTATGTTCTTTGGAAAACTGCCTGTTTGTATCCTCTGCCCATTTTTTGCTCAGGTGGTTTGTCTTTTTGTTGTTGAGTTGTGTGAGTTCTTTACATATTTTGGAAATTAACTCCTTGTCGGATATATGATTTGCAGATATTTTCTCCCAGTGGTAGGTTGTTTTTTTGTTTTGTTCATGGTTTCCATTGCCTTTCAGAAGCTTTTTAGTCTGATGTCGTCTCATTTGTTTATTTTTCCTTTTGTTTCCCTTGCTTGAGTAGACGTGGTATTTGAAAAGATGTTTCTAAGGCTGATGTCAAAGAGTGTACTGCCTCTATTTTCTCCTGGGAGTTTGATGGTTTCAGGTCTTAGATTCAAGTCTTTAATCCATGTTGAGTTAATCTCTGTGTGGTGTACGACGCTGGTCTACTTTTGTTCTTTTGCACGTGGCTGTCCAGTTTTCCTAACACCATTTATTGAAGAGACTTTTGTTTCTCCATTGTGTGTTCTTGGCTCCTGTGTCAAAGATTAGCTGTCTGTAAATGTGTGGTTTTATTTCAAAACCGTACCGTGCTGTTTTGATTATTAGAAGTTTGTGGTATATTTTGAAGTCAGGGAGTGTGATAGCTCCAGCTTTGTTCTGTTCTCTCAGGATTGCTTTGGCTATTTGGGATCTTTTGTTGTTCCATGTGAATTTTAGGATTCTTTGTTCTTTTTCCTTGAAGAATGTCATTTGGATTGATTGGGTTTGCGTTGAATCTGTAGATTGCTTTAGGTGATAGGGACATTTTATGTTTCTTCTTCCAGTCCACGAGCGTGGAATATCTTTGCGTCTCTTTATACCTTCTTCCATTTCTTTCAGTAACGTCTTATAGTTTTCACTGTATAGGTCTTTCACCTCCTTTTAAGTTTATTCCTAGACATTTTATTCTTTTTGTTGTGATTGTAAATGGGATTGTATTCTTGACTTCTCTTTCTGCTAATTCATTGTTAGAATATACAAATGCGACTGACTTTTGTAAGTTGATTTTGTACCCTGCAACTTTGCTGTAGTTGTTGATTATGCCTAATAGCGTTCTGGTGGATTCTTTAGAGTTTTGTATATATAGAATCGACTGCAAACAGCGAGTTTCACTTCTTCCTTTCTAATTCGGATATCTTTTATTTCTTTTTCTTGTCTAATTGCTCTGGCCGAAACTTCCAGCCCTATGTTGAATAGGAGAGGTGAGAGTGGACACCCTTGTCTTGTTCCTGTTCTCAGAGGGATGGCTTTCAGTTTTCCACTGTTAAATTTGATATTGGCTGTGGTTTTGTCACATATGGTCTTTACTATGTTGAAGTATGTTTCTTCTATACCCATTTTATTGAGAGTTTTTTATCATAAATGGATGCTGTATCTTGTCAAATGCTTTCTCTGCATCTATTGAGATGATCATGTGATCTTTATTCCTCATATTGTTAACGTGGTGTATCCCATTGATTGCTTTGTGGGTGTTGAACCATCTGTGTCCCTGGTATAAATCCCACTTGATCATGGTATATGACCCTTTTGATGTATTGCTTTACTCAATTTGCCAATATTCTTTCTGTCTTTTGGTTTGTGGTGAGGAAATTTGGCCCTGAGCTACTATCTGTTGCCAATCCTCTTCTTTTTGCTTAAAGAAGATTGTTGCTCAGCTAACTTTGTTGTTGAGTTAACCTCTGTGCCAGTCTTCCTCTTTTTGCTTGAGGAAGATTAGCCCTGAGCTAACACCTGTGCCAGTCTTCCTCTGTTTTGTATGTGGGATGCCTCCACAGCACGGCTTGATGAGCGGTGTGTAGGTCTGTGCCCAGGATCTAAACCCACGAACCCCAGGCCGCCAAAGCAGAGCGCATGAGGTTAACCAGAAGCCAGTCCCTAGAACTGCAGTCTTCTGGTTCTGCCTGTGTCTCCTTGCTCAAGGTTTGAAGACCTTTGCTTTGTGTTCCAGGCAGGAGGGCTTCCTTCATCATTTCTCGTGAGGCAGGTCTAGCGGCGATGGACTCCCTCAGCTTCTGTCTCCCTGGGAAAGCTTTGATTTCTCCATCATACTTGAAGGGTGGTTTTGCTGGATAGAGTATTCTTGGCTGAAAGGTTTCGTTTTTCAGTATTTTGAATATATCATTCTCTCCTGGCCTGTAAGGTTTTTGCTGAGAAATCTGCTGAAAGCCTGATAGGGGTTCCTCTGTAGGTTACTTTCTTCTGCCCTGCTGCCCTGAGTATTTTTTCCTTGTCTTTGACTTGGGCCAGTTTTAATAGTGTGTCCCCTGGAGGAGGTCCTCTTACATTGATGTCGTTAGGACGTCTGTTGTCTTCGTGTTCTTGTAACTCCAGTTCCTTCCCCAAGTTTGGGAAGTTCTCAGCTAGTATTTCTTTGAACAAGCCCTCTGCTCCTTTCTCCCTTGCTTCTCGCTCTGGAATGCCTATAATCCTTACGTTACTTTTCCTAATGGAGTTGGATATTTCTGGAAGAATGTCTTCATTTTTAAAAAATCTTAGTTCTCTCTCCTCTTCCACCTGAACCGTTTCTCTGTTTCTATCGTCTAAATCACTAGTTGTGTCCTCCGTAATGTCAGCCCTATTTTTTATGGATTCCAGATGATTTTGTGTCTCGCTAATTGTGTTATTTTTATCCAGAATTTGTTTTTGTTTAAGAGTTTCAATCTCTGGTGAAGTATTGCTTCTGCTCATTAATTTTATTCCTGAGCTCATTGAACTGTCTTTCTGAGTTTTCTTGTAAGTCCTTGAGTTCCTTTATGATAACTGTTCTGTCATTTAGGTTGTAAATGCCTGTGACCTCAGCTTTAGTTTCTGACTTGTCATTTTCCCTTTGATCTGGAGTGTTAATGCCGTTCTTCATGGTGTTTGATGAAGTGACCCTTTGCTGGCACATTTGTGGTAATATCAGGTCATGGATTCCACCTGCCACCATGGGGGGAGCGGGAGCTGTGTTTTCTGATGCCGCCCCTTCTGCTTTAAGTTGTGCCGGTAGGGCTGCTCTGCATTTGCGCACGGGCCGCGCCCATCTGGCAGATCACGTACGCGTAGGTGGGGCCTCTGTGCTTTGCTAGCGGGTCACTCTCTTGAGGGACCTCTGCACTTGGCAGGGGACCAGCCCAACTGCTGCGCTAGGGGGTATGGGAGAGGCGTTTTCTTTTGCGTGTGCTCTGGCTCTGCACTCACAGGCAGCTCGGCTGAGCTGCTGTGCTTGGTGGGAGATGCTTCACAGGGGCACAGTGTCACTGCATGGTGGGCCCTTCTGTGGGCTGGGCTACAACTCAACCTTTTGTGTGGGCTGGGCTGCCCCCGCCCCCTCTTACAGTTGCACCAGCTGCTGTGTGAGGACCCGCAGCCTAGATCACTGCTGCTGGGGGTTTAGGGGAGGTGTTCTGCTCACCTAGTTCCACTGCCTCCCCGGGATCCAGTCCATCCGCCTGCAGATGCACAGCTGTGTGGATCTCTCAGGCATCTTATGTGCTGTGCAGGGAGTCCTCTGCTGGTTAATTAATGTCCACTTAGTTGTAACTTGGAGGGACAAAGGGAACGACTCACTCTGCCATGATGCCCATGTCACTGCTGCCTTTTTTTTTTAAAATTTTTTTTTGAGTTCTTTAGCATATAATTGTTCTAAAACAGAAAACTAGGAAGGTACTTAGGGTAACATCCATATACTAATTACCTAGATTTAATGATTTCTTACTTGCTTCAAAACATTTTTTGAGTATTTTGAAGTGGTAGACGTGTCTACAAAAGTATGCGTTGTTCCAGAATAAAGATGTCCTACGTAGTCACAGTTCTGTTACCACACCTATAATTCATTAATATCATCTCATACCAATACATGTTCAAGTTCCCCGTTTGTCCCCAAATAGCTTTTATTTACAGCAAGTCTGTTCAAGGCTGGATGCGGTCTGGTGCCCACACTGCTTAGTCCTTGTCTCTGAAGCCTCATGCATCTGGAGCAGCGCGTCCTTCCCTCCCTGTTTTGATACTGGTCACGACAGGACCAGATGGCCTGAAGACTCACCTTGGGATCAGTCTGTTCCTTCCTTGAGGTGGCATTTAGCTTGTCCTTGTAATCCTTTTGTTTTCTGTAAACCCTAAGTTCTGTCTGATGGATGTTTGTTAGTTTTGATAAAATAGTTTGTATGTAGTGTCTTCTTGTGTGCATTGGCACCCACTTTGTGTGTGCTCAGTACAGAATAAGTGGTACTTCTCATTCCAGCAGCAGTATGTGAAAGTCAGGCCCGCCCCTGGGCTCTATGCTGAGACGGCCTGCTGGTTTAGGAGCCTTCCCCCGCCCTCGTCTCCTGTGCACCTGCCGCCATCCTTGGGCAGTTATTGCACCTGTGTGCTCATCAACATTGTGTGTGTTGCTACACTTACCACACTGGGTTGTGATTTACCTGTTTAACATCTCTGTGTCACTCGGGTAGAGAATGGCCCTCTCTTACTCACTGTGTCTTGGGTGCTCTGTGCAGTCCCCAGTCGTGGCAAGCACGGCTGAGTGAGGGAGTGCTTGGCTTGGTCATACAGCTGACGATGTCAGCAGTCTCTTTCAGTTAAGCGCTTAATCAGACGGTTTCTGTAACTCAAGGGTGGTCTTGTCGTGTGTCTCTTCCAGGTGTGTAGAATAGGGAGTTTAATAAATTGTGGGGAGAGGTGACTCAAGCCAGTGTTACTGCTCTAGTGCATCGGGGGCACAGAGCCTCACGAGGAGAAGTGCATTTGTTGGCTGCACTGCCCAGAAACCTGCTGGGGCTGGCTCTGCCTCCCCTGCCTCCCGCTGTTCTGAGAGTGGTGTGGTTTAGGCAGTCACATGCTGTGTAAGCAGCCTGCACGGGTGCGACGGGTGTCGACAAACCAGTGGTCGGGAGAGGCCCCAGGCATGGAAGCCCCATCAGACGTGGACTTGCTTTTGAACCACATGTGACCGGCTCTTCTGTTTACCTTGTTGTCCTCGTTAAACGTCTGTGGAGATAAAGTCTCAGGGTTCCACACTGCTCCTCTCGCCAGGGCACGTGAGCAGACTTGTTTGATCTGTTCGCTCTCTCCTTGCCTGACTTTAGTGGGAAACAATCTGAGGTGACCCTTGGAGTGCCCTGGTGTCAGTGATAGTGTGCCCGTGAGCTAGTGACGTGGAGGTGGTTCCTCGTATCTCCTGTGGGTCTCCTGATGGGAGAGCATTGTCAGGGGAGCCTGGGGTTTTGGAGAAAGTGTCTGAGCCTTGACTGCTTGTTCTGGCAGCCTCTCCCATGCCTGGAGTGACCTTCTGGAGTGGGAGCTCGCCCCTCCCCCACAGCGGGGGTGGAGGTCCTTGCTGCGTTGTGCACACGTGTGACTCCGGTGAGCAGGGGGAGGAGTGCGCGAGATGGTGAAGCATCTCCTCTGTTGCAGGTACCTGGTGACCTTCAGCCCCCTGATGGACACTCAGGACGACCCTCAGGCCATCATCATCTGGGACATCCTAACTGGCCAGAAGAAGAGAGGCTTTCACTGTGAAAGCTCAGCCCACTGGCCCATTTTTAAGTGAGTAGACCGGTGGAAGGCAGCGATGACCTCTCTGTAGCCATTTCTTCTCACTGACACAGCCTCGCACTTGTCTTCTTCTTAGGTGGAGTCATGACGGTAAATTCTTTGCCAGAATGACGCTCGACACTCTCAGCATCTATGAAACCCCTGTAAGTGAGTTGGTTATCTGAGAGAACAAGCTCCCTGTCCCGCTGCTTGTCGGCTTCGCTGGTGCTCACAGACCAGTGCCTTCCTTAGCCTGTGGAGGAGGTGGTGTGCGCATGCAGAGTGAGGCAGGGTCCCCGTGCCTCACCACCGTCTCCTCCTCTGGCTTCTCGTCTTTTTTTTTTTGAGGAAGATTAGCCCTGAACTAACATCTGCTGCCAATCCTCCTCTTTTTGCTGAGGAAGACTGGCCCTGAGCTAACCTCCGTGCCCATCTTCCTCTACTTTACATGTAGGACACCTGCCACAGCGTGGCTTGCCAAGCGGTGCCATGTCCGCCCCCCCACCCCCCCGCCATCCAAACCAGTGAACCCTGGGTCGCCGAAACAGAATGTGCGCACTTAACCGCTGTGCCACTGGGCCGGCCCTGTGGGTTCTGGTCTTTAATCTACCAGCCCCTGCTTCTGCTGCTGCAGGGAATTAAGGATGGGAGTTAATGACGTGGCTGGGAATGGGAATTGTCTTGTTCATCTGTCACCCTGTGTGCTGACACTGCTCTCTCGGCAAGCTCACAGCAGAACCTCTTGTGGCCTTTTTGTAAAAAATTGTGTGTGTTCTTGAGACACGGGCATGACTTGACTGAATCGTAACGCTTGTTTTCTCCGGCAGTCCATGGGTCTCTTGGACAAGAAGAGCCTGAAGATCTCCGGCATCAAGTAAGTGGATGCCACGCCCGGGTGGGTTGGGGTGCTGGCTCTCCTCTGGCCCTGGGCTCCCACGCAACTGAGAAGACAGTGTCCTTGTTCTGGACACAGGACGGCACAGCAGGCTCGAGGCGGCTGCCACCTGGGCTGCTTGTTCCTGGGCCCCGCTCAGGCCTGCTGTCGGCCTCCCCCATTCCGCAGGCAGATGCACCTTGAGGGCCACAGTCTGGGTCTGCTTCGTTCCCTGGCTCTGGGATCCATGCAGATGGGGTTTGGTGGCCTTCCGTGGACTGCAGCTCTTGTTCCTTTTATTTTTACGTTCTTGGGCAAAATTATGGCTTATAATTAAAAATAAAACTAGGAGTTGCTCCTCAGTAAGTGCAGAAGTAAAGGTGTCCTCCACAGGGAGGACCGTGTGAATTGTTCCTCACAGCCGGCTCCTCCAGGGCAGGCCCACAGGGCGGAGAACGCCCTCATCCTTCTTGGTCCTAATTTACATTTTCAATTTGGGTTTTTCCCCTCTAGCATCTTAAGGGATCTTCAGAAGTCATACAGCAGGGCCCGTCGGCCTGGAACTAACTTACTTGCCCTGTAGCAGCGGGCTCTGTGGTGGTGGAGAGTGAGGGTTTGGGGAGCCTGGGTCTCAGTGCTTACTCATCCACTGTGACAGTGGGTAGCATTGTTAGCGTCTTTCTCTTTCCTCGCTGGCAAAGTCAGCATCCTAATGGCCCAGAGTGGGTAGGAGGCCGGAGTGAGCTGCACAGAGCCCGTGGAGCGGTGCTCACGGTGGGCAGCTCCCAGGTGCGTTTGAGCCGCAGCTCTGGCGGTGGGTGTACCGGTGCCGAGCTTTGATACGGCAGGTGCGCTCTGTTGTTCTCTGCCGCTTTTCATTTTTACCGGCTCTCAGCCGGGCCTTGTGTAACGTTTCATTTTCTGTGTTCTGCAGAGACTTCTCTTGGTCTCCCGGTGGTAACATAATCGCCTTCTGGGTGCCTGAAGACAAAGACATCCCCGCCAGGGTAACCCTGATGCAGCTTCCTACCAGGCAGGAGATCAGAGTTAGGAATCTGTTCAATGTCGTGGATTGCAAGCTACACTGGCAGAAGAACGGGGATTACCTGTGTGTTAAAGTCGATAGGACTCCCAAAGGCACGCAGGTGAGTGGGGGCCGGTGGGTGGGGTCGCTCCCTCCTTGCGCAGCTCTGAACCAGCCTGTTCTGTTTGCAGGATGTTAATGGGCTTTGGGGGTCAAATTGTGGGTTCTTCTCAGACCCTCCTGACAGCCAAAGCAGTTAGCTGGCGCGTCATGGCTACAGCTCCTGCCACGTTCCAGTGAGGAGTGTCGTTTTTTTCTGTGAAACTGAGTAGGTGATCCGTTCACGTAGGTTCGAGTTCATAAGGGGGTTTGGTGACTTCTCCTCCAGGAGGCTGTCCTCCTTCTCTGGGGGAGCTAACATCAGTGTGTGACACAGTTCTGCACATAGGTTGTTTTGTTTGCATTATTTAATATTTAATTTATCAAAAAATTGCCTGATTTTCCTTGAAATGGAAGTATTCCTCCTCTTTTTACAAAAAAAAATTTTTATCAGGATGTAATTCACATACCATAAAACTCACCCTTTCGAAGTGTACAGTTCACGGCTTTCAGTACATTCACAAAGTCGTGCAACCATCACTGCTATCTTAATTCCATAATACTGTCATCACCCCAGAAAGAAATTCCGTGGCCCTCAGTCACCCCGTTCCCACACTCCCACCCCTGCCTCCTGACATCACACATCTGCTTTCTGTCTATGGATGTCTCTATTCTAGATGTTTCCTATGAATGGCATCATACAACACGTGGCCTTCTGTATCTGGCTTCCTTCACTGAGCACGTGTTCAAGGCTTGTCCGGGTTATGGCCTGTGTCAGCTCCTCATTCCTTTTGGTGGCTCGTTTTCCACGTGTGGATGTCCTACGCCCTGTTTGTCCATTCATCCGTCTCGGGCAATTGGGTGGTTTCCGCCTTTGGGCTGTTGCACATGACGCAGCACCCTGCCTTACTCAGGTGGTCCTTGGAGGTCATGCCGCAGGGTACGCCACTGTTTTGAAGTAGCTTAATCGGCCCGTGGGTGGTCCTTCAGGGCACTTCACAGGTTCTGCAGACCAGCTGCAGTGAGCATCCTTGAACCTGTCGGTGTGTGAGGATGACGTTGAGGGCGGTTCTCGGGAGTGGAGTCTGGGCCGGAGAGGGAGAAAGTGCATCCGGGTGTTCTCCACGAGCCGCCGAGCTTGGGCCGCCCTCCCCCAGCATGTGGGGTTCTGCTTTCATCAAGACGGGTGTAATTTTGATCACTTCAGATACGCATGTCTCACCAGGAGTATAAATTCAGCCTTTCATTAAATTCTCAAGTTGTCCTTTGATTTAAATCGTATGCTTTCAGTTTCCAGAATGTCACCCCTTCTTTCTTTTTTTTTTAAAAACAGGGTGTTGTCACAAATTTCGAAATTTTCCGAATGAGGGAAAAACAGGTACCTGTTGATGTGGTCGAAATGAAAGGCAAGTTCCCCTGTGGTCATTTGTGGTTGGATGCTCCGTACGTGCCCTCTTATACTGGGCCTTTAAAGCTTCAGTGTGAGCCCGCCGCCGAAGCAGCAACAGTCTCGACTCCGAATGCTAACTCGCGGTGAACAGCCTGTCTCCTTACAGAGCCCACGCTCGCAAGTTTAGGTTTTCTTTTGTTCTTTCCCACTTCAGTCTCTTAACTTTTCCAGCTGCCAGGCAGAGGTGCCCTTCGCGGCACTGTGACAGGTTACTTGGCAGAAGGGCGGGGGTTCTAGCCACTTGTCAGGACGAGGAAGTGTGAGGAGCGGGTTTTCATCACAGTCAGTGACGGCAGAAGCGCTTTCTTTCTAACATACGAATGTTCTCGGTTCTGTGGAGCTTTGCTTTGGACTCGTGAAAACTGTTCAAATGCTGTGTTTCTGCCTTCAGGTGGAAAATTGAGCTGTGTCTTGTGTTTGGTTGGATGTTTGTTGTAGTTTTGTTTTCTAGTTTGCTCCTGAGAGGAGGAGGGAGGGGAGAGGAAAGTATGGAGGTGGGGAGGTGTGTAAAACCTGGCCACCTGGCCTGGGTGGAAAGACACCGTCACCCTCGTGAGGCCGTGGAATGCTGCCACGCGTTCAGCGGCAACGGTGAGGGAGGTGACGCCCACGGCCAACCTGCCCACGGGCTTGTCACGGCCCCACTGTGGTCGGGACTCTTGGGAAAGGGGGGTTTCACAGAGGTCACCTTGCAGGGCTGAAATGCACTGTTCTTGAAACTGTAGGAGGGAGTGCCTCTGTTCCTGTGCCTGCTCAGTGGTCCTTTTAAGGAATTTAATAAGAGTTTGGGGTGTTGCTCTGATTGAATAGTGCAAACTTTAACTGCTCAGGACCGGAGCAGCTCACGCTGTTGCTTGATTGTAGAAACCATCATCGCCTTTGCCTGGGAGCCCAACGGGAGTAAGTTTGCTGTGCTGCACGGGGAGGCTCCTCGAATATCGGTTTCCTTCTACCACGTGAAGAGCAACGGGAAGATCGAGCTCATCAGTGAGTACTCCCGCCCTGTGCAGAGTGGGTGGCAGGTCGGCACATACGGGGTGGAACCTCGTCATCGCCCCACGGAGCATGTGCAGGTGGCCCGGCAGCAGCTGCTTGGGCCGGAGCCCTCAGCTGGACGAATCCCCTGCGGGTTCGGGTGAGGATGGGGTGGTGACTCACGTGGGGCGCTTTACATCCATGACGAATAGGCCTGCCGCGAGCTCCTGTGGGGCCCTCGCACGTTAGTGTTTTAGACTTCACCTCTCGCCCTTGTTCTGAGTGGATGAAGTCTCGTTTTTTCCTCTTGTGGCCGCAGCTGCCATCTCTGGGCTTCGGGGTCACATCCCCCCCACCCCCCTTCAGCCTGGATGTCCTGGTTCCACTGTCGCTCAGCTCTGCCTGGAAGGGGCCTCGTTCGTCCCCCGGTCCTACTGTAGAGGCGAGGCAGGCCCTGTCTTTCCTCAGCAGTGTCAGTACCGTCAGGCGGGGACTCTGACAGCTGGCTTGCTCTCTGCCCAAACCGGGCTCCTCCAGGGCGTCCTGTTCCCCCCTCCCATCCTGTGTCCTCAGTGCTCAGCACGGAGCTCAGTGCGTGGCAGGGCCTCGCTCACTCCTGTGCGGTTGAGCTCATGGCGGTTGTTTCTTCGTAGCCCTTCTTTCATGTGGTGGCTGAGGAACAGAGACCTCCCGGTCCCCCTTCAGAGACAGGGCTCCCGGTGCTTCCCACAGGACTTCCTGACCTGAGGACGGTGGGCTTATCCCAGCACCTGGGGGGACTCGTGTGCCCCAGGATTGGCTTTTCCCAAGAGCATTGTGTGGAGAATCCAGTTTTCGTTTGCTCAAGCTTCGCAGCGTTTGTGATGGAATCATCTTATGGTGGAATCAGTGGGCTGTCCGTCCTGGAGTGATTGTGTTGTTAATCCACTCCATACAGAAGGAAACGGGGACAGTCCCAGACAGCAGAAGAGTCCACTCATCTTGTTATGAGGCAGACTCAAGTGTAAAAGGCCTCCTGCCTCCTGAGTGTTGCGCCCCGCTCCCTTCCTGGAAGGCGCAGCCTCAGTGTGGGCCTTCTCCCCTCTCCCTCTGCCCGTGCTTCCGGGCCCTGCTGCAGGCTGAGATAGACAGCCCAGACGTCAGCTTGGTGCCCACTCTGAGTGGGGAGACCCCCAGGCACAGACGGAGCGACCTGCAGCGGCTCTGCCTGGGTCGTGCAGGGGGCGAGCGGGTTAGAGCAGTAGGGTGTTTGGAGAGGACGGGCTGTGAAAGTCTTTATAAGCGTGCAACTTAGAAAGATGTTTGAGTCACAAGAAGCATGGATTTTAGGCTCTTTTGGGTCACATAGCTCTGAGCATCTGCTGGAAATTGGGTTCTCGCCCTGGTGCAGAGTCCTTGTGGTATTGAGTATCTCTGTCCTATTGCCTGTGAAGTGGATTGTTTTGAACATAAAATGTTATTGAAAGTAGTATTGCAGCTCCAGAATACCCCAGAATACATCACTTGAGGTGTGCTCAAATGACGGATTTGCTGGAATTCTTTTCACAGGCATCAGGTAGGCGTGGTTCATCTAGAGAGTTCTGGCTAACAGTCTTTTTACCAGGCATCCCTGTAGGGGCAGCGTGGACCTCTTGCCGTCCCTCACTCTTGGCTGGATGCTGTCTAGAACCTTTGCACAGACTTTTCCTACTTTCTTTCCTTGCAGAAATGTTTGATAAACAGCAGGCGAATACCATCTTTTGGAGTCCCCAAGGACAGTTTGTGGTGCTGGCAGGTCTGAGGAGGTGGGTTCTGCGGGCTGCTGTGGAGGCCTGGCCCTGGGCCCCTGTCTCGTGCTCTCACTCCTGGAGAACTTGGCAGAGAGAGTATTCTTGCGGAAGGGTCCTCCCCGTGTCAGTCCACGTGTCATGTCTCCGTTGTGCTCCCCAGACGGGGGCCGAGACGGGCAGCTGGACAGTCACGGGCTCAGGCTTTCGTTGCGGGCCCTGGAAGGCGTGTCTGTGTTGTCGTTCTTCGTGGTGGAACGAGAACCCTTCCTGGCAGTCCGCTTAGCTAATGTAAAGTCCACGTCTCCTCCTCAGCACGGGGACACGTCCCCTCCCTCGTTCCCTGCTGGTCACTGTTCGCACACTGCCCTCCATAGGCTGTTTCCCTGCTTCATCGCAGACGCTTCCTGTTGTGCTGTGGAGGCTTGGCCTTGGGTGACCTTTTCTCTAAAAACGCTAGATGCCACACACAGTGCATGTCACTTGCACTTTACGTGTCTTCGTTCTCAGCGTCCTCAGGGTGCCGTTGCTGTTGTTTCCACGTTAACAGTGAGGCAGTGGTTGGGAATGCCCGAGGTCCCGAGTCCCTGCCCTGTGCCCTCCCCACAGAGCCTCTCCGGCAGCGGGCACGCGAGAGTAGGGCGTGCATAAGCCCGCTCTACGTGAAGCCTGACCGTGCTGTCTGTCTCCCCAGTATGAATGGTGCCTTGGCATTTGTTGACACTTCCGACTGCACGGTCATGAACATTGCAGAACACTACATGGCCTCCGACGTGGAGTGGGATCCTACCGGGCGTTACGTCGTCACCTCCGTGTCCTGGTGGAGCCATAAGGTATGGGGACCTGCGTAGCCTTGATACAGTATGAAGCAGGCGGTGCCGGGCTTGCGGCTGACTCTCCTCACCTCGGGAAGGGTACCGTGCGTGGCCTCACCTCTCCCGTCCCGTCTCCGCGGGAGGGCCTTGCTGTGGTCGTCATTAATCGATCTTTCACGCCCGGCCCAGGCTGCCTCAGAGTACCCTGAGCAGAGCGCCTGGGGCAGCCAGCCTTTCCCGTGAACAGGTTGGCGTTCCTCGGTGTCTCTCTTTCCTGGGTCAGATCATGTCTTGGGCCTGCTGCAGCCGAGTCCAGGCTGTCGTCCTCTGCAGTAGCCGGAGAGCCTTCCAGTGGGAATCAGATTGTACAGTTTCCCGCTTCCTAGGTGTGGAATTAGACCACTGAAGTTTAGTTAAGCAAGGCTGCTTACCGTGGCTCGTGAGTGCAGGGAGAATTATTTCCCTCCAGTAACTTCCCTCTGAGAGGTTCCTGGTTTGGACCATCGTTGTCTGGTCACCCAGCCTGTTAGGTCCTCCGTTCTACGGCCTGTGCTGGCCTCTGACCTCTGCCCCGAGACTGCCTGCTCCCCACGTGGAAGCCGCGCTGCCCTCGAGCACCCAGGCTGCTTCTGCCTCCTGGCCTCTGCAGCCTCCCCCCAGGGCTGCAGTTCCTGTGGGTTTGGTGCTTCCTGCCGTTCAGGTGTCTGCGGAGTCGCCTCCCCCGCCTCGTCACCTCGTCCTCTCACCCTGCCCTGTGGTTTCCTAGCGCTCACACGGCATGGATTCATCCTCAGTGATTGTTGAGAGTTCGTCATTTCCTTTTCCCGCTAGAGTGGAACATCGTGAGGGCAAGGGCCTTTTCTCTCCTGTTCTCCGCCGGGTCCCAGCGTCTGACACTGCCCAGCACGTAGTCAGCATTGTCAGGGTTTGCTGACTGAATGAATTGGCATGCAAGAAAACCGTTAACATTCCTGTTTTTAACTTCTTGAAAAGATCATCATCTCTGTCCGTACAAAAGGCTTGAGGGTACATCAGTGATTGCAGAAGGTTGAGTCGTGGCGGGAGCAGGGGTGCGTCCACTGCTGAGAGGGCTGCTTCTCCTGGGCTCTGGGAACTCCCGGGAGGGCATGAAAAGGTGTGCGCACAAGCGGCTTTCCGGAGAGAGGCTCCGTTTCCTTGAGAGGCTCCAAAAAGGCCGTAACCTGAAGAATTGAAGGAAGTCTGTGCTCCGTAGGGGTCAGAGTTCGTGTCTGTGGAGTCTCTGTGTGTCGTGTCCGGATGCTGGTGTCTTTTCGGCACAGTCCCCGGCTCGTTCCTCCCTGGCTGGTAGTGCAGTTGGCCGAGGGTCTCTGCGTGTCGGATTGCTCTTTGGCTGATTGAGTGTTGACAGTTGCCCTGGCTCAGGTGCGTCCGGAGCCCGTGAGATCGGGTACGGCTCCTGCTGTTGGATTGCGTGATGTGCTTTTAGGAACATGGACTTAGTGAGCATTTTCCCACTCAGGTCAGGGTATGTTGACCGTACCTGTGTCTTAACTTGTTCAAGTGTCACCTCCGTGAGGCTTCCTTGACACTTCGTAAAGTCCTTTTAGATTGACGGCCGCTCCGTTAAATTTCCATATGCTCCCAGAATGCTGGTCTGCAACAGCGTTACGCCAGGGTGTAAATGAAGGCACTGGTTTCTTCAAGAAACTCTTGTTGTGAACAAAATAGCAGCTGCACTAAACAGTGTGTTTGGTGTGTAGTTAACTTAGTTTCTGGCACAGGTCGCTCGTCCCAGACCCGTAAAAGGCCTGCGCTTCACTGGCATTGCTCCAGCTGCCTGTATACCGTGCTCCGTAATTCAGAACGGAAGCTTTTGCGTCTCTTGCTTCTCGACTGTGTTGCCCCTGCTGGATGTCATCCCAGCGGAGGCAGAGATCTTTGTTTTGTTCACCAGTGTCTCTCAAATACCAAAACGTTTGACAGGTTATTGGCTCTGAAACATCTGTTGAGTGAAACGGTTAATTTTGTTGTCCTGTTGACAGAGATCCCCAGACCTCTAGGTGTCGGTGGAACTCGGGGAGTGGGCAGCTCTTCGGCCTCTGTTCTCTCGTAGGTGGACAATGCTTACTGGCTGTGGACCTTCCAAGGCCGCCTTTTGCAGAAGAACAACAAGGATCGCTTCTGCCAGCTGCTGTGGAGACCCCGGCCCCCAACACTGCTGAGCCAGGAGCAGATAAAGGTCTGGGGTCCCTGCCAGGTTGAGGGGATGTGGACGTGATCGTGAAGGAAAACAGTGGTTCTTTTTTCCTGTTACTGTGAGGGTGGTGAGTGAGCATAGAAGCGTGACACTTACGGGGCTCTTTGAAGAGACACACAAACGGTAGGAACCAGACGGAGCAGGACAGGAAACTCAGGTTTTCAGGTTAAGGACACGTCAGTACCGTGCTTGGAATGCGTGAAGTAGAGGGGCGATGGAAGGTGCCGGGCTGTGGGAGCGTCCTGGTGGGGTTAGGAGGCACACAACTGTGGGACTTACGTGATTGTGCTGAGAGGCTAAGAGGAGAGTGCAGCTCCAGGAAAGGAAGCAGCCTCGAGGACGGCTACCCCAGAGGGCAGACGCCGCGCCGAGTGCTCCCAGGAGCCCATGTTCTGTTCATTGGGAGGGGTCATGTCGTGTTGGCATCTTTGAGGATTGGCTTTGTGGTTCTTGTTTTGAATGTTTAAATCCTGAGTGACTTGTCTTTGTTTCAGCAAATTAAAAAGGATCTGAAGAAATACTCCAAGATCTTTGAACAGAAGGATCGTCTGAGTCAGTCCAAAGCCTCCAAGGTTAGCCTGGTTCCTAGGACTGAGGGAGATGAGGAGAGAGCCCCCGGCCCTCCTGGTGGAGCTGGGCCAGGAGAGGGGCCAGCGCCAGGCCTGGGGGGGATAGGAGGTGTCTGCTCAGGGAGACTCAGCGGGGGCAGCTGTGGGCCTTGGGGCCTGACCAACCCTCCTGGTGGCTGGCTTCTCAGTATGTATGGGGCGGGGGCAGTGTTAGAGGGAGAAGATGAGCCCAAAGACACCCGGCCGTTCCTGTCTCGAGAATCTCTAAATTGGGTAGTCCTCACATCCTCTGACTGGGGGTCCCTGCCGATCGTGTCTTTTCATTTCCGTTTGTCCTGTAACTTCCCCCCCAACTCCATGTGTAGGAATTAGTAGAGAGAAGACGAACCATGATGGAGGATTTCCGGAAATACCGGAAAATGGCCCAAGAGCTCTATATGGAGCAGAAAAACGAACGTCTCGAATTGCGAGGAGGTAACTTTAGTAGCCGAAGATGACGTTTTTAAAGGGTCTATTTGTAAAATATTTTTTCCTTTCGCATCTGGGTTAATTCTCCAAGTTTCTCAGTAAACTTCAAGTCTTGTCTAAAGATTCTCAAATTGTCAGAGGAGCTGGAGCTTCCACTGCACACAGGTCCGGGCCCCAGCTTTGCAGAGGGCCTTGGTGTGCATGCGCGTGTGCGTGAGGTCCAGGAGGGGTCCCCGGCAGTCCTGGGGGGGCTCCCGCACGTCTGCGCGCCAGTGCAGCCCCTCCTCCCCCTGCTCCTCTTAGGCGTGGACACTGATGAGCTGGACAGCAACGTGGATGACTGGGAGGAGGAGACCATCGAGTTCTTTGTCACAGAAGAAATCATTCCTCTTGGAAATCAGGAGTGAGCCGAGAGCACTGGTAAGACTTCTTCAGACAGGAACACTCAGATGCTGCTGGTGGTTTTTTCTTTCCTTTCTGTCACTGCACCAGTTACACAATACTCGTTCAAGGCTGCGAGTGGACCTCCAGCTCACGTGGTCAGGATTGGGAAGATCTTGGCATGAGCTGTCGAGAGTAACGTGCAGACCCTGGGTGTCAGAGCTAGGGCTTCTCTGGAAGCTCCAGGCCTCCAGCTCCAGGTTTTGAGGATGGTGCCTTTGGAGCAGGGTTTGGTCGTGGATGAGAGGAGGGCCAGGGCGGGCACTGGGCGGGTGGTGTGACGTGCCCGGGGAAGGGGAGGACCATCCCCAGGAGCCTTTGCTCGGAGAAGGCCTCGTGTCCAGCAGAGAGCAAAGACGGGCATTGCCGGCCGTGGTGCTGGTCTGGTCAGTCCCGGTCGTGCTGAGCCGAGCGCCCTCACCATCCGGTCAGTCCCGGTCATGCTGGGCCAAGCGCCCTCACCATCCGCTCAGTCCCGGTCGTGCTGGGCCGGGCGCCCTCACCATCCGGTCATGGGTGGCAGGGCATGAGGGCCTTTGCAGTGAGGGAGGAAGAGTCCAGCGGTTCTGCATCTCGAGCTGACGTGAACGGGGGGCTGGGGGCAGTCTGAGGCTTTTGTGTGCGGTGGGCTGTCCACGCAGTGCTGTCCCCATGCCAGGGAGAGGCCCGTGGCTGACCGGAGTGAATGTGGTGGTTCCTTGGGAACCACGTCGAGGCTGCTCCCGGAGACAGCTGCCTCTCTCACAGCCATGAGACTAACGCGGGTCTTCGGGGTCCCTTCCGCCTTAAGGTTGTGTGCTGTCTGCCATACCTGCTCGTCGGGGATGACGTCAGTGGTGACTGTTCCTCTTATCGTCACTTGTCAGGAAGGTGGGGACAGAGAGTAACAGCTGTTCCCTTGTTGCAGTGTCACGTGTCCCGTGCTGGACCTAGGCTCATCCTCTTGTGGAACCTGCACAACCCCTGGGACCCCCCGTGCTTTCTCCTGCTCTGGCTGTGCCCACACCTGGGTTCTTCCATCCACACATTGTTGTGCCTTGTAACCCCCGGGAGCCACGCTGGGGGCGTTGGAAGGCGCTGCTTCACGTTTTCTTGTTTGGGTTTTTTAAAGTCACACCACCAGTGTCTGCTCTTGGACTCGGGCACGTGCTCCGGCAGGCGCTCTCCTCCGGCCATGGTGGTGCTTCCGAGGTGCAGCGTCCACAGCTGACCAGTCCTCTCGAGGTCCCTTCCTGTCCCATGCGCGTGGGCCAGTGTTGGTGTCCTGGCCGCCAGCGGGGGAGCAGTGCGGCGCTGTGCCTGGTGTGCTCGGAGGGCAGTGCAGCGCGGACTCCCCGCCGCCCGGGGTGTGGCAGGTTCTCTCACCAGGCTGAACGTGGAAATAAAAGCAAACCTGTGTGAAAAAGCTGTCTTTCTCCTCTTTGAACGTAGCTAGCGGCCTTGAATGTGGCGCCTCTCTCCCCTCCCTCCCCGCCAGCGGTGGTGGCCGCTGCTGGGCTCCTTGCATCCGTCTGCCATGCGCCACGCGGTGAGGAGGGCGACCACCCTCATGATCTCGTCTGCGCGTCCGCTGAGCCCTGCACAGTACGCGGCAGTCCGGGAGATGTCGTTTTCTTGTCTGTGCTCACCGTGTCACCTGATGAGGAGCCCTGTAGACTTTGCCTTGGAGTTCTACAAGCTTGCAGACTTGGTTGAGAGCTGTCGTTTTAGCCACTATTACGTGGCTTTGAATATTTAGCTTTTTTGCCCCTCTAGAAAGGGAGTGAACGAATCATGTAATCTCAGCCCATTTTTATTTGCAGTGTCTTGCTACCCATCGGTGCCTTGTGAAATTGCGGTTTCTTCCACCTCTTTCTTTTTGTCCCCTTGGAAGCTGAAGTGTAGTTTGAAAAGCAGCGAAGCCTGCAGCAGGCGCACTTGGAATTCACGGCAGTGACATGTGCAAACCTCAGCGTTTGGGATTGGAGCAGGAGCTGTCACCTGTGGGCAGAAGACAGGCGGATGCCGCCCCTGCGGCCCAGTCAGCTGGTGCCCAGGCGGTCCTTGTCCTGCGGGGTTCCAGGGACAGTGGCGGTGGCGGGCTGCCCACTGCAGGCTCATCCTCACGAAGGCCCCGGCGGCTCAGGGTCCCCCGGGTGAGGCGGGCATTCCGCGCTGCCCCTTTCTCGTGAGCCTTAAATCCCCCCATCCGCTTTCTCCACAGTCCTTCTGGTTGCGGGCCTGCCGTTAGCGCGTCCCCGTGAGTGCCCGTTTTACGGTGCTTCTCGTTGCTCTCCTCTTTTCTCAGCTTGAGTGTGCCAAGACCTAGTTTTTCTAATTTCATGGCAGTAAGAAGAAGAGGCACACGGTTCTATCATATTCACAGGTTTTTAACAGAGCTTTCAAAAACTTTTCCCTGTTTGAAACTTGCTAGTTGTAATTGTTTTATCTGATTTGTAAATAAAAGGATTTCTGAAACACTGCCTGCTTCGACTCTCCTTGCTGCAGCGGAGCCTTCCAGGACCGCCCTGGCGACGATTCCTGACCCAGCCTGGGGTGGGAAAGGGCAGAGCGTCCCCCCAGCACTCTGGCCCGGGGCGTCCAGGTGGGCACTGGTCTGCTCTTGGCCGTGTCTGCAGGAGACCGGAAGCGGTCAAGGCGGGAGGGTATTTGCCTTCGCCTTGGAACCTGGCTTTTCCAGCAAGTTCTGGGAGGGGTCGAGGCTGGAGCCTTCGTGAAAGGGGGACATGGATTTCGAGGGGTGCCGCTCCCTCTCCTTGCCTCGTTCACGTGTCACGCGGTCCTGGAGCTCAGCACTGACCTGGACGCCATGGACTGTGGCCACATGCACACTCGTCCTGAGCACCCTACCGTACGCTGGTCGGTCAGTGCTGCTGGGCCGGCCAACCTGAGAGCCATGGTGACCTGAAGCGAGCCATTCACCCTCAGGCCCACCCCGCTGCTGCCGCTGGGCCCCTGCACGTCTTTCTACTCTAGTTCCAGTCACTCGGTGGGATTTCTCAGTTTCACTTCATGGATGCTATCTCTGATTGTACGAAACACAGGACCAATGGGCTGTGTTGGCACTGACCCCAGCTCTCGGTAGGGGCGGTGCTGTCTGGCACTTGTTGGCTGCACCGCCGGGCAGCTGCAGCCTGTGATGGTTGGTTCTCGGTGCAGTGACTTCCCTGGGGCCCGCAGTGGAAAAGCTGAGCGCAGTGTTTAAGCAGCAGATACGCCGGCGGTTAACTCGAGTCAGGCCCTGGGTGCAGTGCAGACAGCTTGGGAGAGGCCAAACCCTTTAAGGATGCATCTTTGGGAAGAGGCATTCACAGCTGAGGTGATTCCAGGAGATGTTAGCTACTTCAGTGGGGAAGCTCCAAGGCCAACCCTGGCGTGCTTTGGGAGGGGGCGGGGGGCAGCACTGCTCAGGCCTTTCCTCTGGCTGCCCCCTCTCCTGGCACCCCACCCTGCGAAAATAGATGCAGTCCCTCCGTCTCCTCCGGGTGTAGATCTCAGGCAGGCTCACCTGTAGATTGGGTGAGGCAGTGGAGGAACCCTGGGTTGCCATGGTGTTGGATGAGCACATACACATGAAGGCTGGACAGGTGTCTGGCACCCGTCCCTGTGTCTGTGTCTGTGTGCCCAGCATGCAGCCGGCCTGTGCCCCGTGGGGCCTGGGCCACTCAGCTGCTCAGGGCCCATCTGAGCCACGTGGGCAATCCCAGCATCACTGAGACAGTTAAGGACCAGCTGGGCTCCCAGGGGCCCTGCTGATGTCACTCGGGCGGGGTGGGGCGGGGCTGACTCGGGGACAGGTCTCCTCATCTCAGCCAGGAGAGCAGGGAGTGCGTGCATCCCTGGCCTGCCACATGCCCTCCTGCCCTGCCGCTGGCCCCTCCCCGGCTGGGGGCAGCCCAGCCCTGAGGGAGATGGAGCCCAAGGACCAGCAGCTCATGGTGAGTGCCCTCCTCGCCTCCCCTGACAGCCGCAGGGTTGTGCATCTGCATCCCCAGCCCCGAGGCTGCCTCTGCCCTGCTCCCGACCCGCTGCCCCCAGCACAGCTTGGCACAGCTGAGGTCTCTGTCATCAGCCCCCCGAACCCAGCAGTCCTCAGCCTTCCCTCACTGGGACCTCACAACTCCCTGCTCCCCAACCTCCTCACCCCAAGTCCACAGGCACCCCCCTTCACCCCTTGCCCTCTGAATCTCATTCCCTGGGGAGCTCGACCTGCACCAGGACCCCCAGAAGCGGGGGGTGGGCACCCTCTACCCTGGCCCAATCCAGGCCCTGTGAGGCCTGACCAGACCCTCTGCTGGCTCACGTGGAACCTCAGCCCGTTTGACAGTTGGGTGAGCTGAGGCTGAGGACTCGCCCCAGAGACCTGAGTCCTGCCTGCCCCTCGGGGAGAAGCAGAGCTACGGCTTCTGCCGGAAGGAACTTTCCCGTCCTACAGATGAGAGAGCGGGGGCCCAAAGGCTTGCGCTGGCTTGCCGGGGCCCATAGCTCCTGGGGGGTCGAGGATTCGAGGCCTGGGGTCAGTGTGATCCAAGAGGGCCTCCTGTGGGACTCCCTGAGGATGGGGGTGGTGGAGCGGGGCAGAGAATGATGGACAGCGGAGCCCGGGGGCTTCCTACTTGAGAATAGCCTTCCCTCTGAACACACTCATGGCCTGCATGGAGCTTTGGGTCCCTTCTGGTGGTGGGTGAAGCAGAAGTAACCGGGTGAGGGGGTGAGACCCCCTTAGCTGTGTGGCCTTGGGCAAGTTACTTCACCTCTCTGTGCCTCAGTCTCCCCACCTGAGATTAGTGAGGGTAACTATGCACAGTGCTCCCCTCCAGCATTACGTGAGGCGGGAACAAGTTCACGCTATGGGTTGGAAGGTTAGCACTTGGGGCTCAGTGGCCTTGATGCCTCACTGAGAGCGTGGAGCTCATGAGGTGGGGATGGGGAGGAGTGGGGAGAGTTTGGGCTGGGCGTCTCCGGTGTCCTGGAAGAATCCTGCCCACAGGTAGCGCTGCGGATCCGCCCGCTCAATGACACAGAACTGGAGGAAGGAGCCACCGCCATCGCCCACAAAGTCGGGGACCAGGTGAGGCTGTAGGGGCACAGAGGGTGCGTCCACCGGGTCGCAAAGCTCACCCTCCCAGTGCACACTTCACCTGCTTCGATCCCTCGCTCGCCCACTTGCTCATTCTCTCATTCATGCCTTCAGCAAATGTTCAGATCCAGTGCTCCCCGCGGCCAGATGCTGTTCCAGACGCTGTTCCAGACGCGGGTAGGGCCGTGAGGCAGACAAGGGCCCACCCAACCCAGCTCACTTTCTAGTGGGGGTGGGGGGCAGCCGGACATCTCGGGGGGGTGCAGTGCCTCAGAGAGGAGGAAGCAGAGCACAGGTGGGCCCGAAGGCCTCTCTGATAGGACGCCCGGGCAGCACCCAGAGGAGGGGGCCCAGTGGTCTCCGGGAGGGAGTGATGCTCCAGGTCCCGACGCAGGAGCGGCTGGGCTCAAGGGCCTGGAGCCGTGGGAGCGGGAGACGGCGGGGCCCAGCGCGAGTTTAGCAGGTCCAGGTCCAGGGCTGCAGTTTGGGGAAGGGGCCCAGGTGACTGCGGGCAGCAGGATGCTGCCTCGCCGAGGATTCCTGCTCCTCGGTTTGGACACGTTGGTGCCCGTCGTAGTCACTTGCTGGAATAAATGCCAAATTTGGGGGAAAACAAGATTTTGTCAAGAGAATTGGGTTTTCCCATTTGTCGTCAGAAAGGCAGCTTTAGCGAGGAATTGAATGTGGTTCCTGGGAGCGTGTTTGCCCATCCAAGGCAGAGGGCCAGGATGTTGGGGAGCCCTGGCTGCCGGCTGCCCACCAGGGTTGGGGCGCCCAGTGCCGACCCAGCCGGAGGGAGAGAAGCTGGAGGGGCGATGCTGCGGGAAGGTGAAATGGACGGAATGACTGGGGGGCAGGAGGGGCAGGGAGGCCAGGGGAACTGGTGCTGAGTTCCTAGATAACTCAGCAGTAAAACAGGACGGGGCCCTTGTTAAATCGGGGGGAAGAAGAGAGGACCCTTTAAATAACTTTTAAGACAAATAATTTGCTGGAATCTATAGTGGCTCTTAAAGTAATGTCACTAGTCCTCAGACCTCGGGGCTTTGCCCATCATGGGGGCTTGCCAGGGTCCAGCCCCAGCATGAACAGGGTCTCCTGAGGGATGGACGGCGTCCGCGAGGGAGGAGGCGGTGAGACAAGGAGTTTTGTGTCCAAGTCTAACTTTATTTTGTGTATGTATGATTTATATAGGGCTCAGGGTATGCAAGGATGATTTCATGAAACAGTCCCAGTACATGTTTTTGGCTCACGTAAGCTGGTTTTTGCAAGGTAGACAATAGTCCTAACAGTAATTGATTATAAGATAGACAGTAGTCCTAAGAGCAATTGATTGTGTGTAGGCCCTGGAGGAGTCAAGCTTCTGTAATTCTTTCCTTCAAGGAGGCTACCCTCAGCGGCCTCCTGACTCAATGGGCTGTGGCAACCACGGTCCTCCCAGAGAGATCTGTGGGGGCTACAGATTTCTTTGTTCCCTCTCCACTCCCATCGCTTCACCCGACCAAAGGACGGGTCAGAATGTTCTTTCCCTAGAAGATGTTTTTCCCCAGAACTTTCCCTAGAATATTGCATTGTATCATTCTCATTCCCAGGGCCGGGCTGACTTCCCCTGAAATAACCCCAGGTGTAGAGCAGAGTGAGCAAAAGCAGAAAAGTCAGAAGTACCGGGGAGACTCGTTGCAGGGGCACCCTGGTAGAATCCCTTGAGGGTCACCGTGCGTCCCCTCATCTCTCTCCCGGACCGTGTCACAAGGCAGAGGCTTAACTTGTAGGCTGACGGCTCCCGGCAGGGGCTGACCGACCTCCTCCCAGGAGGCTCCCCAGCTGTCCCTGGGTGACTTCTGGTCCCATCTGGTAACGGGAGCCTCAGCAGCACCCCTGTGTGGGTTGGAACACCCCCCTTTCATCTTTCTCCTGCTGTTTGCCGGCCGCACCCCTGGGAGGCCACCGGCCACACCTGAAGATAGTGTCGCCTGCTGGCCCCAGCCCTGGCAGCTCCGTGGGCATCCGGGGCTGCCCATGGTTCCTCGAGGTGAGGATGCCTCTCTCCTTAGAGGGAGAACTTCTCCCCAGCGCCCTGGTTTTGGGGCTCCTGTGAATCTAAGGAAACAGGACACCTCCGGATTCCACGGGGTGGGGGGCGGGGCTCGGGCTGAGGGGTTTGAAATGAAACAAGCGCATCATGAGAATGGAAAATCGTTTCAGCAAGTCGGAACCTCAGGTTTTCCGGCACTGCCGCCCCTCTGAAGTCTCGGGAACGCTGGCACTTGGTCAGTAGGCTCCGCAGAGGAGCGTTTCAGAACGATGTGGGTGACGGTGTGCGGTCACAGGTCCCCCTGGACCCTCTCCACCTGCATCCCCACCACCCCCTGCATCGTCTGGTCTCCCCTCTGGGCGTCTGGACAGGAATGTCTCGGAGTTATTCCAGAGCCCACCCCGGGCCTGGCTCCCAAAGGCTGCCTTGCCGTGCACTATACAAAAGCCCACTTTTTAAAAATTGAGGTGAAATTCACATGACACAAAACTCAACCATTTTACAGTGAAGAATTCAGTGGCATTCAGCACATTCACAGTGTCGTGCGACCTCTATCTAGTTCCAAAACATTTCCATCACCCCAGAAGGAGAGGCCACACCTGGGGAGCCGTCGCTCGCCAACCGCCTCCCACCGCCCGCCAGCCCCTGCCACCCCCACCTGCTTCCCGTCTCTGTGGGTTCGCCCGTTCTGGATGTTTCCTGTGAACGGGGTCCTACGATACTCGGCTTTCGCCCCTGGCTTCTTTACCTAGCACGGTGTCTCCAAGGTTCGTCCCTGCTGTGTGTCGTCGCATTTGCTTTCAACTTTTGATTTTGAAGTCACTGTGGACTGATCAAAATGCTGCCAGAACCCCGCAAGGAGCTCCCCTCTTCCCTGCGCGGTTCCCCAGATGTTAACGTTGCACCAGTTAGCTTCATCCTCCCGCCCTGTGCCCACACGCTCCTTTCCCAGGACCGTTTCAGAGTAAGGTGTGGGCATCGTGCTCCTCCACCCCCGCATGTCTCAGTGCGCATTTCTTAAAAACAGGAACGTTCTGTGACCCCAGGACAGCGAGCAAAATCAGAAATGAACACTGACATGATGTCACCAGGTCTACACCTGTGTGCACATTTAGCTGATTTCTCTCAATAATGTTATTTTCAGCAAAAGAAAACAAACATTTTTTTCCGGTCCCAGACTCAGTGCAGCTGGTAGGTTTTGAACCCGCCGGGCTCGGCGCTGTGCACGCGGTCTCGTTACCGCTCACAGCCGTGGGTTCGAGTAGTGTGTCCATCTTGTGGCCCAAGGAGGTGAGGGAACGTGCCCGCGCCTCCCAGCTGGTGTGGGTAGAAGCAGGATTGGAAACTGGGCTGCGGGCTTCCCCCCACCCCTCCTCCCCCCAGCAGGGACTTTTTGACTGCCCTTCCAATGCAGGCCAGGCCCATGTGCACACGCACCAGGAACTGCCCTGCAGGGGCTGCCCCCACGCCCTACTTTCTTGGATCCTCTCCGTCACTGGAAGGAGAAGAAAAGCATCAAGGAAAAGCGAGCGAGCTTATGTCATGGAGCAGGTCCTGGCCAGAAGCCCGGCCGGGCCCCGGGGGCTGCTCCCAGCCCTGCCTGACTCCCCAGGAACCCGGGCAGCCCTCGCCTCCCGGGACCTCAGTTTCCAGAGCTGTGGACCCACGCAGGGGTCAGGCGGGTGGCCAGGTTGGGGGGCTCTTGGTCAGCTCCACTGTGCCCCCTACAACTCCGTGCTTCCTCCCCAGTGTCCGGCCCTGCAGGCCTGGACAGGCAGCTGAGCCCCCCCCAGACCTCCACCAGCCAGGAGCTCCTCGAAGAGTAAACAGAGCTGATTGGTGTCCAACTGCCTGCCCCCCTGTCCCCTGGGAAAGGCTCCTTTGAACCTGCCGTCCTGGAGGCCCTAATGCACGGTGGCTCATCATCACATATTTATGCGAGACGGAGGCCCCGGGAGGGCCACCCGGCGGTCGGAGAGGCGAAGGCGGGCTGGAGAGCCCAGGTGGTCCTTTCCTTCTCCAGGTGCCTGTGGACCCCCCACTCTTCCGTTCTCTTTCCTTCGTGTGGCTCAGCCCCCTGAGTGGGAGGTAAAGAGGTCGGGGGTGGACATACTTGGGGCCGCGTGGCAAGAGCGCAGCAGTGAGGCTGCGGCTCAGCACTTTACAGTTTACAGAGCCCCTTCCTGTCTCTCCGTCCATTAGTTCTTCAAAGGCCCGTCCCTGTGGAGCGCTGCCTGAGGGGTCGTGGCGGGAGGGCTGTTTACAGGGACCCCAGCCCCCAGGGCCCGCCTGCTGGCAGGAGTGCAGGTGTCTGTCCCAGGGGTGGCTGTGGATTCAACATTGCCCAGTTGCTGGTGCGTGAGTGCCGGGAGCCTGGGGGGCTGATCGTCGTGGCTGTGGGGGCCGTAGCCAAGAGACGCTGCCCCCTCGGATGGAAAGCAGAGAGGGTGCTGGGCGGGAGCCCCCCAGCTCCTTTCCTGGCTGAGCACAGAGGCCTACGCCCTCCTCGGACCCAGGCCAGGCCCCCGGAGGTCGTCGAGGCTGCTTCCACGAGCAGCCCTTCCCGACCCCTCCCTTCTCCCTGCTCCTAGATGGCAGTGCTCATGGACCCCGGGGAGGACCCTGAGGACACGCTGCGTGCACACCGTTCCCGGGAGAAGGCCTTCATCTTCGACACGGTTTTCGACCAACACGCGTCGCAGGTGCCCGCCCCTCCGCCCCCTTCATCCCGTGGGCTGCGCCAGCCGTGGGTGTCTCACCAAACCCGGAGCCCCCCCGAGGGGCACTTGGTGGCCAGGTGGTCTTGTCTGTGACTTCTCACGGGGCTGTCCCTGATGAGCAAGGGCGTTGGCGCTTCGGGTCATCCCAAGGGCAAGGAGCAGGAGGCCCCTTCCAGGGGTGTGGGGGTGCCGCTAGGTCCCTGGGCCTGACACATGTTCTCACTCATCCCTCCGTCTGTCCACCCATTCATTCAGCAAAATGATGTCCTGTCCACCCTGTGGCTGGACACACTCCCTGCCCACGGGCTCCCTCCCCAGCGAGGGAGACAGACAGCCAACACGGAGAAAGGATCGCTACTAAGTGCTGTCGCAGGACCAGCGGGGCGTGCGGTGGTGGGGGGCCCTCCCTGAGGGGGTGTCTCAGCTGAGACCTTGAGCACGGAGCTGCAGACAACAGAGCGACAGAGCGGGGAGGGGTCCAGGCGGGCCCCTTAGCACACCCGTTCCCCAGATGAAGAGCCCGAGGCTCCGCGGGGTCACACAGAGGCCTGATCTTCCTCCTCCTCACCCCCTCTGCTGAGGACAGAAGGCTGCCCAGCATGTCACCTGACCCTGGCCCGGGAGCTGGGCCTTGTCACCCCACGTGGCAGAGGGCAGCCCGGGGCTCAGGGCGGACTGACACCGAGTGAGGGACACCCACTCCTGAGCCCAGCGGAGCCAGATTGGAACCCAGGCCTCCTGCAGTGGGAGCGTCACATCCCCAGGGTGATGAAGGCTGGGGGACTTGTGGCCCAGGACAAAGCCAGGGAGGGACGCAGGGCTTGTGCTGCTCAGCCCCATGCCCAGGTGACCTTCCCTTCCCAGGGGGAGCGGAGCCGAGGGAGGCCCCGTGCTCTCCGCACCACACCTCCGCTGCCACCAAGCCCCCCACTTCTCGCTCGCAGGCCAGCCGGCCCCCCCACAGCTGGGTGCCTGAGACCAGTTGCTCACGGCGTCCCTCATGGTTCTGTGGGCCCAGGAGGACCTGCTGGGCAGACCCTCGGGCTTTTAGTCATATATGGGGGGCGGCAGTCATCCGAAGGCCCCACTGGGCCCACGTCCAAGTGGCCCGCCCCCTCAGCTCCCAGAGGACTCACCGTCAGCATGGCGTTGGCTGGGGCTGTCCCCTGGAGCCCCCATGTGTGGCTTCTCTGTGTGGCTTGGCCTTCCTCGCGGCATGGTGGCCTCGAAGCTCCAAGAGGGCAGGGGGAGGCTGCTGACCTCTCTGAGGCTCGGCCCCCAGCTGGCACGTCACCACGTCTGTCGTGCTTTCCTGGCCACGCAGGTCACCGAGGCTGGCCCAGACTCGAGGAAGGCTCAGCCTCTCAGTGGGGCGGTGGTGGGAATTTGCAGCCTCTTTAAGCTACTGTACCTCTTTTCTGTTGCTGTCCAGCCTGGCAGCCGAGTTACAATGGAGAGCATCTCAGGGGGGTCCTGCTCAGAACTCGCGGGCCACCCTTTGTCACTGGGGACGTCGCCCTCCATTCAGGACTGGGCCGTAATGACGAGGCAGGACGGACTGGCTCAGCACGGGCAGGCCCAGCTGCTGTCTGAGCTGACAGGCTTTTACTCCCGAGATCTTAATGGCGTCGGGGGTAGAAGGGACCTGGTCATTAACTCATATCGAGCAGCTGCTGCTTGTCACAGGCTGAGCTTGAGTGTTTGATGTGCGCGGTCTTACAAGCCTCACAGCAACCCTATAAAGTAGATGGTAATATTGTCCCCATTTTGCAGACGGGGAAACTGAGGCTTCAGGAGGTCAGCAACTTGCCTGAGGTCACACAGCTGGAGAGTTGCAGAATCAGGACTCAGGCCCAGACTGCGTGAGTCCAAAGCTGCGGGAAAGCAGTACCAGCTTTGGAGTCTGTCCAGCCTGGGCTCAGAGGCTGCCTCTCCCTCCTGTGAGCTGCGTAACCAGCCAGGGCTGTTGGGACAGTGAAACGAAATGAGGAGCAGGGCCCAGAGTGGGCGCCCAGGAAGGGCAGAGGACATGGGGACTGCCCTTTCTATGCAGTCCAGCCAAACCTACACACCCTCAGACACCAGCTCTGGAGGGGTCCTTTCTTGAATACCGTTGTGGACGGGGAGCTCCCTACCCACACACTCCTCTTGCTGCACGCTGCTGCCTTAAATGAAATCGTGCCGGCCCGAGACGTCACTCCCTGGTCCTAGTTTTGTCCCGTACGGGGAGCCGTAATGCCCTTCGCAGATTTCCAAACCCTGCTGCAGCCTCACAGCCCTTCGCATCCTTTCTGATCTCTCCCAATTCCTGAAACAGCCCTGGAAATGACTCACAAGCGTTTAGTACCAGACGTGTGTGAGGCCTGTGGCGGAAGCTGTCACACACCTTCTCGCACCTGGGCTTGCGCGGTTGGCCTCGTCTCCCCCGGCGAGGCGGCTACGGGACCGGGATGGGAGCCCACACGCTGTCGACACCGCCCTCCCCGATGTAGCTCCCTGTGCATGTCCAGAGGCAACAGGACGTCTGCAGGCGCCACACAGCGCTCCTCTCCAAGCAGCGGGGGGCCCCGACTCCGGCCGGGCCGTCCGTTTCACCGTCTGTCCTTCTGTCTGTCCGCAGGAAGATGTGTACCGTGCCACCACCCAGCAGTTAGTGGAGGGCGTCATTTCTGGATACAACGCGACGGTGTTTGCCTACGGCCCCTCAGGTACCGCCAGGGGCAGGGTCCCAAGGAGGGAATGGGGCACCTGCCGTGCACCGGGCTGCTCTGGTCTCTCCGCATCCCCGGCTCCTTTCATCCTTGCAGCCGCTCTGAAAGGCAGCTGGAATGATCTCCTCTTTACAGCTGAGAAAGCTGAGCCTCAGAGAGGTAGAGTGACTTCCCCAGGGCCACACAGCTGGTAGGAGTGAGCCTGGACTTCTGTCCACGCCTACACTGCTGCCCATGAGAGCCCACAGGTTTCTTCTCTGGAATGACTAGCTGGACTCATCCAACACTCGCAAAGCTAGGCTCCCTCTCGCCCCGAAAACTAGAACCACAGAGGGTCAGAGCTGGACGGGCGCCACCCCCTCACTGTGCAGATGGGGAAACTGAGGCCCTGAAAGCACCTAGACCAAAGTTGTAGCTCGTTTATTGCTTGCTTTCTTTCATTCATTCATTCAACAAACATTAGCGAGTACCCGTATGTGCCGGGCTCTAGGGAAGAGAGAGCAGGCCGGTCCTTGCTGGGAGGGTGGACAGATGAGGGGAAGGCGAGGCCTCCCTGTGAGGAGGCAGGCCTTAAAGGTGTGAGACAGCAGCCGTCTTCTTAGAAGAGCCGCACGGACGTCTGAAAGAGAGTCTGGGGAGAAGAGCAGCCGTGTCTCGTGTCCCCGTCCTCTGACACCGTCTCAGTCTTTGCCTCGGATCCTCCCCCACCCCGTGCCCCACTTTTCTCCCCCAGACCATTCAGACAGTTTCTTTTCCTTGTTTCCAAAATGGAAAACGTGCCTGTCAGCGGCCAGGACCGTTTGCATGGCAGAGGCGGCTGGCATGGACAGCCTCTTGGTAGCACAGCGTCCACGTAGGGTCGAGCCCCCCCTCAGGAGCCCTGCCTTGGGGGTCTCGCTCCTCCCGCAGGTGCAGGGAAGACCCACACCATGCTGGGCACGGACACGGAGCCCGGCATCTACCTGCGGACCCTTGCCGACCTCTTCCAGGCCATCGAGGAGAGCCGGGACGGCGCGGACTGCCGCGTGTCCATGTCCTACCTCGAGGTGAGCCTGCGCCCGCCCCGCAGCCCGGTCTGCAGAGCGGGCGTGTTCGTGTGTGTAACGCCTGCTGCGTGTTACCCCCAGGGGCCCACTGGCCTGGGGACGCCGAGCCCCAGGATATGCAAGTCCCTGCACTTGTTTTGCACCAAAGCTGCTTCCTTTGCGGCTCTTCTGTCTCCTCCCAGATTTATAACGAAGTGATCCGGGATCTCCTGAACCCGGCCTCGGGGTTTCTGGAGCTGAGGGAAGACTCCAGGGGCAGCATCCAGATCGCAGGCATCACAGAGGTCTCCACCTCCCACGCCCAGGAGGTGAGGGTCGCGGGGCCCACGGAGGGAGAGGGGCGCAGCCGCGGCGGCCACGCACCCCAGACCTAGCTCACAAGGTCCTTCTGGTTCCAGCTCAGAGCAGGGCCACACACACGGCCCCAAAGCTGAGGCCAAGCTGAGGGCATGGCAGATGTTCATGTCCATACCCCTGCTGTCCTAGCCTGAGCGCAGGGCGGACGTCACTAGCGGATGGCGCACTCTCCCTCTGCATCCAGAGGCAGCTCAGCGTCCCTTCCTGCACGACCAGAGTCGGCCTCGAGCCTGAGAGCCACTTGCCGTCCCCGATCCTAAGTTTGCGGCCGGAAGGAGGGCCACTGGACGCTCCCCACAGCCCTCCCGTCCCTCTGCACCAGCCACACTCAGCTCTGCCCTCGGCCGGGCTCCGGGCGGGCTCGGGGAGCCTTCTTGCCTGTGCTCTCACAGCGGCTCTGTCGGTCTCCTCCGCACGTGCTCTGTGGTCCCAGCAGGGCCCGGCGCACAGTGGGTGCTCAGCGGAGGCTTGTTAGCCTGGTTTCCACAGCGGCTCGCGTGACAGCTGCGTTTCAGCCCACTCGCCAGCTCCATTGAGTCCATGCGACCGCCAGGACTTGTGTATTGACAAGCGTTCCAGGGGCCGGCCCGGTGGCATAGTTGCTAAGTTCACGCTCTCCACTTTGGCGGCCTGGGGGTTGCAGGTTTGGATCCCGGGTGTGGACCTAGCACCATGCATCAAGCCACGCTGTGGCAGCATCTCACATACAAAATAGAGAAAGATTGGCACAGACGTTAGCTCAGGGCCAATCTTCCTCACCAAAAGGAAAAAAAAAAATAAGGGTTCTGGGGCTGCACCTGGCTCTGTGGGAGGAGATGGGTGATCCACTGGTGATGTCTGCTGTGGGTGGAGGAAGGGGCAGGGGTGGTACGAGTGTCAGCGGTCTGCCATCCCTGCTGGATTAGTTGACTCGGTTAATTAATCACTGATGCTGCAAACCAGAAATTGCTTCCCCTGGACGAGGTTCTGCCATCAGCGTCCCGGCCATGGGGGCTGGTGAAGAGTTGCCCAGAGGAGCTCAGGGGCCACACCTCCTTCTCTTGCCCGGGTGGGTCTGGAGGGGGCGCGTGGCCACCCCCGCCTCTGCCTCTGTCTTCAGATCATGCAGCTCCTCACCAAAGGCACCCGGCAGCGCACCCAGGAGCCCACGGCCACCCACCCGACGTCGTCGCGCTCCCACGCCGTGCTGCAGGTCACCGTGCGCCAGCGGCGCCGCGGCACAGACCTGGCGGAGGAAGTGCACGTGGGGAGGCTCTTCCTGGTGGACCTGGCGGGCTCAGAGCGGGCGTCCCAGGTACCCACCCTCTGACAGGCCCCCTGCCCCCTCCACCCTCATCACAGCCACTCGCCTGTGTCCGCCGGCCCGTCAGTCTTGAGCAGGACCCTGGCCGTCCTCGTCCAGTAGCGCCTCCGGCCCCTGGAATGGCGCCTGGCCCCTGAACGTTTGTTGAATGAATAATTCTCAACAAGTACTGAGTGGCCAAGCCTGCTGAGCCAGTATTTACAGGGGGCGTCCTGCATGCAGCGCTCTCCTGGGCACCAGAGACAGAAGACGAACAGCACCCAGACCTGCCCCAGGGAGCTCAGAGCCTCGGGGGACAGGGGCAGACAGATGTGTGAGCGGATGATCACCGCACAGGGAGGCCTATGCTTGGCGATTCAGGGTCTGCACGGAGGCTGTGGGAGCCTAGAGGAGGGGGCCTCAGGGCTGAGCCTGCAGGAGTTTGACGGGGTGCAAGGAAGGGTGTGTCAGATGGAGGGAACAGTGCATGCAAAGTGTGGCTGCTGGGGGCAGAGTGCACAGTTTACTATAGCCCGCCTGCCCCCAGCCCTGGCCCACCGTCCTTTGTGCACCTGTCGCCAGGAGTGAGGGCTGTGTTCTCTTGCTGCAGCGGCCTGAGCGTCCGTTGAGGGCCGGGACGGAGGTGTGCGGCAACTCCCGGAACGGGAGGCGCTGTCAGACAACACTGATATGATCAACGAGCGACATTTTTCACATCCCCTTGTGCCCCAGGCATTTAGCGTTCATGACCCCATGGATCCCCCCGACGCAGTGTCAGGTGGGCAGCGGCGTGCGGGTGTCGCGAGCGCAGAGCTGAGCCCGGGCAGCCGTGTGACTTGGCCGTGCGCAGGTGTACTGGGTGGAGGGTCTGGCCTTTGATCATTGAGTCGCTTCTGTCATTCATTCATTCACCCGCCCCGCACCTGGCCCTGCCCTCGGGGCACGGGCTGCTGGAACAAGCAGGGCCTGGCTGGCAGGTCCGGAGTCGGGCTGGCTTAAAATGCAGTGTTTTAATAGAAAATTGGAGGTGCGGTGAGGCCAGCAGATCAGGAGACGGCTGCGGCTGAAAGGATAGTTTCTTTGTCACAGGTCCCAGGAGGAGGGCGCGCGATGCCGCCAGGGCCGTGTGGGGAGCCCCAGGGTCTGTCGGGAGGCAGGAGGCGGGGGAGCTGTGGGCAGCAGCCTTTATTGTGGTTTCGTGGGAAGGCGGGCTCAGCATTGTCTAGTTTGGATCATCCCAGTGGGCTCTGGGGCGTGGACGCTGTCCCCGGTTATCTGGTACCCGGCCTGAGCGTGAGGACCCCGTGGAGGAGGGCAGGGCGTGGGCTCTGGTTGGCTGGTTTGCACATGAAAGGCGAGTGGCACTGCTCATCAAGCCATGCTGTGGCAGGCGTCCCACGTATAAAGTAGAGGAAGATGGGCACGGATGTGAGCTCAGGGCCAGTCTTCCTCAGCAAAAAGAGGAGGATTATCAGATGTTAGCTCAGGGCTAATCTTCCTCAAGAGAAAAAAAAAAAGAGCAAGATAATTGTCAGGAGTGTTAAGTGATTTGAAGGAAATATACAGGGTGACATGGCGAAAGGTCACAGGTGGGCTGCTGTGCTGCCCGGGAGAGCAGGGTCGGGGTGCTCCCACAGGAGGCATGCTGAGCTGGGACTGGCAGGAGGAGAGAGTCTCAGTGTGGGGGTCTCCCTGGGTAACACACGCATTCATATTTTTATTATAAAAGTGGGATTGTTCTGAAGACATCCCTCTGACCCGTTTTTTGTCTCATTTAATGGCATCTTTTCAACATCAGCAGATAGTGCTACACCGTCCCTTTTCATGGCTGCGTCGTACTCCCCCACAGAATCCTGTGTCACTGCTCCCAGGGTCTCAGGAGTATACTCGGTCAGGCAGAGCCTGAGCATCCCCCGGGGGGGGGCTGGGCTTCCTGCACCCCCGGGACCTCAGTCCCCGCCCCTGGGAACCAGGATGGGGGAGGTCGGGGGTCGAGAAAGACTGTCCTCCCAGCAGCCTGGCCTCTCCCTGCTCAGACCCAGAACCAAGGCAAAAGGATGAAGGAGGGCGCGCACATCAACCGCTCCCTGCTCGCGCTGGGCAACTGCATCAACGCGCTCAGCGAGAAGGGCAGCAGCCGCACGCAGTACGTGAACTTCCGGGACAGCAAACTCACGCGCCTGCTGAAGGTACGGCCCGCAGGCTGCCACACCTGACGGCGTCCCCCAGGACCTGCCTGTGGGGGGAGGCTCACACCTGGGTCTGAGGGCCCTTCCAGGGACCCCCGAAGGCAGGAAAACCCCGTAGAAACCATCCTCGTGACTGCCCAACTCTCCCGCCATCCAGCCCATGCTTGCATGCTCCCAGGGACAGGGAGCTCACTACCTTTCCCAGGCTGCCTGTCCCGTTATGGACCGTCTGACCGTGAGAAAATTCCTCTTTCTGCTGAGCTGAATGCTGTCACCTCTAGTCTACGGCAAGACAGGGTGTAAATAAACAAACGGGCAAAGCAATAAATGAACGTCCCCGTAGATTCGGCCTCTTGGTCTACTCTGCTCGCCTCAGAGCAGAAGGCAGTTGGGATGCGTGAGGGAGGGGCCATGCCACTGGGCAGGTGGGGGTCCCGGTTCCCGTCACCCCCAGCTGTGCCTGCCTCCGAGCAGGATGCCCTGGGAGGGAACAGCCGGACAGTGATGATCGCCCACATCAGCCCAGCCAGCACGTCCTTCGAGGAGTCTCGGACCACGCTGCTGTACGCCTACAGAGCCAAGAACATCAAGACAAGGGTGAGCCGCCCGCTCCCGCCCTCCCTCTCTCCCTCCTTTGTTCACTCGCTCCCCGCCACCCTCCCCGAGGGGAGGGCCCTTCCTTGTCCCTTCCAGCGTCTGGTGGCTCCTGGCCCTCCTTGGCTTCATCCCTCTGCCTCTCCCACTATTCCCGCAGGGCCTTCTCCTCTTCCCCTGCTTTCTCCTCTTTTCTCTTCCGAGGACACACAGCTGCCACTGGATTTAGGGCCTCCCTAACCCAGGACGATCTCGTCTTGAGATCCTTCATTACATCTGCAAAGACCCTTTTCCAAAGCAGGCCACATTCACAGGTTGAGGGGTTTGGGGCGTGGACTCATCTCGGTGCCTGGCTGCGCCGTGAGCTCTCCGTGTGGTTTGATTTATTTCATTCTCTACAGCCCTCTCCCTAGGAGGGAGGTCCTACGACCGCCCCACTTTACACACTGGACAGCTGCAGCACAGAGAGGTCAAGCAACTTCTCTAAGCTGCCACAGCTAGCGCAGAGCTGGCACCAGAGTCCCTGCCTTAAACCGCTGTGCTGGTCTGTCTACACTGCTGCACGCAGTGTGGAGGATTCCTCTCTTCAGGCTGTATGGGAATTCATTGCGATGATGCCCTGAGTGACTAGAGGTGAACACAAGAGGTGTTATTTTATTACATCGCTATTGTCACCACAAACATGTGATGAACCCTCCCCCACCGCCCAGCTCGGAGCTGGGCGCCATGACAGAAAAACCACAGCATGGGGCTTCTGCTCTCCCCCGAACCCTGAGCTCAGCTGGGCGGGGAGGGGGCTATTAAACCTGAATTCACCCAGATCGACACATAATTTCCAACTGCGGCACGTGCTCTAAATGAGAGCCACATGTGCTACCGGAGGGACTAACCGAGAAGACCCAGGTTAGAGGGGCCTCCGCTGAGGGGGCGTGGGGCAGGCAGGGCCCTCCCGAGAAGGTGACATTGGTGCTGAGCCCTGCTTGACCGAGCGTGTGTGACGTGCAGGGTTAGAGCCACAGAGCGCCTGTGCCCCTCGACCAGGAACGTCACCCTCCACAGCCACCAAAGAGAAGTGCAGACCCACGTGCTCCAGGAGGCCGCCTCACTGGAAAGCCCCAAAGTTCCCATCGAAGGGGGTGGGACTAGCAAGCTGGTGCATCCCTCGTACGGGCCGCTTGCTCTGCAGCTGTTGGAGAGGACGGGATGACCCCTCTGTGCAGATGGACGGCCTCAGACGCACGGCTGGATGAGAAAAGCGAATTAAGGAATAACAGCCGTAGTCTCGCGTGATTTACATAAAAACCCGGAGCCTAACCTCGACCCAAAGAACCCCCATATCTATCTCTGTAGATACACTCCCACACGCGGAACCGCGCAGAGAAGGATCTGGGAGGGCACACGTCAGAACGATAGTAGTGGTGACACGTGGTAGGATTTTTTAAAAAAAACTCTTGATGAGTGGTTAGAATTTTTTTGTTTTTTTGGTGAGGAGACTGGCCCTGAGCTAACATCTGTTGCCGATCTTCCCCCTCCGTTTTTTTTCCTCCCCAAAACCACAGTGCAGAGTTGTGTATCTTAGTTGTAAGTCATTCTGTGTCCTCTCCGTGGGACGCCGCCCCAGCACGGCTTGATGAGCGGTGCGTAGGTCCACGCCCAGGATCCAAACTGGGGAACCCCAGCCGCCATGCAGAGCGTGTGAACTTAACCACCGGCTCACCGGCCAGCCCCTGAAGTGTTTTTATTGTGGCAAAATATACGTAACATAAAATTGATCGTTTTAACCATTTTTAAGCGTCCAGTTCACGAGCGTTGAGCACATTCACATTGTTGTGCAGCCGTCACACCGTCCGTCTCCAGAACTTCATCTTCCCAGACGGAAACTCAGTCCCTGTTAGACCCTGACTCCCGGCCCCTCCCCAGCCCCTGGCGCCCGCCGTCTGCTCCCTGCCTCTGTGGCCCTGACTCCTCCGGGTCCCTCTTAGAAGTGGAATCACACGGGGTTTGTCCTTTCTGTGACCGGCTTATTTCACTGAGCATCGCATCCTCACAGGTCACCCAGGTTGGAGCAGGTGTCAGAGTTTCTTTCCTTTTTAGGGCTGAATAGCATGGATTGGAATTTTCATGACAAAAAATGTGTTTGCACATTTCTGGTGGAAATGCATCGCTGTTAAAACGTTTCCTTCATGGGGGTTCGGGGGGTCAGCCTGCCCTGACCGTGGCCTTGCCCCCTGCCCCCCAGGTCAAGCGCAACCTGCTGAACGTGTCCCTCCGCATCGCGCAGTACACGGACGTCATCTCCGACCTGCGCCGGGAGATCGAGCGCCTCAAGTCCAAGCTGGAGACGCGGGAGACGGACAAGAGAAGCGACCCCGGCGGCCGGGATGCGCAAGGTAGAGCCGAGCATGGACCCGCAGCCTCAGTCGGCTGTGCTACCCGCTCCCCGGCGCTGTGTGGTCGCATCCCTGCCCCGTGGGCCATGGGGTCTGCCCGTCCCAGTGCTCGGTGCTGGGTCCACTCTGAACATCGGCATCCGGGGAGCTGGTTACCTGCCCGGGGGCTTCTGTCTCGCCACCACCTTACTGTGTGACCCTGGGCCAGCGCCTGGCTCCGGCTTGAATTTCCTACCTGTAGAACGTGGGGAGTGGGCTATTTTCTCTGCTTTCTTCTCATTTCTTCCCTTTGTACCTTTCCTCTCCTTTTCTTCTCCCTTTCCTACTTTTTTGTTTTTTCTTCCCCGGTATTTTTTTTTTTTAATAGCCTTTTTATTTTGGAACAATCTTAGATTGACAAAAATAGTTGCAAAGATAGGACAGAGAGATGCCAGCTTCCCCTGATGTTAGCGTCCGGTGCCTTTAAAAAAAAAACTGCTGAAGGGGAGCTCACGGAACATAACGTTCGTCGTTTTGAAGTGAGCACTTCATCCAGTGGCACCTGGTCCCTTTGGTGCGTCCACCCCGTGCAGCCACCGCCTCTGTCTGGTTCCCAGACATTTCACCATTCCAGAGCGAAACCCCACACCCACCGGGCCGTTTCTCTCCGTTCCTCCCTTCTCCCCAAGTCGGTTTTATTTAGGCTTCCTTTTGGGGTCAGAGCGCACCAGAATTTTCCCGTAAAACTAATCAGTAAGTCAGGAGGGTATCCTTAAAAATACCTGTAACCAAGACAAGTTCGGTAGACATGAGTCGGGCACACACCCATACGTGTTCTTTTGGTTTATTAAGATAAGTTTTACCATAGTTTATAAGGGACTTTTAGAACTCAATCAGAAAGAGCAAACAGGCCAGTTGAAACCAACGGGTGGAGAAACGAACAGGCAGTTCGCAGAATTATTCCCAGTGGCCGATAAATGCGTGAAAAGTGCTCAGCGTGAAAAGTGCTCAGCCGCGGGAGGAAATGGAGACACAAATTGAAACAATTTTCACTTCTTGGACTGGCTACAATTAAAATGTCAGGTGCTGTTAAGTGAATACCATAAAGTAATATAAAGCTAAGTGTGGAAAGGGCAGCCTGAAACGCTAATATTGGGAGTGTAAATTAACGATCTCTCTGGAGGCTGATTTAGCAGAATCTGTTAAAACTTGAAGCATATGTGTTCTGGGCCCCAGCAGTTTCTCTCCTGCAAATCTATGATGAGGTGCACGAGCCATGTGACCACAAGGTGCCCGTCGAAGGGGACGGGACAAGCAACCTGGTGCGTCCCTCCTGGGGGCCGCTCGCTCTGCAAGCTTTAGAGAGAATGGGGAGGACCCATCTGTGCAGATGGATGGCCTCCCCGCGCACGGCTGGATGAGAAAAGCGAATTAAAGAATAACAACCATAGTCGGGTAGAATTTACCCGAATTTACCCACCCCAAACCCCGTATAGCAGAAAAAGACCCAGAAGGGTGCACATCCTCGTGCCAGTGGCTCCCTCCGGGGCAGGGAGAACAGGATCATCAGACGATCAGACGATGGTGAAGAAGTCTTCACGTCTTAACGTCGTATTTGAATTTCTGTAAGAAAAATGTGTTCCCGTATCAGTTGTGTAAATACCGCCTCTTTATTGTAATCGCAGGATGTGTTTATCTTTCAAAACTTGCAGAATCCTGCAAAGGATAAGAAGAAAGCAGAACTCACTGTAGCTATTTCACAGACTTCTCAAGAGCCTACTGTGTAACGGGCGCAGTTCTCAGTGGGGGAGATGCAGGGGCAGGGAGGTCCAATGGCCCTGCCCTCAGGAAGCGTGCATTCTCATGCAAGAGAGACACCTAATGAGGAAGGATGAGATCTGAGGAAAATAAAGCCAGGCGGGGACAGAGATGCAGGAGGAGGGGAAGGGGTGCTATACAAGCTGAGTGATGTGGAAGGTCCTCTTAATTCCTGCCCTCAGCATGCGCAGGAACGAGCCACACAAAGATCCAGGTTCAGAGTCTTCTGGCAGAGGGAAATGCATGTGCAAAGGCCCTGGGGTGAGAACGGGTTTGGTGAGTTCAAGCATCAAAAAGAGGCCCCTGTGGCCGGCATGTGAGGAGAGGGGGTGTGCTGGGAGATGAGAGTCCCACCACAGGCAGGGCTGGAGGGTGCACAGGGGCCTGGGTTTCTCCCGAGCATAGTGGGCAGCCAAGGAGGGTCCGAGCAGGAGGCCGACGTGCTGAGAGCCACCTTGAGACTGTAGCCATGCGTGGAAGACAGGCCGCTCAACAGGGCTGTGCTTTCCCTTGGCCTGTTGTTGGGGCAGGGGCAGGCGGGGGATTCTGCGTGGTTGGGGCCTTGCCTGGCAAGCGTGATGGGAGTGGAGGACGGGGGAGGTGGCTGGGGTGACTCCAGGGTCACCTGTGATCGCCAAGTAGAGGAGGGAATTAGAAAATGCGGACAACTTTGCATTTGGGGGAATTTCCAGTACTGCGGAAGGAGAAAAGAGTAGAGCGAGGCTTCCCGGAGACCCGCCACTGGGTTTTGCTGCCTCTGTCGTCCCGCACTCTTCCCACGCCGTGTTATCTAGACGCAAGTTCCAGACATCATTTCATTTTATTCCTAGATGTGAGGATAATCCCTGAAAAGTAGGGACCCTTTACAAAGACATGACCGCAGTCTCATGTCCACGCCTGGAAAAAATAGGAACCATAATTCGTTCCCATCATCAGATAGCCAGCTGGCGTTCATGTTTCCAGCAATCTCACCCACGTCATCAATCTCTTCTGTTTTTGAAGGAGGATGCCAACAAGGTCCACACGTTGAACCGGGTCGATAAGTCTTTCAAGTTGCTTTCACTCCCTGGCTTCCCGTCCCTCTTTTTCTGGTTTTCCTTTCGGTTCTTGGTGGAGACACTGGCTCACTCGTCCCGCGGCGTCTCTGACCGTCTGATTTCACCGACTGCACCTGCCTCTGCCCTCTCTGTTCCGATCAATTGGTAGTTGTGTCTAAAGGCTTGAAGGGAGCGGGGGTTTAAAAACTTTTTTGAAAAACAAAGTTAAGAGCATGTTGCATTTAGGGGGTGATAGCTCAAACGCAGTGGGCAGGATCCAGGGACTGGAGCGTCCCTGGGCCAGGGCAGTGGAGAGCCCGGAGGGCTGCAGCTGGACCAGTGACCTCCTCGGGGGGCCGTGGAGTGGGAGGCACGGGTCCATGGAGGCTGGGATCTTCGGGGTGCAGGAAGGAAGGTCCTTGGTGGTGGCTGGACTGTCTGAGGATTTTGGAGTCACCGAGAACGATGACGAGAGCAGCAGTGAGGAGAAACTCGGAGAGCCGGGTGTCAAAGTCGCCCGTGGGTGAGAGAGAGTGGCCACTGCTCTGAGGAGGGGCTGGTGAGAGGGTCCATAACTGGCTCCTCAGAGGAGTTGGGAGAAGAGCATTGAGAGAGAACGTGTGTCTGAAGGAGCCTCGAGCAGCCGGGAGGACGGTCACCCCAACTCAGGCCCGTGACCGGGGGATGGAGAGAAAACAGCCACCTGGGCAGACCACGGCCATCATTTTCCTCCAGCTTCATTGAGGTAGAATTGACGTGTAAGGCTGTGTGAGTTTAATTAAAATGATGATTTGACACACAGATGTATTCGAAATGATTACCACATGAGCTTAGCTGGCACCTCCTTCTCCTCATGTAAGGACCATTTTGCTTTTGTTTTTGGGGGTGAAAACATTGAAGATTTATTCTCTTAGCACCTTTCAAGTATACGATGTGGTATTGTTAACTGTAGTCGCCGTGCTGTGCTTAGATTCCCAGAACCTTCTCACCTTGTAGCTGAAATTTGTCCCCTTTGATCAACGTCTCCCCATTTCCCCTCCCCCGCAGCCCCTGGCAACCACTATCCACTCTCTGTTTCTATGAGTTCAAATTTTTGCTTCCTCGTATATGTGATACCACGCAGTGTTTGTCTTTCGCTCTCTGGCTTTTTTCACTCAGCAGAATGCCCTTCAGGTCCGTCCATGTTGCCGCATGTGGCAGGATTTCCTTCTTTTTTATGGCTGAATAGTGTTCCATTGTACGTATACACCTCTTCCTTTGTATCCGGTCGTCCATCGATGGACTCTTAGGATGTTTCCATGTCTTGGTTTTGGGAATAATGCGGCAGTAGACATGGGAGTGCAGATACCGCTTCAAGACAGTGGTTTCGTTTCCTTTGGAGACGTACGCAGAAGTGGGACAGCCCCGTCACATGGCAGTTCTATTTTCAATTTTTTGAGGCACCTCCATACTGTTTTCCACAGTGTCTGAACCAGTTTACATTCCCACCAACAGTGCACAAGGGTTCCCTTTCCTCCACGTCCTCGCCAGCATTTGTTGTCTCTTGTCCTTTCCATGAAAGCCACTCTAACAGGTGTGAGGTGACATCTCATGCTGGTTTCGATTTGCGTTTCCCTGATGATGAGTGAGGCTGAGCACCTTCTCATGCACTCGATGGCCAATTTGTCTGCCTTCTTTGGGAAGACGTCTAATCAGGTCCTTGGCCCATTTTTTAAATTGGATTATTTGCGTTTTGCTATTAAGTTGTATTCGTTCCTTTGGATATTAAGCCCTTGGCAGATACATGGTTTACAAATATTTTCTCCCATTCCATAGGTTGCCTTTTCATTTTGTTGATGGTTTCCTTTGCTGTGCAAAAGGCTTTTAGTTTGCTAAAGTCCCACTTGTGGATTTTCGCTGTTATTGCTTGTGCTTTTGGTGTCAAATCCCAAAAGCCATCACCAACGCCAATGTCAAGGAGCTTTTTTCTTATATTTTCTTCTAGGAGTTTTATAGTTTCAGGTCTCACATTTAAGTCTTTAATCCATTTCGAGTTAATTTTTAGAGATGACATAAGATAGGGGTCAAATTTCATTCTTTTGCATTTGAATATCCAGTTTTCCCAGCACCATTTATTGAAGAGACGATTCTCTCCCCACTGAGTATCCTGGGCACCTTTGTCGAATGTTAATTGACCGTATATGCACGGGTTTATTTCTGGGCTCTTGACTCTGTTCCATTGGTGTTTGTGTCTGTTTTTCTGCCAGTGCCATGCTGTTCTGATTGCTGTAGCTTCGTAGTATAGCTTGAAATCAGAAGGTTGATGCTTGAGCTTTGTTCTTCTTTCTCGGGATTCCTTGGGCTACCTGGGGTCTTTTGTAGTTCCACATGAATTTTAGGATTATTTTTCTATTTCTGTGAAGAATGCCATTGGAATTTTGATAGACAGTACATCAAATCTATAGATGGCTTTGAGTAGTATGGACATTTTAACTCTTCCAATTCATGAATATGAGACATCTTTCCATTTTTTGGTGTCTTCTTTAATTTCTCTCATCAGTGTCGTATAGTTTTCAGTGTATAGATCTTTCACCTCGGTTAAATTTGTCCTAGGTGTTTTATTGATTTTGATGCTTTTGTAAAGGGGATTGTTTTCTTTATTTCTTTTTCAGATAGTTCATTCTTGGTGTATAGAAACACAGCTTATTTTTGTATGTTGATTTTATATCCTGCCACTTTACTAAATTGTTGATTCGTTCTAACAGTGTTTTGGTGGAGTCTTCAGGATTTTCTGTATATAACATCATGTCCTCTGCAAACAGAGACAGTTTTATTTCTTCCTTTCCAGTTCTGATGCCTTTTATTTCCTTTTCTTGCCTGACTGCTCTGGCTACGACTTCCAGTATCATGTTGAATACGACTGGTGAGAGTGGGCACCATTGTCTTGTTCCTGATCTTAGAGGAAAAGATTTCAATCTCTCACCATTGAGTGTGATGTTAGCTGTGGGCTTGTCATAGATGGGCTTTATTATGTTGAGGTACTTTCCTTCTAGCCCCATTTGGTTGACAGTATTTTATTGTGAAAGGATGTTGAATTTTGTCAAATGCATTTTCTGTATCTGTTGAGATGATCGTATGTTTTTTATCTTTCCTTCTAAGTGTGGCATATCACCTTTACTTGATTTGCGTATGTCGAACCATCCTTGCATCCCAGAGGTAAATCCCGGTTGATTATGGTGTATGATCCTGTAACGCATTGTTGAATTCAGGTTGCTGGTATTTTATTGAGGATTTTTGCATCTGTATTCATCAGGGAAATTGGCCTGTAGTTTTCTTTTCTTGTGGTGTCTTTATCTGGCTTTGGTATCAGGGTGACACTGGCCTTGTAAAATGAATTTGGGAATGTTCCCACCTCTTCAGTTTTTTGGAAAGATTGGTGTTAAATCTTCTTTGAATGTTTGGTGGAATTCAGCCATGAAACCATCTGGTCCTGGGCTCTTCTTCCTGGGGAGGTTTTTGATTACTGATTTAATTGCTTTACTCGTTATTGATCTCTTCAGATTTTCTATTCATGATTCAGACTTCGTAGGTTGTATGTTTTTAGGAATTTATGCATTTCTTCTAGATTACCCAATTTGTTGGCATGAAATCGATCACAGCAGTCTCTTCTCACCCTTCGTATTTCTGTGGTATCAGTTGCATGTCTCCTCTTTCATTTACAGTTTCATTTATTTGAGTCCTCTCGCTTTTTTTCTTGGTAAGTCTAGCTAAAGATTTTTAAATTTTGTGTATCTTTTCAAAAAAATCAACTCTTAGTTTTGTTGATCTTTTCTATTGTTTTCCTAGCCTCTGTTTCATTTATTTCTCCTCTGATCTTTGTTGTCTGCTTCCTTCTGTTAACTTTGGGTTTCATTTTTTTCCTCTTTTTCTGGTTCCTTGAGGTCACTGCTATCATTTTGGTGTGTACCTTTCTGGATCTTTTTCTGTGCATGTAATTTTGTACACACAAATGTATCTAGAGAGGTACATGGTTTGTGTGTCTGTTTATAGGGAGGGGTTTGGCTTTGGGTTTTTATATAAATGATATCAGACGATAGCTATTATTCTTTAACTTGCTTTTCTTATCCAACGATGTGTCTTGGAGGCCATCCGTCTGCACAAACGGGTCACCCTCATGCTCCGTGACGGCCGCAGAGGGCTCCATAGGGTGGACACGCTGAGTCTGCCTATCCCGTCCCCTTTGATGGGCACTTGGGCTTTCCAGTCACACAGGCCCCTTGAGCACGTGGGTGCCTGTTTCTCTTTCTTAGATTTGGGGGGGCTCAGGATTCTGTTGGAGCAAGAGCATGAAGGAAGCTTTCAAAGAGAAGGGCTGTGGGTGACGACAGGCTGAGTCTCATGGGGCCAGCAGGGGGCTTGGGGGGCGGGTAGGGGGTGGAAGATGGGATTCTTGTAGAGAATTTACAAAGCTAGGTGATGACAGGGAAGTTGGGACCTCTTTGGGGTCAGGGGTCAACAGGGCTGCATGCCACAGTGGCTTTCACCCTCCTGGCCTCTTGGTTATTGGGACCGGTCTTAGGTGGTCCGTAGTGAGGAAGCAGACAGTGTCATGGAGGGGATGGTGGTCTCTTGGTGAGCCCTGAGGGGACGGTGGGCTTCCCTGGGGTCCTGCTGTGGCATGCCCGGGGTGGTGGTGGGATGCTGGGTGCATGGCTCTGTCAGGAATGTTACTGCATGAGCGTTTCCCAGGATGTGAAGTGCTCCCAGAAAGCCTTGTTTTAATGACCGCAATGCTTCGGTCATCTGGATGCACCATAATCCAATCCCGGATTGCTTGACATTTAGGGAAAAGGCACGCCTTGACCACTCAGGGAGCAGACTATGGACAGACTGCATATGCAGCTATCTGTTGGGTCAGGCAGGGGAAACCATCGATTAATCACAGGGCAACCATTACGTCGGGACTCACCGTGGGAGAGAAAAAGACAAAAGCAGTTGTTTTCTGTGCAACTTACATTCTAGCAGGAATGGCGGATGTTAAACATTTATCACAAAATGTTACATAATACTGATATGCAGGGGACTGTGAAGAAGGCAGGATGTTATCAGAGCAGGTGGCAGTTGGACCCAGATTGAGGGTCTAGGAGTGTTTCCCTGAGGAAGTGAGGTCTGAGCTGAGATGGCCTAGCCCAACCCCACCCCTCCTTGGATTTCTGAGACCTAAAACCAGGTAACCTGGCCCCAAACCAGCCACAGAGAGGATCTAAATCCCTCTAAATTATCTATCCATTTATCCACCCATTCTAACATCCATCCATCCACCCACCCATCCACCCATCCACCCATCCATCATCCATCCATCCATCCATCCACCCACCCATCCATCCATCCATCTACCCATCCATCCATCCATCCATCCATCATCTATCCATCATCCATCCATCCACTCACCCATTCTAACATCCATCCATCCATCCACCCATCCACCCACCCATCATTCATCCTTCATCCATCCACTCATCCTTCATCCATCCATCCATTATCCACCCACCCAGCCATCCATCTACTCACCCATCTCCCGTCCATCTATCCATCCACCCATCCATGCTTCACCCATCCACTCCTCCATCATCCATCCAACCAGCCATCCACCAGCCATCCATCTATACGTCCCTCTGTCCATCCATCCATCCGTCCACCCACCCACGCATACATATAGAGCATCTCCTTGGGCCAGATGCTATTTTGGTGGGCGAGCATGGAGTTCAACCCTGGCTTAGATGGCACTGCTCCTGGTACAGCCAGCTCTCTTCCTGCCTCCAGTCACGATCCCCTGCCACGACACAGAGGAGGACGGCCGCGTGCAGATGAACAAGATCCGGGCACAGCTCATCGGCGCCTTCAAGGAGCAGTTGGAGATGCGGCGCAGCCTGGTGGAGCTGGAGAATACCCACATGGAGCTGCACATCGACGTGTCCCGCCACCTGCTGACCATTGCCGAGTGAGCGCGCCCGCCCGTGGCCACCACCCAGGGCCCCCGCGCCGTCCCTCCCAATGGGGCAGGGAGACCAGCAAGGACCAGTGGGGGCCACTGGTGGGAACTCCTGCTTTGCTTGCTGTCCAGCCTCCCTCTCCTGCCTGCAGGTCCCCAAGGGAGACTCTAGCCAGGGGCACCCTCTCTTCCAGGCAGGACCTGGTCCGTCCCTCTCCGGCTCTCCTGTACCTGTAGTTAGGCTGGACCAGGTGGGAGGAGGCGTCCGGGTCCTTTTGCTCTCTCTCTCACAGGCTAGAGCTCAGAGCCAGCCCTGCAGGTCAGCTAGGATCAAGCCCAATTCACAGAGGACGCTGTGGGGGCTCCAAGGGGACGTGGGTGTGCCCCGAGTTACACATCCATTGGCCAGGGCTCTTTCAACCATTCCACACCTCCTCCTTGTTCACTCCTACGGGGAGTGGACTGACCATGTGTAGAGGGACTGACCAGGCAGCGTGTCATCCAGGCAGGGGCACACGTGAGGGCAAGAGGTGTAGCTATTAACAATGTCACGGGGCGGGGAGGTGGGCCCAGTGGTGCAGCAGTTAAGTGTGCACGTTCCGCTTTGGCGGTCCACGGTTCGCCGGTTCAGATCCTGGGTGTGGACATGGCACTGCTTGGCAAGCCACGCTGTGGTAGGTGTCCCACATATAAAGTAGAGGAAGATGGGCACGGATGTTAGCTCAGGGCCAGTCTTCCTCAGCAAAAAGAAGAGGATTGGCAGCAGATGTTAGCTCAGGGCTAATCTTCCTCAAAAAAAAAAAAAAAAAAAACTATAACAATTACACGAGGACAGCGGGTGTCACCCGGGACTACCCTGGACAAACTAGGACACAGAGCTACTCCCTACGGGTACCTTATACAGGGCTGTGATTTAAGTCCATTTCTTCTCTAATCCTTCCCACATTTCTCCTCCTCCGCCTCCTCCTTCCGTTCTGTTTATTTTCTTAATTGCACAAACGGCATGGTCCCTGCACTTGAGGAATTCTAAATAAGAGGAAGTGGTCTCTCCATCCTATCCTCTGCTCCCCTTCCTGGCTCCCTCTGGGCCGCCTCTCTCGCAGTTTCCCTGTGATCCTCATGGCGTAGATTCCGTCTGGCACCCTCATGCGAACCCTGAGCTGGGGTCATCGTGGTTGATCCTCACAGAGCCCCACGGTGTCCTCTGTCATCCAAGTTTTACAGCCCAGGGGATGAGGCTCAGAGAGGGCGCATTTACAACGCAGGTGGCCCAGGGTCACCGGCCGGCCTGAGCAGATCTGGGGGTGGCGGCCGGGTGGGTGGCTGCAGAGCCCGGCCCTTCGTCATTGGCTGATCCTGCTGCAAACATTTAGGCTTCTCTATTTCCTCCCAGTTTTTGTTCAGACCTTTATGCTTTTACAAATATAGAGGAGATCGTATAGCAGGCCCAATTCTGCCCCATTTTCATGCCTGTGCCTGCGAGTAGACCAGCCGGGGCCGATAGGGCCTGGGGGACAGGAGGTGCCAGCCTCCCAGCCCAGTGTGGCTCGCACTCTCACCCCAACCTCTCTGTCTGGCTGCAGCTGGGAGCGGGTGAAGACCCAGCAGCACGCGCACGGGGACAGGACGCCCGCCAGGGACGAGGAGCCGGCAGAGGCCAATGCAGACACTGGCGAGGGCGAGTCCATGGACCCTCATGAGGTGGCTCTGGCCAGGGAGGAGGTCAACATGCTTCTGGCTGAGCAGCGGAAAACCGCGGCCCTCAAGGTGGGGGAGAGGGCCCGGGCGCGTCCACATCCCAGCAATGGTGATGAGAGTTGCTAACACTTACTGATCACTGCCAGTGCGCCAACCCTCTCACAGCAGTCCCATGGAGCAGGGCCAATCATGACCGTTCTATAGATGGGCAAACCACGGCTCGGAGAGATGAGATAAATTGTCCCAAATCCCCAGAGAGCAGGAGGAGTACAGCTGGGACCTGACCAGGTCTGACTTCAGGGTCTGTGTCCCTTGATGTTAGAGTTATACTTGGGGGCTGCAGGGGCCAGTGCGCAGGGCAGGAGGCCCCTGGGGGAACAGGGGAGCCAGTGGCCATGGCAGTAGAGCATGAGTGGGGTCCACTGAGACCCCCCACTCGCCTGGGATAGCCAGCTCCTCTGCCTGGACCGGCAGGGCCTCCAGCTCCCAGAGGTCCGGGCAGTTGCCGCCTTGCAGGTGAGCTGGCTCCTCTCGGCAGGGTGCCTCCCATTGGCATCTCGCTCGCTCTCCCTGAGCCTGGTCTCAGGCACGTGACTCGAGGACAGGGACCCGGCCGGCTGGAGGACTCCCAGACTCCGGGTTCCTCTGAGGAGAAAGGAGTCTTCTCACATTCGTGTTTTCCAAGACGAGCCAGCTATTTATCTGAGCTATTTATGGAACAGCTAATTGTCTCACACTCACACTTCGGAGAAGTGACAGGACTGACGGAGAGCTGGCTGCCCTTCCGCCCGTCAGTTAACTGTTCGCAGGCGGATTTTCAGGCAAGTGGAGAAAGCGCCTGACTACGCCACGTTGCTAAAAGCAGGTGGCGTTTATTTCACTTAAAAGCTACGTAGGCACCCGAGGCCGTCTTACCATTACTGCCTCTGCCCAGGGCAATCCGGAGATTCCCCAATCTCGCTTCGCAAGCCCTCCAGCATTTAAAAGTGAGAAAAATGCCTTTTGCTCAGACCAATAATGTGCATCGGCAGAGAGCATGCGTGACCTTCCAGAGCCCAGCGTAGACACTGAGACGCAGTGTAGCATGTGAACGTGACTCAGTCAGTCAATCAGTCGATCAATTAATCAGTCCCAAACAAATCAGTGTTCTAGATATCCAGCCCAGTGCCGGGCCCCGGAGACATAAAGATGAACGAGATACTCTCTGTGACTTAGGCTCACGGGCTACTGGGAAGAGACACCAACACAACTGTGCACGAGTCAGTGTGGTAGCACGATGACAGATGTACGGACAGGATGCTGGGAGCTGGCCCAGGGGGCTGTCGATTCAGCTAGGGGGCCGGGAGGACGGGAGGATGGTGCTGGGGGAGCTGAGTCGACTCCTCCCACGTGGTCCCCTCTCAGTCCCAGAGGATGGGGAAGCAAGAGGCTGGAGCACGTCCTCCTCGGCTGCCCCGGGAGTTTGCGTCCGACCGGATCCTGGGACATGACTCTGGCAGTGACCTGCACTGCATCTCAGTTACTTCGTTAGCACAGTGTTACTGTCTGGGGCCTAGACGGAGTGACGTGGTGCGGTGGGAAGATTGGGTGTCGGCTTAGCCAGGCCGTGCTACCCTGTGATTCAGTCAAACACAGATCCGGGTGCTGCTGTGAAGGGGTCGGTAGACGTGGCTAATGTCTATGACCGGTTGACTGTGAGTAAAGGTTATCCTGGATAATGTGGGTGGGCCTTGTCCAATCAGTTGAAAGGCCTTAGCAGCAGAAGTGGGTTTCTCAGAGAAGAGAAGATTCTGCATCTGGACTGCAGCACCGGCTCCTGCCTGAGTTTCCAGCCTGCCGGCCTGCCCTACAAATCATGATTGTGCCAGCCCACAATCACACGAGCCAGTTCTTTAACACAAATCTCTTTACACACACACAGACATATAGCTATGTATATGTGTGTTACCCTCTCCAGTTGGTTCTGTTTCTCTAGAGCCCTGACTGGCCTATTGGCCCGTAGAGGAAGGTTACAGGTCCCAGGCAGATCTCCTGGGGCTCCAGCTGGGTTTCTGGGGGCGGGAGCAGTTCCCAGTGGCTGTCGTGGGCCACCTGGGCCTCTCGTCTCCCTGCTCCCGCTCAGGCCCTGCTTTGGTTGGAGCGAGGCAGGCCCTCGGTTGTAGACGAGATGTCTGTAACGTGGTGGACGTAGGAGGTGCCCTCAGAGAAGCTCCAGGAGCACCAGAGACTGCTTCTGAAGGCTGCATAGTGTGAAAGCAGGTGGCACGGGTTTCCTGTAGCCGGCACAGCGGGCAGGGGAGACACACCCTGGGGTGTGTGCTAAAATATAGCATATTCATAGAAAATTCGAGGGACAGTAAGGCCTGCAGATCAGGAGATGACTCATGGAAAAGATAGTTTCTTTGTCACAGGTCCCAAGAGGATGGGGCGCGTGATGCTGTGCAGGGCCACGTGGGGAGCACCAGGGCCAGTCAAGAGGCAGAGGGAGGGGGGAGCTGCGGGCAGGAGCCTTTATTGTGGTTTCCCTGGGAGGAAGTGTGTGGGGCAGGGTGGGCAGGCTTAGGACTGGCTGGTCTGGATAATTCCAGTGGGCTCTGGGGCGTGGAGGCTGTCCCCAGTTGTCTGGTACCCGGCCTGGGTGATGAGGGCCTGAGTGTGGGGGCCCCGTGGAGGAGGGTGGGGCGTGGGCTCTGGTTGGCTGGTTTGCACATGGAAGGTGCACTCGTAGGCGAGTGGTTTGCCTCTTTTAGGACTCGGCTGACCCTGGGAGGGGCAGTCCCTGCAGGCTGAGCAGGGCCCCACAGGTCAGGGCATCAGATACAGACAATAAAGGACGCAGTTAACGTGGGTGACAGCCACACGTCCTCAGAGCCAGTCCCCCCCGTGTTTGCGTGAGTGCGACTTGCAAACCCAAGCATGTGAGGACGAGCAGACCTGGGAGCAGAGGGCCCCCGGGCGTCCGCCCTGAACCCCTGGTCTCTCCGCCAGGCCGGGCTGGAGCAGCGGCTGGCCGACGCCAAGAAGAAGGCCTCGCAGATGGAGAAGCTGCTGCCCCAGCAGGTGGTCAGCGAGGACCAGAGGGAGGTGCTGCGGCTGCTGTGCAGGGCGCACGAGCTGGAGGTGGAGAACACAGAGCTGCAGGCCCGTGGCCTGCGCAGCAAGAACCTGCTGTGCCAGAAGGACCTTGTGATCCGACGCTACCAGCAGCACCGGCTGCTCTGCGAGCACATCATCCGGGACCAACGGCAGCTGCTTCAGGGTGAGCCCGCCCCGCCCGCCCCGCCCGGCACCGCTGGCTTTCAACATTGCTGTTTCTGGAGAGAGTAGGCGGAGTACTTGATCAAAAAAAAAACTCAGTCCCAAATGGCAGGCCAGCAGACGCCTGTCTCCCTGCGGTCCCACCCCTGCCCGGCCCACTGCTCCCAGCCGTCTGCACGTCCCCTGTAGATGGTCTGTGCAATGCGTGCGCACATAAACGGAGTTTTTACACTAACAGGAGCGCGCCGTGCACACTGTCCAGTGCTCCCCTTCTCTCGCTTACCTGGATGTCCTGGAAACTGCTTTATAAGAGCACGGCGACCTGCCTCGTCTGCGGAAATGCACTGGGTTTTTTTTAACCATCTCTGCAGGGGATGCTTGGGGTGTCTGTTACTACACCCCCTCTTTCCCTCCTGTGCTCTCCGTGGGCGGCGGCTCGGAGGCTGCCTCTCCTTCCTGTCGTCCCTTAGCTCCTGCCTCCGACTTTCTCTTCTTTCTTGACTTCCTATTTTGATAGAATTTGAGATTTAGAGAGAAATTGCAATACTACAGAGAATTCCTCCAGATTCTAAGGATTAACGTTTTTCACTTTTTTTTTTTTTTTTTTGAGGAAGATTAGCCCTGAGCTAACATCTGCCGCCAATCCTCCTCTTTTTGCTGAGGAAGACGGGTCCTGAGCTAACATCCGTGCCCATCTTCCTCTACTTTGTATGTGGGACGCCTACCACAGCATGGCCTGCCACGCGGTGCCGTGTCTGCACCCAGGATCCAAACCGGCGAACCCCAGGCCACTGAAGTGGAACGTGCGTGCTTAACTGCTGCCCCACCGGGCTGGCCCCTGTTTTTCACTTTTATTTCACATTTTCTCTCTCTTTCTGTGTTTCTTCCTCCTAAGCCATTTTGGGATGCCCTTAAATACTGTAGGGTATCTTTTCTAAGACAAGGACAGTCTTTTCTATCATCCGGGATATTGACAGGGATGTGGTGTTAATTGACAGGCCTCCTTTGAATCGTGCCTGGTGCCCCCGCAATGTCCCCTGGATGGCCATTGCATTCAGTTGTCACCTCTTGCTTTTTCTGAATTCACTGGTGACCCAAGCAGCTCACTGGGACAACAGGATGGCTGCGTCAAACTGAGATTACCAACGTCATCAGAGGACGTGGAAACTTCCAGAAACCAAGTGCTCTCTTGGGCTTCGTTTAGGATTGGTTGCGGGGTGGGGGAACCCCACACGGTTCCTCTCCCTCCCACCCCGTGGAGTTGCCACAGGGCGTGGAGCAGTTACACAGGCCTCCCCTCGATTTCTTTGTGCGTCTGTAGCAGGTGGTGAGTTCGAGGAGCACACGGTGGGGGACAGGAAAGGAGCTGAGGCTCGTCGTCTGTGCCCGGCTCCTGTTCCCTCCTCCATAATGTGTTCCCTCTGAGCTCATGCCGGGCTCTCTCTTTGTCACCAGATGCGGGGGGGAAGAGGAAAGGAATTAACACCTGTTCTTTTACCGTTTCGTTCACTCGCTCAGTCATTTGACAAACCTTTTTGGAACGCAGGTGTTGAGCAGTAGGCAGGACCTGTCCTCATGGAGCCACTGGTCTCCTTTGGGGTGGCAGACACAGATAGCTAATCGCAGAATTACGTAATTTCAAACCGGGACGAAAGCCATAAAGGAGACACGCAGAGAGCCCTGGGAACAGAGGATGGGCGCTGGCCCGACCTCGTCCGAGGGGTGGTGATCAGAGAAGGTTCTGGGAAGAGATGACACTCGAGCTGTGACCTGAAGGACGAGGAGGCCTCAACTAGGGAGAGCGGAGCACAGCTGAGGCCTCAGTGCCCATGTGTGCGTGTACGTATGCACGCACGAGTGTGCACGTGTCTGTGCGTGTGTCACGTTTGGGGCTGGGAGGAGCTTGGTGTGTTCACACGTCGTCATCATCATCATCATCATTGTATTTTTACGGTGAACACTTATTTAGGCTGAGGAATGAGTTCTCCTTTGGGGAGGCATCTCTCGGGTCCTTTTATAATGGGAACAAGGCACTTTATTTTAAAAAAACTATAGGGCCGGCCCAGTGGCACAGCAGTTAAGTGCGCACGTTCCATTCTGGCAGCCCGGGGTTCGCCAGTTCGGATCCCGGATGCAGACATGGCACCGCTTGGTAAGCCATGCTGTGGCAGGCATCCCACATATAAAGTAGAGGAAGATGGGCACGGATGTGAGCTCAGGGCCAGTCTTCCTCAGCAAAAAGAGGAGGACTGGCAGCAGATGTTAGCTCAGTGCTAATCTTCCTCAAAAAAAAAACAAAAACAAAAAACTGTAACTGCATTAAAGAATGTTTTGGAACAGAAAACAGGTAACCTATAACCTACCCCCTTTCTCGTCCCTGCCTGTAAGCGGTGGAATTTTGTCAGAGCTGTAATTATGCCGTCTTTTAACTTCTGACTTCAACTTTGCCGAGGTAAAGTTTACAAGACGTAAAACTCACCGTTTTAACCATTTTAAAGTATAGAACTCAGGGGCATTTAGCTCGCCCGCGGTGCTGTGCAACCGTCACCTCTATCCAGTTCCAAAACATTCCCTCTAGTCGCTAAGAAACCGCGTAGCCGTGAAGCCCTCACTCCCCACCCCTCCCCCGGCCCCTTGGCATCCGCGAATCTGCTTTCTTCTCGGCAGATTTGCCCGTTCCGGGCATTTCTTGTAAATGGGATCACTCACTGTGTGGTCTTTTGTGTCTGGCTTCCTCCGCCGTGTTGTAATGTGCGCCAGAACCCCACTCCTTTTCATGGCTGAGTAATATTCCATCGACAGATCGCATTTTGTTTCCCTTTCTCCAGTTGGTGGACACTGGGTTGTTTCCACCCTCTGGCTGCTGTGAACATGGGTGTGCGAGATTTGTTTGAACACCTGTTTTCAATTCTAGGAGTGGTTCTTTACCTTTTAAATTAAATGTTATTTATACTTTCGAATTGTTGATAATATTATTCTACTATTAAAGGCCATATGTGAACATCATAGAAAATTTTTACAATAGGGAGACTTATAAGACAGAAACCTCGCTCTCCAGGAAAAACCTCTTTTATAATTTCAAACTTCCAAGCCAGGATGCTGTCTTTCTAACGAGCAACGGTGCTCCCGCTGACCTCTGCCCCCTGGCCCCCGCAGACGGCGGCATCCCGGAGCCGGAACCACTGGCCCAGCGCTACCGCCTGTACTCCCGCGAGCTGGGCGAGGGCGCGCTGCCCCGCCTGCTGCTGCTGCACTCCGTGCTGGCCAGCTCCCTGCGGGTGAGTCCGACCCGCCACCCGGGCCTGAGCCCCGCCTGTGCGCCAGGCCCCATGGGGGGACCTGCCCCTGAAACGGACGGGGGAGACGGGAACCCCATGAACCAGGCTGCCCAGAGCCGGAAGCCCCCCCAGTGCTGGCCGGGCCGGGGCTCAAGGAGGGCCCTGAAGCCCCGCTGGGTGGCGTCCCTGGGGCGGGTCTGTGTGCGGGTCCCCCGCGTCTGTGACCCTTGGCTGTTGCTGACGATTCCACGTGGGAGACCAGAGGCCGATGGGGAGGAAGCCTGGGCGTGGGGTGCACCTTGTTAACTCGGTGACCCCAGAGAGGCTCCTCTGGGAACCTCAGCACGAGTCTCCCAGCTTTAGTTCTTTCTTCTTGGGCTGTCACTTCTCTGGGGGGCGGGGGACCCTCCAGGCTCCCGCATGAGGACGGCGTCTGGTGCCGCCCTGGAGGAGCAGGCCCGGGGAGGGCTCTGCGTTCATTATTTAGACCAAAGCTGGTGTCACAGCTCCACCTGGGCCCTGGACGAGGCCTGGTGTCTCCCAGCCACAGACCCTCTGCTTTGCCATCTCGGGAGAAGAAAGGAGACACTTCCAGGCTTCGACCAGCATGGCGGGGGGGCAGGTGCCCAGAGTGTGGCGTGAGGGCGGGGGTCCAGGGATCCGTCTGTGTCTAAACCCACTTCCCCATCCCCAGTAACAGAGGGACCAGGCACCGACACTGTAGCTTTGGAGGTCGTACCATGTGGCTCTGGATTGTTCTCAGCTTCCGCTGCTGCCAGCCGGGACTGGCTCTCCTGGGTCCGCGGGTTCAGCCCCGACTTGGATATCTGGCTTCCCGCTTACAGAATGTCATTGCCACGTGCCCCGCTCTCCCACTCTGCCCGTACACGTGCCTCAGAACAATCCCTTTCCTATAGTCTGTGTCGGGTCCCCAAGACCACGCGCAGGGTTGGTCCGTGAGAAGGACTCACAGAACTCAGAAAAGCTATTGCTCCAAACGGAAACTCTGTCCCCATTAAACACTGACCACTCCTCCCCCTCCTCCTCCCCTGGCGCCCCGCATCCTACCTTCCGTCTCTAAGAATGTGACTCCTCCAGGTCCTCACGTAAGTGGGATCCTACGGGACTTGTCCTTTTGTGACTGGCTTGTTTCCTTCGGCGTGATGTCCTCAAACTTCGTCCGTGTTGTAGCAGGTGTCACAACCTCCTTCCTTTCAAGGCTGGATAACATGGCCTCGTGTGCATGGACCACACTGTGTTGATCCGTTCATCCCTCGGTGGGCACTGGGGTTGCTTCCAGCTCTTGGCGATTGTGATCATGCTGCTGTGAACACGGGTGTGCAAGGATCTGTCTGAGTGGCTGCTTTCGCTTCTTTGGGTACAGACTGAGGAGTGGCATTGCTGGGTCCCCCCCGGGGGGGTCTATGTTTGACGTTTCGAGGACCTGCGGACTTTTGAGGGTGCTCTGACAACAGCGTCTCCTTTGTGCCCTGTTTGTGCCCGAGGGTCCAGGCCGCAGCCTGGCGCTCATCCCTCCACGGGGCCTCCTTTCTGTCTGGGGTGGATGTGCAACGGGAAATGAGCACATGGGCTGGCTCGCCAGCCTCCCTGCTGGGTGGTTTCCCCCGTGTGGTGGCCAGGAGGAAAGGGGACCCTCAGGGACCTCCACTCGACAGTGACACTGCTTGCCTGCGTCCACGGGCCGTGCCGCCTCCCGCAGCTCCTCTCTTTCGTCCCAGGATGGCTCCGTCCTGAGCCTGTCTCCCCCGCCAGAGGAGTCCAGCCGAGAGCAGCCGGACGACAGGAAGGACCTCCCGTGGGGGGCCCAGTTTGAGCCGATGCTGCTGGAGACGGACAGGTAACGCTTCCCCGGGTGCGTACAGAGCCCCCCCCCTTTCCTCCTGTGACGTGCGGCTAACGTCCCCTTCCTCCGGCCTGTTTTAAGAAGGATGAGGATGTCCTAGGAGGTGCCTGCTGCCCGGAGCCATTCTGAGGTTGGGAGTTTGATGCTAAAAGACCCTTTTCACTTTCTCTATATTTTTGTTCCCTGTCAGCCACTTCCTCCCACCCTCGGTGCTTTTTTCCCTTTTTCTCTTCTTTTTACTTTTTGTTTTGCTATTTCCCGTCACCCCAAAACTTAGACCGGTAAGTTGAAAACCCATCAGCTGGTCACCTAGTTTGAATAGTTAACGTTTGGCCAGTTTTTGTCGTCGTCAGCTCGGGCTGCTGTGACAAAACATGCAGGCGGGGCGGCTCCAACACGGACGTGTATTCTCTCACATTTTAAAGTAAAACAAAGCCTCGTGACCTTTCGCCCTCAGCAAGTTAGAGGGCGCTTCTAAAAATGGGGCGTTTCCCTCCACAACCACAGGCAGCCGTCAGCCCTGACAAAATTAGTGACACCTCCTGAACGTCACCCATCCCTGCCCTTGGTCGGATGCCCCCAGTTCTGCCCCAAATGCCTTTGCAGCTGGTTTGCTCAAACCAGAATGCCAGGAAGGCCCAGACCGTGCGTTTGGCTGTAATGCCCACGTCTAAGCCACGTCCTTCGGGGTAAGGAAGACCCCAGGGCTCCGGCAGAGGAGGGGCGATTCCCCTATTGCGTTCATGCGTGTGTGTGTGCCTGTGCACACGTGCATTTGTGTGCACACGTGTGTTTGCGCGTGTCCGCACACTGTATGTGTTTTGCATGAGTGCGTGTGTGCTTTTGTTTGTGTGTTTTACATGGGTGAGTGTGCGTGTTTGTGTATGTGTGTGCGTGTGTGTGCATAAAAATAAAGTGCCCGCGTGCCCCCTACATCGAGACCAGATGCCCGTCCACGGGCTTCTGGTCGACACCCGTGTGAACCTGGGGCTCGACCCACTGACTGGAGAAGCCAGGCTTCCAGCCCTCCGCCTGGGGCGGCTCGTGGGCAGGCTGTGAGCCAGCCTGGGGCCCTCCACCTTGATCCTCAGGCTGGAGAGGAGGCGGGCTCGGCCTCGCCTCTTCCAGACCCGTACCTGCGGCAGCAGCTCAGGCCGGGGCCAGACCGCAGGCTGAGCCGCCTCGAGCCACGAGCTAGGACGATGCTCCCTGTTCAAGACGGCAGGAGAGGAGCTGAGACCCCCCGGCCGACGGGTTAGGCTGGCGCCACCCACGGCCCAACCTGAGGGGCCCACGCCAGGTTCCCATGGCAACGACAGAGGCCCGCCACAGGCGCCTCAGCAGGCTTGAGTCCCTGGGACCCTGTCCGTGGACGGTTGGCAGGCAGCCTGTAAGCCGGGCCAACCAGGGCCGGAGTCCTGGGTGTGCCAGCCCCCCACCCCTGACCTTGGTCCAGAGAGTGTCTTCTCTGAGCCTCAGGTGCCTCATCTCCAGGTGGGTCAACAGTACCTCCCCCGAGGGCCTGTAAGTGCCTGATGTGCACACAGTAACTAGAGCTGCGGTTATGGTGACAATGCAAATGCAAGGGGCGGAGGAGGGGAGCTGACCCGTCTGCCTCGCTCAAGCAGGACTCTGGTACAGGAGTTGTGCTTCTTTCCCAATTTCTCTCCTAACTTTCCAGTTGCTGTTGGTTCTGAGTCAGTCAGAATGCTTTTGGCTGCAGGTAACAGAATTCCTAAGGAGAGTGATCTAATCGAAACAGATGTGTATTGCCTGATGAGAATTTGGGAGGTGGGTGGACCTGGGGTGTTTAATTCAGTGACTCGGTGATGCCCAGGAGGCCCTAGGCGTTCCCCATCTCTCTGTTCTGCTGGCCCTGGCATGTAAATAATGTCTCCTCTTCTGGTCAAAAAGGCTGCCACAGCTCCGTAGATCACACCTTCATATAACCACATCTAAAAGAGGAAGGGAGAGGCTGGAGTTTCTTTCTCATCTGGGAGAAAAATCCTTTCCAGAAGCTCCCCGAGTAGATGTGTCCTGACAACTCATTGGATGAAACTCGATCACGTGCTCACTCCTGGGCCGGTTCCCTAGGAAGAAGGGCAAAGAGGACCATGACAGGCTTGGGCCCACTGTGACCCATTTCCCGGGGCCAGACACACTGTCACACCAGACATCACTGGGGCTTGTTATCGAGGGAGACGGGCACTGGCTGCTGGGTGGGCAAACACCAGTGTCTGCCAGACCTCACGACCTACTCACTAAGCACCTACTGTGTGCCAGGCACTGAAACGTGAGCAAGATGGACACCGTCCCCGTCCTCAAAGGGCCATCCCTGTGGGTGCGAGGGGCAGGTGAGGCGAGGGTGAAGATTGCTCCCTGACCCCCAGGGAGGTTCTCCTGTCGCAGCCACCTCTCCTCCCTCCACGTGGGCTGGCTGGGGCCTTCCACCTGCTGTGGCGCATTTGCGGAGGGCCGCGCTCTGGGCGCGTGCACGATCTCATTGCACACGTGCACACAGGCTCGGAGTGGCCCGGGGTTCACCGAGAGGCTCGCCGTGAGCACGTGTCTCCAGTCCCTGCTCCTGGCCGCGGTGTTGCGCTGCCCTGTGCTCACCGGTGGTGCCCAGGGGCCTTGCCAGCCCATGCGGCCTCAACGCGCCACCATCAGCAAGCTCCTAACAGCCTTCGCTGTCAGAAGTCCCTTCCCCATCCAACGGCCAAAGTCGTCCACACATGGTCCTGTTCAAACTCATGTGGCTCTGCCCTGTCCTCCTCTCCTTGCTGTGCCTTGAATGCCCCAAGCTGGTCCCTGCCCCAGGGCCTTTGCCCGTGCTGTGCCCCCTGTCTGGAATATTCTCCCTGCAGCACTTGGCATGGCTCTCATTCTCGTTGTCTGGGTCTCGGCTTACGTGTTCCCTCCTGTTCTGTTTCCACCCCTGCTGACTGGGGGTACTGCCGTCCAGTTCTCGCACTGACCACCCAGCGTTGACATTAGGTCTCACCCGTTCCGGGCTCCCTTCTCCACAGGACCGTCCCCACAGCAGATGCCGCCTGCCGGTGGAGTCCCCAGGCCACCTGCACGTCTGTCTGTCTGGGTTCCCACAACCCCCTCGGGTTTGGTAATTCCCTAGAATGACCCATAGAACTGCGAACCACGCACGCCCGGCTCCGGGTGCGTCCCGCCTGGGCAGGTGACCGCGTGAGGACCAGGGTGGGTCAGGTGCAGGAGGGGGTGGTGAATGAGCCTCGCGTGGCCCCAAACCACTCGCCCGGACCCCGTGTGTAGCCGCAGGGACCGGGGGCTCCGGCTCTGGTTCGCTCCGGCCTGCAACGAAGGGCTGTGGGCCTGGCGGCCGACTCTGCTCACGCCTCTGTGTTTCATCCGCAGCGACGGGTCCAAGTCATCGAAAGCCACGCCGTCGAAAAAGCCGGGAAAGCAAGACTCCCTTCTCCCTCCGTCTTCTCTCCGCGTCCTGCTAACGCCTCCAGTCCACGAGGTCGGTGTGCACGGCGTTAACCAGGGCCCTGGGGAGGCCACCCTTCCCCAGCAGGGTCACTGGGGCCCCGTCAGAGCTGCGCCAGGCCAGGGTCGAGTCAGGGAGAAGCTTCTGGAAGGAGGACTCTCCTTAGGCAGCCATCACAAGGGTAGTGACCACCCCCTGAGCCTGGCGCTGACCGATGTGTTTCAGTTGCCGAGTCAATGTCCTGGGGCTGCCGCCCAAAGCACACAGACGTTTGTCCCCTCCCAGCTCTGGAGGCCAGCAGCGTGGGATCCAGGGGTCGCAGGGCCCGCTCCCCTAAAAGGCTCCAGGGGAGGCTCGGTCCTGCCTCTTCCAGCACCTGGCATTCCTTGGCTGGTGGCCGCGTCCTCAATCTCTGCCTCTGTCTTCTCACGGCCTCCTCGTCTCTGCATCTCTCTGTTCTCTTCGTGTAAGGACACTAGTCCTGGGGTTTAGGGCCACCCTCAGCCCAGGATGCTCTCGTCTCGAGATCCGTAACTCAGTCACATCTGCAAAGACCCTCTTTCCAAGGAAGTTCCCGCTCTGAGGTCCTGGGTGGACGTGGCTTGGAGGGCGCCGTCCCCCTAGAGACACTCGCCAGCCACGTGAGGCCGGGGTGCTATGCCCTTGGGTCACAGACAAGGAGACTTAGAGAGGCCAGCGGCCGCTCTGTGAGCACTGGCTCCTCGTGGCTCAGCTGTGGGTGGGGGTGACCATGTCCCCCTGTGGGCTTAAATGAGTGAAGGACTTAGAAAGCGCTGTGCGGGCTCCTGTGACCTCCCAGGGTCCCCTCCTCCAGGGTGTGGGTGTTTTCCGGGCTCAGTTTCATCTAACGGCTGACAGCTTGGGCTCAGGAATCAGCCAGGCCTGGGTTCAGATCCCCGCTCTGCCCTTCGCTAGCTGTGTAACCTTGGGAAAGTTGCTTCACGTCTCTGAGCCTCTGTTTCTCCACTTGTAAAATGGTGGATCCAGGAACCTCAGGGCTGTGCGAGATTCAAGGAAACAAGGTCCAAAGGAGGAGGCCAGTCCTTCCTCTGGAGGAACCTCAGAGGGGCCCTTTCTCCTCCCCCTGAGATACTCCACGGCATCCTCTTCTCATTCCCGGACTTACTCAGTCTCCAACCTGAACTCCCGTGTCCCCTCCACTTCCTTCTATCCCTCTGTGGCGCCATCACAGTCTCTCTCCTGGCCGGGTGGCGGGAAACCCAATGGCAGATGTCAGAATCTCTGGCAGACAGGTGGGCTCGGGGAAGGAGGCAGCTGGGAGCCCGCACAGCTGGTAGTTTTGGTCCTTTCTCGTGAACCGTTATTCAGAGGCTGTTAGTACTCAGTACTACTCGTAACGGTAGAAGGAGTGGTTTCTGGATGCTTCTGGCCGCCTGCGTCGGGTCTCTGTGCCCCCTGCCCTTGCCGAGTGCTGGCGAGTTAGGGTCCTGCAGGAGAAGCCCCCGTCAGCAACGCTGGGAGCAGCCCTTGGGCGGGGCGACCTGAGGTCTGAGGGCGTCCAGGCCGGCCGGACTCCATCACACACCCTCCTTGGCCCTTGTTCCACCCCAAACGGTCTTCCCCTAAATCGACTACTTGCCTGGAGTCGCTGTCTCCGAGTCTGCTCCTGGGGGCCCAGCCGGGGGGCCGTGGGGACAGCCGGTGACGCCCGGCCGCCCTGCTGTCTCCTGCAGAAGCCAGGCTCCCTGCGCGCGGAGAGGGTGGCGCCCAGCCTGCGCTCCCCGGGAGGCCCGGAGCCGGGATCCCCACGGACAGCGGAGGCCCCGCTCAGCGCTCGGGCACTCAAGGAGATGGCCGCCAGCACCAAGAGCATCGCCCGCATCGCGGCCACCCGGCGCTCCCGGGCGCAGGACCGCGAGGCCGGCAGTGGCCGCTCCTCCCGCCACCTTCCGGAGGAGGTGGCCCGGGGCCCCAGCCCGGCGGACAGGAGGTGGCCTCACGCCAGCCTGTGCAGGGACCACTCCGGGGAGAGGAAGGCCAGGAGCCAGCGGTCGCCCTCTGTCACGTGGAGCGTGCAGCCGGTGGGTGGACACTGCCCGGCGCTCGGGTCCCAGGGGTCAGGGATGGACCTCTCAGAGTCACGGGGGGCGCAGGGGCCCTGACGCCTGGGGGATGGAAGCAGAAACCGGAGCCCCCACATCCCTGTTTCCATCTCCCCCTCCTTCAGATCCGAAGCCACATGTGCACGTGTTTTACGCAGCTAGAATCCCCTGGAAATCTAGCTTTGTGCCCTGGATTTTTTCTTTAACATTATTCCATAAATTTTCATGCATCTACATAGCATTTGTATTTTAACCTAAAAAAAGGACCTGCCTCGGTTCTGAAACACAGCGCAGGCGAGCTGCGAAGCGTGAACCACTGGGAGACGGTCCTTGGCCGCGGTGTCCACACAGGCCGGCCGCGGGCCCTCCGACGACACCCGCCACACGCCATCCCGTTCCGTGGCCGCTCTGTGGTTTTCGGTTCCCCTTTAAACGGCCACTCGGCCTGTCTTTCATTTTAGCCTGTTACGCAGAATGCTTCAGGGTCCCCCTGTGAAGGGTATTTTTCATTTCTAATTCCTTTCTTGGGATGTCGGACAATGAAAAGTGGGAGAGTCCCAGCGAAGTAGGATTAGGCAAAAATGAGAGCGTCTTCACAGCGTCAGAGGGAGAGGTTCATTGTAAGGAACTGGCCCGTGCAATCATGGAGGCCGACAAATCCCAGATCAGCAGTCGGACAGCTGGAGTCCCAGGAGAGCCGATGTTTCGGTTCAAGTCCAAATGCAGGAAAACGCCAACATCCCGGCTCAAGGCAGTCAGGCAGGAGGAGTCTCTGTTACTCCCAGGAGTCTTTTGTGCTCTTCAGGCCTTCAACTGATTGGGTGAGGCCCACCCCGATAGGGAGGGCCATCTGCTTTGCTCAGGCAAACGTTAACCATCACAGGGGGTTTAGATGAGAACCCCCTCCATGGGGGTGGGGGAGTTGAGCAGGGAAAATGGGAGGGACAAACAGCCAGGAGAGCATCGTTCCCGCATTCATTCATTCTTCCCTGGGGGTTGAAGGAGAATGTGAGTAGTGATTCTGTCCTTTGAGTTCACTGAGGCACCCCGCGTGTGTAGAGCAGTCTGGCACACAGTAGGCGCTTAATCAGTGCATGGCTTCAGCTCAGAATGACCTTGACGCTTCATTCCTCCCCACCTGCTCCCCTCTCCTGCTGTGTGATTTCTCCCTGCAGGCGATGGAGAAGCTTCAGCCCCCATCCATGGACCATTCGGCTGAGAGCCGGCCGCCCCCTGTGCTCCCTCAGCTGTCCAAGTCATCGGGAAAGAGCTTTTTCCCTGCTGTCCCAGCGGCCTCCAAGATAAAGCCCAGCCTCAGTTTCCATGCAGGTACAGGATCAAAAAAAAGAAAACAGTGTGTCAGGGTTTTTTCTGTATCTTGAGACTCTTCCCCTCCTCTCAAATGTAAATCTTTGGAAAGTGTGGCCCTTTGGGCTGTTATCAGTTGTCTGCTCCTTGGTGTGAATGAGTTTCAGGCGTTAGGGGCAGTGAGTGGGCGAAGGCCTCCAGCTTCATCAAAAGAAATATTTACAGAGGCATCAATTTTGTTTCTGGCCCGCCTGACACCCTAGTAGAGTTTAAAATAATGATTAAAATTGTGCATGTATGACGGGCTGCCGTTATTCAGTCTGTACCCTTGACCCCTACGGCTTCTTTCAGGATACGGTTTGAATCCTGGCTCCTGTGCTGGCTGTCGTTACAAAAATAGTATATGCTCATTGTGCAAACTTGGGAATATCGAGAAAATTATAAATCAGAAAAAAACCACTTGTACACCCCACCACCCAGACACGATAAGACGACTTCCTCACCGTGGGTGGACAGTGACGGGAGCGTCTCTCCCGTATTCTAGGATATTGGGGTTGTTTCCGGTTTGTCACAAGAGCAGACGGGTGGACGTCAGTGTTTAGAAAGGCGCGTGGCAGTCTGACGGCCCCGCAGCTTGTGACCCGTGGCCTGCATTCCGTCTTTCTCACAATGTGCATTTAGCCCTTCCAGTGGCTCACTGTCGTTATATTTACAAAAGCAGCCGTCCAGCAGAGCGCGGTGAAGACAGACCGGCACAGACCGGCGAGCCCGACCTCTCCAGGGGTGGTCAAGACGGCCTGTGTCGCTGTTTCCGCCACAGCAGCTCACGTTTATTTAGCACTTACTCCGTGCTGGCGCCTCCCGGTGTCAGGCCGTTTGTCCTCACGCTCATGCTGGGAGGGGAGGAACGACTGTTATCCCCACGGTACAGAGGAGTAAATGGAGGCACAGAGACCTTAAGGGACTTGCCCAAGGTGGCGCATCTGGGAGGGGCAGAGCCGGGCGGGATTCAAAGCCAGGTAGGCTGGCTCTGACCCCCACCTCCAGACGTCCTTTCGTGTCCTGTTTGATTAGAGTTGCGTCTTCAGGGTCATCTTTAGGGCTCTCGGCATACGCTTCAACGATGGTGGAAGCAGCGGACACTCCCACGCTCTGTCTTGCTGGTGGGCGTGCACCTTCGCACAACCGGACTCACATGCACGCTTTCAAAGGCTTTTCGGGAACCTTTGATCTTGAGGACAAAGTTGAGATCTATCTGAGACTCCTCAGTTGGGCCACTGTCCTTGCTGGGAACGACACAGGCCTCCAGGAACGCTCAAGAAACTCAAAGCGCTTAAAAAAAAAAACCACTGAAAGTGTCCTGCATCCTTATGGGATTTGCAGCCTTCCAAAAATTTTCTTTATTTTTTTTTTTCTGTTTGCATGTTCATAAAACAATAAAAAATCACAGCGAACGCAGAGCAGGTAGGAGTGGGGACTTCAAGAGCCAGGGGCCGGGGTGGCTGTCAGCCGCTCTCCTCCAGCCAGCCTCACGTCCTGCACTTGGAGGAGGGACCGTAGATAACAGGCATGGTGGCCACAGCAAGGCTCCACCGGAAGGTTCCAGCCTCCTCCGATACCCCCAGGCCAACCCCAGCTGCCGAGGCTGCTGTCTGCGCCGTCTACAGACGCGCCCCTTGGAACGTGTTTGTGTAGACGGTTGAAGGAGCAGAGCGAGCAGCAGTGGCCTCCTGCGGAGCGGTCCCCCGGCTCCAACAGCCATCGACGCTCTGCCGATTTTGTTTCTGCGCATTTCCTCTGTTTGTTTGTTATTTTCTTTCCCGGAGGCATTTCAAGAAATTCCCAGGTTGTGTCATTTCGCCCGTAAATATTTCAAGAGTGCTCTCGAACCGATGACAGAGTCTTACAGGTCGTAGTTAGAAGAATTAGGAGCAACTCCCTGAGATCATCTAATGCCCAGTCTGTGAACATAAGAAATCAGCCTTTTTCAGATAAAATGAGAGGACGGTAACTGGCGCTCTCGCTTGGCAAGAAAGAGGCACAGTGGAGCCGGGCTGAGCCCCCTTCGTGGACTCTGAGAAAAGGCTGGACCCTCTCTCCCAGCTGTGTCCACAGAGAGTCCCCGTGGGGGCAGAGGTTCTCTCCCCCACAACTGTGTGTTCCTGTGGCGGAAAAGTCAGAGCGATTAGAGTCGACGGTCCTTCAGGATCTGTAGCCCAGCTGGTTCAGATGGGGAAACTGAGGCCCGGAGAATGGAGGCGACGTCTCCAGGATCACATCGCACATTGATGGCACAGCCGGGACGGGCGCCCCCCGGTCCCTCCCACTGTGCCTGGCTGCCTCGTCTTGGAGCAAGAACATTTGTCCTGGGCAGGTGTCCACTGAGGCCTCCAGGTACCCCATTCTCCAGCCGCGGCCCTGCAGGTCTGAGCTGCAAACCGACCTGCCCAGGGAGCCCGGGGGTCACGCCCTCACGATGCTGGCTGAGGCCCCGGCTCCCCGGGGGAGGCTCCCTGGGCCGAGAGCCCCCGGGAGTTGCAATGAGATTGCTTGTTTGCGGTTTAGGGCAGCGGTGTTGCCGGTCCCGCATCCGTGTCCTGATGTGTATCGCCTCCGAGTGCGCGGTTCTGAGCCGCGGCCCTGGGTGCATCTGGGGGGGCGCAGAGCAGCATCACTTACGAGGCCAGTGGGTGCCAGGAAGGAGCAGAGTCGTTTATCATCCATCGCAACCCTATCCAATGGGTGCCCGGTTCGCAGAATGATAAACAGGGAGCAGAGAGGCGGAAGGAGCTCGCTGGGGCCACACGCAAACCTCCTGGGTCTCCGCAGGTGTTCCCGTCGTGGGGCCAGGCTTGAGACAGGCCTCCCTCACGCTGTCCTACCTCATGTCAGGAGAGCGCAACCCGTTCCGAAACCCTCCTCAAAAGTGATCGAATTCCCCTAAACGGGGAGCTCTTCCCCCGCTTCGTTAACACCCGGAGCCGCGTACAATGTTCCTGCCGAGAGCAGAGGTGGCAAACTGGCCGTTCGCACGCCAAACCCAGCCCCGAGCTTGGACGAGTCCGGTTGATCAGCACCACGTTTCAAAGCAGCGCGCGAAGTCAGATCGCACATAGGACACGAAAGTCCAGCTTCTCGTACAGGAGGAGGGTCTGGAGACGGGGCTCCCTCCCTCCCCGCCCGCAGAGCCTGGCTGGGCTGTCAGCTTTGCTCGGTGAGGTCTCCCTGCAACCCTAGCAGGTGGCCTGGCCGGAGGGACCGCACGTTGGACTTATGTCCTTGTGCATCGTCTTCCGTCCCTGCCGGTCTGTGGGCTCCGTGAGCTCAGGGATGTCAGTCTTCTTCGCTGCTGTGCGCCCAGGGCTCCCAGTGGTGCCTGCATGGGGTGGATGCTCCAGAAGTGACATCGAATGGACGGATGGACAAGTGCATGAATGGCCTCCCTGTCGCTGAGCCAAGGGTTCTGATGCTGTGAGCGTCGGGCGTGCTGTGTCTCCAGGCCTCCTTCCCTCAGCTGAGTTTCCTGCCTGGACCTTGTGTGCGTCTGCCTTTGCTGGCCCTGGAGTCCTTCAATTCCAACCCTCACCTTCGTTTAAAATTGAAGTAAAATTCACGTAACCACACTCACCTCTTAAGCGTGCAACACGTGGCATTTAATACATTTACCCTCTTGTGTACCCGCCACTGCTATCTAGTTCCAGAACGTTGCGTCGACCCAAAAGGAAACCCTGAACCCGTTAAGCAATACTCCATCACCTCTCCCCCGGCCCCCGGCAGTCGCGAATCGACGTCTGGTGTCTCTGGGTTCCCCGCTGCCGGCCATTTCCCGTGAATGGACTTGTACGACATGTGGCTTTGGGGTGTGGCTCTTTGAGGCAGCATCACGTTTCCAGGGTTCATTGAGGCTGGAGCAGGTGTTGGCGCTTCCTTCCCTTTGGTGGCTGAACAACACCCCATCGCATGGCCGCCCCGTGTTCGGTGTGTCCCTGCATCTGTCGGTGGACGTCTCGGTTGTGTCCACTCTCGGCTGCTGTGAATGTCTGCAGACAGGTTTCTGTTTAACTAGCTGTCTCCTTCTTTGCGATGTATACCCAAGAGGGGGATGGCTGCATCACGAAGTGGCTCTTGTCTACCCTTTCGGAAAACTGCCAAACTCTCTCCCGCGGTGGCCGCACCAGTTCCCCGTCCCGCCAGTGCTGTGCGAGGCTCCTGTCCTCGCTGACGCTTGCTGGTCTCTGCAACCCTCTCATTTGAAAGACAAGGAAACTGAGGCTCCGGGAGGGGGAGGGCCCTGCCGGGGGCCAGGTGAGGAGTTGGCTGCAGACGTGGCACCGAAGCCCGGGCCTCACCTCTGCGTCCGGCCACTGATTCATGAGACTTTATGGAGCCCCTGGGAAGGTCGAGCTCTCGGCCAGGCCCTTGGGAGATGGCGGGACACGAAATGGGGCCCTTCCCCTTGGGGAGCAGACGTTGAATTCGGGGAGCCGGATGGATCCGCATGAGACGTGTCGGGCAGTGACAGGTGTTGGGAAGAGAACAAAGCAGGCGAAGAGGACAGAGTGTAGGAGGTGTCTGAGGACAGCGGGTCTGAAGCCCAGGCGGTCAGGGGCCTCCCTGTGGGTGACCTGAGGAGGTGGGACCCCAACCCGTCTCTAGGGGAGAACCCACTTCTCTCCCCTCCCCCTGCGTCCTTTTCCGTTGGATGATGTTTCTGATTAAACTCTGTTCAATAAACCCAGAAAGGCCTCTTCATTGCCAGGTAACGGCCAGCTAAGGGCGCTGAGGGAACAGCACAGAGAAGGAGAGGAAGAGCACGGTCGCAGGGGGAGGGAAAAGGGACTAAAGCCAGAGGAGAGAGAAAGTTCCGGAAAGGACAGAGAGCAGGAATTCGCGTAAAAATAATCCTCTGACACGGCTGTGGGGAGGACACAGGAGGCAACCTCAGTGAAGGGCCAGCACGGAGTGGGCACTCAGAGCATCACGGCTGTTACTCATTATTTCGTTTTATTCCCAGGACTCTCTGGCTGGTCCCTGAAAGTAATATTCTCTTCTCTGCGGTTCACGGTTTAGATGACAACACGCTCCACGTGCCGGAGGTCAACTTCACCTTCCCCAGCGCCGTGTGGCAGAGCAGCAGCAGCCCCAGCAGGGTGCCCCTCCTGCCGCGGGACATCCGAGGTCAGTGCCGGCCTGTGCCCTCCGGGTGCCATCGCGTAGCTCCGCTCCAGGGGCGTCCAGGATTCTCATGCTCCGTGGGGAGAAGTCAGGGAGTGACAGGAGGACACGAACCTCAGACGTGACCCCTCACCAAGCACCCTCATCTGTCAGGAGTGGCAGCAGGACACGCACGGCCTGTTTCGACAGCATGTGTCTGAATGTGGGGCATGGGAGATGGCGTGCAGGGATCCCCGGTCCTCACTGCGTGCGTCCTCCACAGTGGAGAAAGTGGCTGAGGGAGTCCCGCGGGCAGGCCTGGTGTTGCTACAGGAGCAGAGGCCGAGATGCACTCGGAAGTGAGGGCCCCAGTTTGGTGGCAAAGTCCCACGGGGCCCAGAAGGTGGCCCGGGGCCCAGGCAGGGCTGGGGCATCCGCACTGGGCAGGACCTCACCGTGACCCCTGCTGGGACTCCGGCTTCCCTGGGGTGGCCTTGAGCACCGACTGAAGCGTCCCCACCCCTCCAGGGTCTACAGACAGCGGAGGCCACCACCACAGCCCGCAGTCCCCCAGCAACGTCCGCAGGCACCGCAGCGGCAGCGCCAAGAGGTCAAGAAGACCCAAGTGACGATGGCGGCGGGCAGAGCGGGAGGCGGCAGGGGACCCGCGCACGGGCTCTCTGCCCCGGAGCTGGAGTGGACAGATGCCGGCCCTGGCAGGGCCCCTCTGGGGGCGGCCCGCCCCAGCCTCCCACAGCCCTTTGTCCCGGTGGCACCTCCCCCCCACCTTCAGAGGCAGGCTGTCCGTGAAGTGACACAGCCTTCCCAGGACCCCTCCCTGGGTGCCAGGGCCTTTTCCGGGGCCTTCCCGCCCAGGACCACTGCACACGGCGTGTTCTGCTCCGGGAGAGTGCGCTCTGTGTGTTAGGACGCCAGGCCATCCCCCTCCAGGTCAGGCTCAGGCTGCAAACCACAGGGGACACCCGAGTGGCCACCAGCATCGTGTATTAGCCGGGATTCTCCAGAGAAACAGAACCAATGGGGGTGTGTGCGTGTGTGTGTGTGCACGTGCGTGTACACAAAAGAGAGAGAGGTCAAGGCTTCCTTTAAGGAGTGGCTCATGTGACTGCAGGGCTGGCCCGTCTGAAGCCCGCAGGGCGGCCTGGAGACCCGAGGAAGAGCTGCGGCCACAGCCTCGAGTCTGGGGGAAGACTTCCCTCTTCCTCGGGGGTCTCAGTCTTTTTTTCTTCAACTTGATGCAGGCTCGGTGAGCCGAGGAGTTGAAGGAAAGATTTCTTGGACTCTCAAGGTCTGGCAGTAGTGCTGTTTTATTTAGAGAATAGTGTGGAATAGCATGGGGACAGGACCCACGGGCAGTCAGGCTGCTGCATGGGGACAGGACCCACGGGCAGTCAGAGCTGCTGCTGCCGCTTCTGCTGCCAACATGGGTGGAAAGTAAGGCTAAATTGAAGGCATAGGTATGTGAGCCATCTCTTTACAAGACAAAGGAAAGAACACGTAAAAAAGTTAAAATGGTATCAGTGCAGGTGCGGTCCGGCCATTGGGTGGTCCCACAACTTTTAGATGAGAATCAAATCGGATTAAGTAAAGGCCAGAAGCCACCACCCTAAATCAGTTACATGAGGTTGCCAGACAGTAACCAACTTAAGTTCTTGCCTTTGGCATTGACTAAGAGCTTCCAGAGACAAGGTCTTCTCCCTTCTTCCTGGCACAGAGAGGGAGGCAGCCCCACAGACGGAGGTTTCCCCTACAAATGTAAATGCCTCCCAACAAAGGGCGAGCAAACTCAGCTCCTCGGAGCCTGCTTCTCATCTGCAGTTTTAAAATTAACCAGCCTAAAATCCTCATCAAACTGATAGGGTGAGGCCCACCCACATTCTGGAGAGTGGTCTGCTTGAGTCAGCCTACCTCCCGATTTCCATGTTAATCTCATCTGAAACATACCTTCACAGCAGCGTCCAGACCGGTGTCTGACCACACCTCTGGGTACCGTGGCCTGGCCAAGCTGATGCATAAAATTAACCCCCACGCTCCCCAGGCCTTGGCCAGCCTGCAGAGTGGCGCTGGTCACCTCCCCACGTGCACACAGGCTCCCGGACAAGCCGGGTGTCGGGGAAAGACAAGAACAGTCTCCCATTCCTATGCGGGAACCTCCCCACCCCCCACCGCGTCCTGACCTCCCTCTCAGCACCCTGAGGGCACGGAGAGGGGAAGCTGCCAACTGTCGGGAATGAGACGGAAACGTGAGGGGACGTGCGTCCAGCCCCAGAAACCCAAAACCCAAAGTCAGGGTTCCGATTGCCTTAGGATCGCACAGCTTCACTCAGTTTCCCTCAAGAGAGGAAAACGAGAACATCCCCGGGCACCGGCCCCTGGGAGCTGGGGCGTCAGCTCGCCTGGCTGTGCCTTCGGCCCTCGCCGTGGGGACCGGAGCCCCCTCCCTCGTGGCGGGCCCAGGGCGGGAACAGACGAGCTCTGTGGACTTGGGGGTTGGGCTGTGGCACGTCGGGGCCGGAGGTGGCGGGGGTGTCGTGGTCTTGCCCGTGGGTGGGAGGCGGTCGTCCTGGAACGTGCGTGTCTGGCACGTGGCCGGCTGCCCGTAAGTGCCGTGCAAACTGTCCAGACAGATGAGGTGGCCCGACCTCCCATCGCTGGAACACCTGCCATAGAGGAAGCAGTGCTGAGCTGCGTCGAAACCGGGTTGTCCCTTCTGGGGCTTCTTGAGGAGGGTGAGGAGGTGGGGAGGTGGGTCCCACGGATCTCGGGGAGTCTGCTGCCAGCTGTGCTGCAGACCTGCCGTGGGCACAGACCGACACCCATTTCCCTCGCCTGGAGGGAAGTGCCGAGCCAGGGTGGAGTGGGTGGAGTGGGAGGACTTCTGCTTTCCGGCCCCGGCCCCAGATCCCGGGTGGGGCAGAAATGGCTGGTTGCCCCCAATATCTGCTCTCTCTCTTCCATGAGAATAGAACCTCCCATTTTTAGCTGGCCACATGGCTCCCCAAATAAAGACTGTATTTCCCAGCCTCCTTTGCAGCTGCGTATGGCCGTGTTGCAAAGTTCCGACCAATGGGATATAAGCCAGAAGCAGCCGCTTCCAGGAATCTTTATCGTACAGGACCATCAGCATGTTCCTCGTGCCTCTTTTCTTCTCCACTTCCTCAGTCCTGCTGCCTGGAGTTTGAATGTGATGGCTGGAACTCTAGCTGCCATCTTGGGGCCATGAGGGCAAAGGCCATGCTTTAGGGAGGAAGGAGGGGGGAGCCGGAAGGAGCTTGGGTCTGCAAGGAGCAGAGATGCCTCAGCACTGTTAGCTCCCACCTCCGGACTTCAATGTGAAAGAGAAAGAAATGTCTCCCCGAAGACACTGTGGTTTGGTGAACCTCATCCTGGCTGATACACCAGGGGGACCCAGGCAGTCGGCAAGTCGTGGCTGGAGAAGTCTCTGGTACATTTGTGGAGTGACAGCAGGGGAGTAGAAATGGCAGCATGGGGGGACAAGGCACGGGGGTCAGGTATGGTCCCTGAGTTGTTCCTGGGGTGGTGTGAAAGTACAGCAGAAACTTCTGGTCTTCCTACACCCCGTCTTGAGTCAGGTCCAAAAGTTGGCCAAGAAAGAGCTGGTGGATCTCAGGGGTGGGGGGGCTCCACCGTGAGGCTGTGGAGTGGCCCATGTGTCGGAAAATAAGCTAAGGAGGCACTTACCTCCTAAGGGGTCCCAGCCTCATTGGGGGGTGTATTGGTCTGAGTTCCCACAAAACAGAACCAACAGGATGTATATATATGGAAAAGGATTCATTTTAAGGAATTGGCTCATGTGATTATGGAGGCCGGCAAGTCCCAAATCTGCAGGGCGGGCTGGTGGGCTGGAGCCCAAGGGCAGGGCTGGCGCTGCAGTTCAAGTCTGAGCCTGAAGGGGGAGGTCAACCTTTTGTTCTATTCAGGCCTTCAACTGATTGGACGAGGCCCACCTACATTATGGAGGACAAGTCGCTTCACCTGAAGTCCACTCATTTAAAAGTTAATCTCATCCAAAAACATCCTCATGGAATCATCCATATCCGGGCACTGTGGCCCAGCCACGTGGACATGTAAGATTAGCCATCCCAGAGGGGCCACGCCCAAGGGCCAGACGGGAGGCCAGCACGGGACCAGGAAGAGCCAGGATGGAGGAACACACACCCCCTCTGCACCAGCCACGGTGACAGCTGGGGAAGCCCCTGGGCTCAGGGTCAACTGGGTGAGGGCCGCTGAGGGAGGATCTCGAATTTGGCCCTGTTTGACCCCAAGATGACGGAGGAGAGTGACACAAGCATCCGCGTGCACCCAGGGCTTCCGTGTGAGTTCTGCCCGCGTCCGTGTGACATACAGACCATCCTGTGATCCCACCACGTTCAGAAAGACAGGAAATTACATAAAGCGAGAAATGAAAACGCCCTGCCCCGTCTCACGCCGGCTGAGAGGTGACTTCTCCTGAATGGTCGGGTGCGTGTTCTTCCCAGGGTCCCCTCCAAATGCCCCGAGGTGGAAGTGTGTCAGCTCAGGTCCCCAGGGATGTGGAGACTGTGACAAGACCATGGTGCCGGTGGCTCACTCGGGAGATGATGCCAGGAGGCGCGGGAGCAGGAAGAGACAGAGGCGCGGTGGGTCCCTGGGGCTGCAGCCAGGACCCCACGGGGCTCAGAGGCCAGCCTCTGGGGTTGACCCCGAGGGCCAGGAGGCACTGACCCTGCAGGGTGGGCTGTGTTTGCTGGGGCCGAGTCCCTGGCCGTGGAGGAGCCCTGGGGCAGAGAGCAAAAAGTCAGGAGTGAAACTCAGAGCCAGGGGCACGGCAGCCGGATCAGAGCTGTCCCCCGGCTGTGACACGGACTGGAGGCATCGGGGACGAGAAAGTCCTGTACACGCTCACACTCTCACACTCACACCCACGCGCCCGTCTCTGGCCTCCCTGCTGCTGCTCCCGCTGCCCCCTCTGCTCAGAACGCCCGGCCCCACCGTCTCCTGCAGCTCCTGGACCCTCCACAAGCCTCAGGGGCCCCCTCAGCCACTGGCTCGGTTACTTGGCCAGCAGGGGGCTGAGCCGGGATTCGAACCGAGCTCTGTGGCCTTTTCCCATGTCACCTCCAGAAGCCGGGTGGGATGCGCTGGGCAATACGGAGTCACAGCGTGTTCCTGAGCAGGGGAGAAACCTGAGCCTGCGTCGTCATTACCTGGCGCCTCGTAGCTGCTCAGCAAACTGAGGGCCGAGAGCTGGTGGATAAGGAAGGAGGATGTTAGAGAAACAGGGTCCTTAAGTGTGTGTGTGGGGGGGGGGGGGGGCGGGTGGTGAAACCTGGTGCGAATTTGTGTTATGGATGTGTACGTGTATGCATGCGTTTGTGTATGTGGAGGTGCTGGTGTGTGTGTGTCTACACCGACCCGTGTGTCTTGCATGGAACAGCTTTGGCAGGAAATCCCGCAGTGAGGGATGTGGTGGGCGGGAGACTCCCTTCTCATCGCACACGGTTTTGAACTATTTGGATTTTTACCGTGTTCCCGTGTGACCTAGTGAGAAAAAACTAATTATTTTTAAAACAGCCATAGCTCTATTAAATGTGGTGTGGGCAGCTCTCTGAGATTCGGCAACTGAAAAAAATAAAGGGTTCGGAAAAGTAGGTATGACACGATTTTACATCTGTATGACAACGAGTATATACACGTATACAAATGTGGTAGACACAGAGATTTCTGGAAGAATTCCCAGGAAGCAAAGACGAACTCCAGTGCCATGTGTGCAAAACCAAAGCGGCTGATTAGCGATGGGCTGGGGCCGTGGGGAGGGCAGCAAAGTCCCCTTCGAAAGGGCTCTTCCTTCTGCAGACAGATTCTCCCCAAGTTTCTGGAGCTGGCGGGGTCCCAGGTAAGCCCATGGGGTTTCAGGGCCCGTGTCAGGGCTGCGTGTGTGTGTATGTGTGTGTGCATCTGTCTGTGCCTGTGTGTGTGTGTGTGCCTATGTGTGTGTGTATGGATGTGTGCCTGTGTGTGTGTGCATCTGTGTGTGTATGGATGTGTGCCTATGTGTGTGTGTGCATCTGTGTGTGCCTGTGTGTGTGTGTGTGTGTATGTGTGCCTGTGCTGGGTGAGAACCATCCCACAGGGGCCCCTCCCAGGAGAGAGCGTTGCTCTGCCCTTGACGTTAGCAGGGCCGCCCTCCTGCAAGGTCGGCTCTGGGGCCCAGGGGTCAGCGTCCGCATCCTCTGCCAGATTCATGTCCACTGGGACCTCAGGACGGGACTTGGTTTCGAAATAGGGTCTTTGCAGATGTAATTAGTGAAGGATCTCGAGATCATCCTGGATTCAGGATGGGCCCCAAATCCAATGACAAGTGTCCTCGTAAGAAGGGGAGAAGACACGGAGACACAGAGGGAAGACAGCCACGGGAAGCTGGAGGCAAGGACTGGAGGGACATGACCACAGCCGAGGGGCACCAGGAAGCCCCAGAAGCCGGAGGAGGCAGGAAGGGTCCTCCCCTGGGGCTTTAGGAGGGAACGTGGCCCTGAGACACCTTGATTCCAGACTCCCGTCCTCCGGAGCTGTGAGGGGACAAATGTCTGTGTCTTGGTCATTTGTTAGAGCCGCAGTAGAAATCGGACAGTCTGGACGAGGCACCTGCATCCTGGACAAAGGGGACAGGAATGGGGAAGGGCAGGCCCTCTCAGCAGGGGTGCTGGGAGGCCAGGCCAGGTGCGTGGGGTCCCCGCCCGCCCACCTCAGCCCCTCCCCGTGGGCACCTGCAGTCCAGGGGCAGCCCCCGTACAAGGGGGCAGCCCTCACCCCGAGGGGGAGTCCCAGCCTCTCAGAGGGTCCCACAGGCCTGAGGCCCAGCTGTCCCCAAGAGCCACTGCTGGTTAACTGCACCGCTCCGGCTTTTCTCACTCCCCGCTCACTGTGCTTCCCAAATAAACCTCCTGTGTCCCCATCTCAGCTTTTGGGGGCCCAAGCTGAGGCCGGACACCTCCGCATAGGACCCCGCTGGGCCTGGACCACCTGCTCTGGGGGAGGCGGCTGGTGCTTCCTGGAGATGCTGGGTCCAGGGGGCCTTTGCGCTAAGAGCTCCACATGCATTCCGAGACGTCGAGCTGTTCATGCGAGAACTTGACACTTCGGGCAGAAATATAACTTGTGACTTTCTTTCCGCGAGTTTAGAATTGGCTCCGGTACCACTCCGCACGATCCGTGCGGCCAGGAAGCGTCAGGTCGGATGTCCGTGTATTTCCCAGGTAGAAAAGGAAGGTGAGCCCGTGGCACGATATGTGGGTCCCATAAAGGTTCAGCGATCATTTCTTAGATTATTTCAACTACGTGGTCGCTTCTCTCAGCTCAGTGCATTCTCGGCCTTCGACCAACTGAAGCTCCCGCAAAGGCAGCTGGGGGTCTTGTATCAGGCGGGGGGGCCACGCCGGAGAGAGGGTCCCAGCATCCGCCTGCAGAGAATGGCCCGGGGGCGGCCTGTGGCGACGTCCCGCGGTGGGGTGGGTTTCCCCGCATGTGAGATGCCTCACCGACACGGCTGTAAATTATCGAGAACCCAGATCCTCATGCAACCAGGAACAGAACCTGCAGGAATGGACCTGGAACAGACAGGGGTGCCCCGCCTCTCCCCGTAATGTTCTTCTGACACAGGCATCGGAGCAGGAAGAGATGCAGATGCCCTCCGTGTGCCGGCTCAGGTCCTGCGGCTGCTCCGACAAAGCTCCACGAGCCGAGCGCCTTAGCGCAGCAGACGGTCATTGTCTCGCGGTTCTGGAGGCCAGGAGGCCCAAATGGAGGTGTCGGCAGAGTCGTGGTCCCTCTGAAGGTGCCAGGCAAGGATCTGTCTCAGCTGCTGCTGGCTCCCTGTCTCGGGGCAGCGTCACTCCAACTTCCCACGGCTTCTCTGTGTGCGCCTGTGTCTCTTTTCATAAGGTCACCAGTCTTACTGCATTAGGGGCCCGCCCTGCTCCCGTCTGACCTCATCTTAACTGATTACAGCGGCCACACCAAGAAGGTCGCATCCTGAGCTGCTGGGGGCTAGGACCTCAATAGACGAACCGGAGGGACGGGGGCGCTAGCATCCAACACATAACAAATGGAGAGAAAAGAAGTAGAAAAAGGTGACTGGCGGGCCGCAGTTGTGTAAGAACTCACACTGCTGTTGTGGGTGCCAAGGGCAGTCAGCTGGGCACAGGGCTGATATGTCGTGAGTTGCGTGAAATGTGTTACTCGCTTTTCATTTTTCTGTTTGTAGAATGACATTTGCTATGTTTAAATTCTCATTAAAATGTCTAATGCAGTTTTTTCCACTATCCCTTTCATCGCGCTTCTGTAAACTATTTGTAAAACGACTTCAAATATGTTTTTTTAAATGGGTCCACTGGACCCAGGTCGTAAAAGGCGACTGCCGATTTTTCCCGGCGTACGAGGGTTGAGGCCGAATGAAAAGCTACAGACTCGTCTTTCTCACACCCAAATCACCAACACATGCAAGAGCCGGGCTGACCAAACGTGTGTCATCAAATTGCTTTTAATGGCCCCACCCGGAGCCTCCTCTGCCCTTGGCCAGCGCAGGACGGGTTCCAGGAGGGGCCGTGCCCTGGGCCTGGCTGCCTTGTCCTGCTCTGGGCTGGGGGCGCCATGGCTGCAGCCCCAGAGCCCCGCTGGTCTTCCCTTGCGTTTCTCTCCCAGTTTCTCTTTTCCCACCTGCAGATGGGGACAGCGGCACCCCCCGAGTCCCACAGAGGGCTAGGCTGGAGGTGCATACGATGGAGACTGTGGCAGAACCGCCTTCCTGGCGGGCCTTACATGTGGGGCACAATCAGATAAGCTCACCAGCACCCTTCAAAATCTCTGACATGACCCACATGGAGCAGCATCCGTCTGGTTTAAGGCCAGCCCTTTAAGGTAACGCATGCAGTCAAAGTGAGAAGCCCGAGCTAGACTCAGGAAGGAGGAGCGCAGGCAGGCTCCCGGCAGAGATGAAGCTATGCCAGCAACTTTAAGAGAACCAGCAGGTGTCACGGGGCCTGGCACTTTGACGAAGGACTTGTGATGACTTCCACCCGCCTGCAGCGTGGACCCTGTCCTGTGACCCCACCCGGGGTCCTGGCATCTTGTCCAGGACAGAGGCCGCATGTGCAAAGGAGGTGACCCCGCTGGGAACGTCCTGGGTTTATTACTGTGGTTTTGGCTGTTGCGAGGCTTCCTTGCAAGAGGAGAGCGACGTGCAGGAGCCCATTCAACAGTCCCGCCGGGAGAGAGATGGGCAAAGAGGAAAAGACCTTTGGAAGACATTGCAGAGAATTAGTGGGGTTTCCCCGGGGAGAAGAGGCATAAAGCTGGGTGACCCAATGGTAGGGAGTGAGCTCCCCAACCTGGAGGTGTGCAAGCAGGGGTGAGCCCTCTTGTTAAGAGCGTCATGTTGGTGACATAAGCCATCAGGTGAGAGGGGGTTTGACCATCTCAGGCTCCTTCCTGACAACGGGGCATCCTAAATCCGAGGAGGCTGGAGACGCGTCCCCACACTGGCCTGTCCTTTCTGATTTTGCATGGATTCACCTGTGTGTGGATCACCTTAGCCAGGGTGTCCTCCCCAGGGGTCCCCAGGCTCCTGTCCAGACCCCAGGGTAGCCCTTAGCACAAGGAGTTGGGAGGCTGGGTTTCACACTTCCAGGCTCTTGGTGCTCCTCAAGCCAGGCCCAGGCGCCCCTGACCTTGGCCCCTCCAGGGTGCCCCCATTCCCTCCCTTTGGGGACTCCCACTGCCTCCAGGATGAAATGCAGCCTCTGTGGCATGTGGCCCCTGGCGGCCATCCCAGCCACCAGGAGGGTGGAGCAGAGGTGGTGGGGAGGGCTGGCCAGGACTGGGGTGTGCAGTGAGGTACAAGGACTTGGCTTGGGGACCCCTGGGTGACGGCACCCACTGACATCGCTTCCAATGCACCCCTTCCCCTGAGTCCAAGACGCAAACATCCGATCGTGTCCCCAACAGCTGTGACATCCGGGGGACATCTCCCTGTCTGCACCCACAACGCCAGGTTCACACGGTTTGCTCCCCGACCCTGCTCTCATCCGGGCACTCCTCTCACCCACGGAGGCTCCACCATCCTCCCAACAGCCCATCCCCAGAGCCGGGCACCGCCCTTGACTCCTCTCTCCCCCTCCCCCCATCCCTAAGCCTTCCTGTCCACTCCATCCACCTGTCCCCAAATCTCTCTCCATCGTCCTCTTCCCCCATCTCCTCTCCTGCCCCCACCCCAGCCGAAGACACCATCCTCCCCATCAGGACTGCCGGGTGCCTACCAGCCGGTCTCCCCCAGAAATGCTGTTAGGGGCCAGCACTTGGCACCGTGGGAGGGAGGGGGGAGGGGCTGTACTTTCAAGCATGAAACAGATACGGCGCTGAAGCTGGTCACACAGGTGCCGGGGCTGGGCCCCTTCTGCTCCCGCATTCCCCCACAGCACCCCGAGGAGGTCTGAAACAGAAACTCAGCAGCGGGCCTGGGGCGGGGCTGAGGGTGCCGGAGCTCAGATTTCATCAGGAGTCTTCATCGTCCGTCCTCTGTTCGTTGGCTCTCTCGGATTTTCACATGGCCTGCAAAGGAGAGCAGAACTCGCCCTTCTCATGCCTCCCCTCCGGGTTTTTCCTTATCCTGTTGGTGCTCTCGCCCATCCCTCGCCCAGAAGCGCTCAGAGGCTGCCTCTATCAGGCGGGGCTGACATTTCCTGGGCCAAGCCACAGTTACTTCTTTTTCCTGTTGCGACGCTGGCTATGAAACCAGAAATAGTTGTAGCCCGCGGGGGACATCTCTACAACTTGCACTAAAACACGGAGCCTGTGGTCAGCCCCTGGGAGGCCGCAGCCCTTGCACAGAGGCCCAGGGTCCCGAAGGTGGGTGGCGGCCAGCAAAGCTGCTGGAGGGAAAGACAGCCCGCGGGGTCCCAGCCTGAAGGAGCTCGGGGAATGGAAGAGGGGGAGATGAAGGTTACAGTGTGGGGCGTCTCCAGGTCACAGGTCCCCCACGGCAGGTGCCCTCCTGGTTAAGGAGGTCGCTAGGGTGCAAGGGAGCTCTTCTGGCTCTGGAGCCCCAAATTTGGCTTCGGGTCCCCACTCATCACTTACACAGCTGTGCATCTTTGGTTATAATTGGTTGACTTCTCTGAGCCTCTGCTACCTTGTCTGCAAATGAGGAGATAATATGTAGCTATTTCAGAGAGGGTAAGTACAAATGTAGCTGTGTTGCTAATGTAAGAACTGAGTTGTTTCTTGTCAATGGAAGTGAAACTGACATGAGAAAATCAACCATTTGAAGCGAACAATTCTGTGACATTCAGCACATTCACAGTGCTGTGCAACCACCATCTTTATCTAGTTCCAAATCACTTCATCACCCCGAGGGGGGACCGGGCCCCATCATGCAGCTCCCCTCCCCTCCTCTCAGGGAAGCATGGTCTTTATCTCAGCCCCAGGTGCGTCCGCCGAGACCCTCGCCCTGCGTCTGAGCCTGAGTCCCCGCCTTGGAGCTCTGTTCGAATCCCCAGAAGGCCTTTGCAGCATGCAAGTCAGGCTCCTGCGCGCCTGAATCTCTATTTAATTCAAACCAACCTTTACCAACCCTCCCAGGGGCTGGGGATCTCATGGGAAACGCTTTCAAACCCACAACGCGCTTTATCCCGGCAACGGGTCTCAGGTCTGGCTGGAACTAAACATTAGACTTTTATTTCCTGTGTCCCACTCTCATTTGACCAGGGAACCCTTTTATCTCATCAAGGGGGCACCCATAACCAGGTCCTCTGGGCAATGATTTCATTTCATCTTCGTTTTGCAACCACTTCTTCATAATTAGCAAAATCTCGGCTGGGGGACGTTTTTAAATGGAGGTATAATTTATATACGACAAAATTTATCCTTTTGCATGTACCATTTTAGGAGTTTTGACAAATGCCTATAGTCATGGAACCCGCACCCCTGCTCCAATCAAGACACAGAACAGTTCCATCCCCCCTAAATTTCCTCCTGCCCCTTCGGAGTCCACCCCTCCCCCAACCCCAACCCCTGGACCCTACCCTTTTGCCTTTTCCAGGAAGTCACCTAAACGCAATCACACAGGATGTAGTATTTTGCCATCAGCTTCCTTACTCAGCAGAATGCATCTGAGACTCGTCTGGGTTGTGGCGTGGACCAACAGTTTGTGCTTCTTCACCGTGGAGATGTATTCCAATGCACGGATGTGCCGCCATTTGTCTACCCATCTCCCAGTTGAAGGATTTGGGGGTTGTTCCCAGTTTTTGGCACTTATGAATAAAGCCACTAAAAACATTCACACACCGTTTTTGTGCCAATATGAGCCTTCGTTTCTCTTAGGTTAGTACCTACGAGTGGGTTGGCTGGGCTGTGTGATGGATTTATATTTAACTTTTTCTTTTTTTTTTTTTAAAAGATTTTTATTTTTGCTTTATCTCCCCAAAGCCCCCTGGTACATAGCTGTATATTTTTTTAGTTATGGGTCCTTCTAGTTGTGGCATGTGGGACGCTGCCTCAGCGTGGCTTGACGAGCGGTGCCATGTCCATACCCAGGATCCGAACTGGCGAAACCCTGGGCCGCCGCAGCACAGCGCGCAAACCTAACCACTCTGCCACAGGGCCAGCCCCTATGTTTAACTTTTTAAGAAACTGCCAACCAGTTCTTCAGAGGACTGTGCCATGCTGCATTCCTGCCAGCAGTGGGGGAGAGAATAGGAAATAACCTTTTAAAATGACTTATTATGTAATTTTTGATAAATACTGTTATGGGCTAATTGTGTCCCCTTTCCAAAAAAAAGGTATGTTGGAGTCCTAAACCCCAGGACCTCAGAACGTGACCTTATTTGGAGAGAGGATCTTTACAGAGGAAATCAAGTTAAAATGAGGTCATTAGGGTGGGCCCTAATCCCGTATGACTTGGTGTCCTCATAAAAAGAGGACATTTGGACGCACAGACAGACGGGCACAGAGGGAAGTTCACGTGAAGACACACAGAGAAGACAGCCGTTAAGAAGCCAAGGAGAGAGGCCTGGACCACACCGTCCCTCACACCCTCAGAAGGAACGGGCCCTGCCAACACCTTGATCGCGGACTTCCCACCTCCAGACCCAGGAGAACAAATAAATGTCTGGTGTTTAAGCCGCCACGGCTGTTAGAGCAAAGGAACACACACATAAGACAACGGAGGCGATCCACCTTTAAGTTTTGAGTCCTGCTGATAAAACGACATAGCTGCCACCTACCACCCGACTGAAGAACCAGAACGTGACCCAGAGCCTTGCATCTCCCACAAAGTGCTCTCGCTCCGGACTCTGACCTCCCGGTGCCTGCCTGCTGGAGGAGGCCTCTTTCCAGGGAGCAGACTGAGTGGGCTGGGGGAAAGCGAGGTCGCGGACAGAGACCACCGCTTTGAGAGGTGAGCTGAGAAGGTGACGGCTGGAGAGGGTAAAGGGCATCCGTTTGGGTTTTGTTTTCAAAACGGGAGAGGCTTGGTGGTGTTTAATGCTGAAGGAAGAATCCAGCGGAAAGGAGAGGCTGTCATCCCGTTGGTGGTTTCCCCCGGCTAGGACAGAAGCTCTGGGAGGGCAGGGCCCTCCTTCTCCTGCGTCACTCCACGTCTCCAGGGCCAGCTGGCGGGGACTCCTGGGTGACAACTGCCGGGGCAGGAGGGACTGAAGACGTGGCCTTCCATCCGAGGGCAGCCCGCTGTCCACGGGAGGAACCAGTAAGACGTCACCGATGGAAAAGCTCTGTGGATGCACGACAACGTGAATGCATGTAACGCTGAACTCTACGCTTAAAACGGTTAGGACGGGGGGCCAGCCCGGTGGCGCAGCGGTTAAATTTGCACCTTCCGCTTCGGCGGCCCGGGGTTTGCTGGTTCGGATCCCGGGTATGGACATGGCACCGCTTGGCAAGCCATGCTGTGGCAGGCGTCCCACATATAAAGTAGAGGAAGATGGCATGGATGTTAGCTCAGGGCCAGTCTTCCTCAGCAAAAAGAGGAGGATTGGCAGCAGATGTTAGCTCAGGGATAATCGTCCTCAAAAAAAACACAAAAAACGGTTAGGATGGCAAATTTTCTGTTTTGTGCATTTTACTGCAATTTTAAAAAGTCCTTGCTCCTAAGAACAAGGATTAGACTGCTCACTGTGCCTTAGGCATCCTGCTAAGGGCTTTCCCGCATCATCTCCTTTGGGTCTCCCCAGCTCCCTGCAGGGTGGCGTCCCTGCCCCATTGGACAGACGGACTGGGAGACGACCTCAGAGAGGTTCCGTCCCTCGCCCAAGGACACACAGCGACTCCAAGACCCCGGCGGGGGAGCATCACGATCCTCTGCAACCAGTCGGCGCCCGCGAGCCGGTCTGGTAGACAGCGGGCGCCGCATAAGCGTTCGCGGGGTCTGCACCAGCTGCAGCCCCGCGCAGCCCTCGCCGGGTCCCCGCGGCTCCCCGCGCCCCGCCCGCTGGAGGCGGGGCCAACGCCGCGGCCCGCGGGACGCGATTGGCTGCTGCGGGAGGGGGCGGGGCTCCCGGCGCCGGGGGCGGGGCCGATCTCGGGTCGTAAATACGGCGCCACATGGCACTGGCTGGGGGGCGCGGGGGCGGGGAGCGGAGGGCGCAGGCGCGTGGAGGGCGGGCGCCCCTCGGCCTCCGTGGCCCCTCTGGCGGCCGCGACTTCTCGCGAGAAGAGGAGCGGGAGGCGGGGCTCCGGCGCCGGGGGCGGGGCCGGCGGAGGGGCGGCCTCGGGAGGGTGCGCGGGTCGCGAGGCGGCGGCGGCGGCGGCAGCGGTGGCGGCGGGAGGAGAGGTGAGAGGTGAGGGGCGCGGGGCCGGGCGGGTCGAGGGGCGCGCGGGGAAGTGAGGGGCGCGGGCCGGGCGGTGCCTGCGCCCCCAGCAGCCCGGGCCGGTCCGGTGCGGCCCCTGCAGAGCCCCGGGGCTGCCGCTGTGTGACCTTGGCCCGGCTCGCACCCTCTCTGAGCCCGGTCCTCGCGGGGAGGTGGAGACCGGGAACGGGGCGCGGGGAGGCTCTGCGCCCGGTCAGCTCCCGCCGTGGGCCGGTCCCCGCCCGAATGCTGTCGCCTTGCTGGGGGACAGGCGCTCCGGCCCTGCTGGGGGGCTGCGGCGACGGGGGTGTGGGGGGGGCGTCCTCCTCCACGCTCCTCGGGCTCCTCGGGCGTCTGCACGGAAAATCGATAACTGTTGGGAGCCGGCGGAGATGCCGCAGTGTCCCAGAAGCCCTTCGCCGGAGTGTCCCCGTGTGGGGGGACCCGCGGGGTGGCCGAGGTCCCGGGCTGACCCCTCCACGGTCCCCGCAGGCTGTGCGCATTTTTCCCCGGCCCGCTGACCACTGCCCACTGCCCGGCGGTGCAGACCCCTGCGGATCCGGTGGATCCGGGCAGACTGGCGCTCACATGAGCCTTTGCTCCATCCAGTTCTGCCTGGTCGGGGAGAGGAAGCCATGTATTAGTGGCCAACAGTAGGACTTATATGCTCTCTTTGGGCTCCTGGCCACCAAGTCCTGGCTGACAAACCACTGGCCCGAGCTGAGGTTCCCTCTGGCGCCGAGCACAAGAAGCCGTAGTGTTCCCGTGATCACTCAATTATTTATTTTCCAAATCGATGCCCCAGAGGCTCCGGGGACCGGAGGAAGGGGAACAGGAATTGCGGGCCGAGCGGATGCAGGCGCCTCCTCCAGGGTGGTGTCACCCCCCGGAGCGTGCGTGGGTCCAGGCCGAGGCCGCTGGGGGCTGGCTCACCTGGTCCTCACCTGCCCCCAAAGCAGGACACAGGGTGGCCCCTTCTCCGGAGCCTCTGGAGTGGGCCGTGTGAGTCAGAGAGGACGCCGGGATGTTGGGTGATGCTTGGTTGTGTCAAGCTGGCACTGCCGCGAGCGTGGAGCGTGCCTGCGTGGAACTGCCCGGGGTCGTTCCTTTCCTTGCAGATTAGCCGATGGGACTTTGGGCCGGTGTGTTCAGGCCGGCGGTGCTGGTCACTGGTACTCAGCGTTTGCCTGTTTCATGCATTCAGCAAACGTGGGGCATCTGGTCATTTGCAGGATGCCGGGTGGGGCTGACTGCTCATGGTGTGGTTAGCCTGACCCTAACACGGTGTCACTGGTGCTGTCACCCAGGCCTCTTACAGAGCGGGAGGAAGGAGGGAGCCGCCGAGCTTGTTTCTGGGTGTTGGAGAAGTTTTCTACGGCGGAGACCACATAGGAATCGGGCCTTGAAGGCCGAGTGCGGGTTGGGGAGAACATTCCGGAAGGAGGCAGCAAGCAGGGCGTGCAGAGACGTGGAAGTGCATGGACGCCTGGGGGCAGAGAGACCCTGCGTTCATTGTGGGGGGGGCGGTTTGAGGACTGGGGTGGAAGCTGAGACCTGAAAGAGGTTTGTGACTTGGCTTGGAAGGGGCAGAGGGCGGGAGAGAAGCCTGCTGGGTGGCTGACTTTGGACGTGTGGTTTATTGTCATCACTGCACACTCAGCAAGGCTGGAGGTGATACTCTTCCAGAAAGGTCTCGAGGCTGAGGTGCTGTTGGTGGGGAAGAGACTGGTTCTCGATCCTGTTGGAAGAAATGCAGCTGGTCTCTCATTTTTGAGAAAACTTGTGTCTTATTTTCGATTTTTTAAATCGCTTCTTTCTCTTTGTCTTTGGAGAGTCGCGTCGGTTTCACACCTGCCGAGTGTGTCTGTGGCTGCGCCCGGGCGGGGGTTCCCCGGTCCCTTTGCCGGCAGACGTGCCTGGTGATAACGGACTTCGGTAACTCGGTACTTCCTGCAGTTAGCCAGGGTGGCGGTTCCTGCAGCTGCCGAGAGAGCTTGAAAAACATTTCAGGGAGGAATGGGGAACACCAGGGGGGAGGAGGGCGCTGCCGGCCGCAGCTCGAGAGGGTGAAGCGAACGCAGCCTCTCTGGCTCCCAGATCACAGCCAGCTGGCTCTTCCCCGGCAGGCGGGACGGTGGAGGAGGCTTTGGGGAGTGTGAGCTGCCCGGGAGAAAGGACCCAAAAATGGTGACACCAGGGGTCCCCAGGAAGGAGACCCAGCTGGCTCACTCGCTGAGGAAGCTCGTAATTAGTGACCCCTCCCAGGTTCAAAGCTTCCAGTTTTTTTTGACTCCCCCACCCCTTAATTAGGGAAGGATAGCCAAAGTCACATGAGGAGCCCTCTGATTCAGACAAAATTAAGTTGGAGGCAGCGGAGAGTGCGCAAAAAGAAGACCTGGAGACAGACTCTCCCTGAGACGCACGCACCAGGAGATAAGAGGAAATATGGCACGAACAAGACAAGAATAGGGAGCTCTAAAAAAAAAAAGGAGCGTTCAGCGAACTGAAAAGAGGACCCTGGGCTGTAAAAAACACAACAGCGGGAATAAAAAATTCAGTTGGTGGATGAAATGTAAAGTGGAGCCGCTTAGAAAGATGAATGGGAAAGCGAAGAGGTGGAAAATGAGAGAAAAAAAGGAAAGGAGCAGATCAGGAGGCCCACGGCTGAATGCTAAGAGTTTCAGTGAGAAGGAAAATGGGAAGAGACCGTCTGCAGAGTGGTACATGGTGACTTCCTAGAAAGTCCTGGAGCTGTCTGCTTTGAAGGGTGCCCGGGTGACTAGCACCACAGATGAAGGTGCAGGCAGGGGCTGGCCCGGTGGTGCAGTGGTTAAGTGTGCACGTTCCGCATTGGTGGCCTGGGGTTCACCAGTTCGGATCCCGGGTGCGGACATGGCACCGCTTGGCATGCCATGCTGTGGTAGGCATCCCACATATGAAGTAGAGGAAGATGGGCACAGATGTTAGCTCAGGGCCAGTCTTCCTCAGGAAAAAAAAAAAAAAAAAAAGAGGATTGGCAGCAGTTAGCTCAGGGCTAATCGTCCTCAAAAAAAAAAAAAAAGATGCAGGCAGCCTTCTGTCTCCCAGGTGGTCGTTGCCTGATTTGGGTGTTCAGAGTATGGGGAACCCGTGTTGATAGTGAGGGGTACCCCGTTTCCCACAGCGACTAGTGAGGGTTTGGGAAGCAAGGGATTTATTTGGAAGTGCGTCTGAGCTGTTGGTTCCGGAATTCCAGTAATGAGAGTTCAGATGGAGAGAGAACGGAGGTGCGCTGTTGTGAAATTTCAGAACTCTGGGACGGAGAAGATTCTGCTGACTTCTAGAGAAACTAGAAAAACAGGCCACCAACAGGTCATCGTGGAACGAAGCAGAATGGCTTGGGGACCCCTCCACAGCAACCTCGGAGGCCGGAGGACGAGAGAGCCTGGCTGTCAGAATTCTGAAGGAGAATATTTTCCACCTTGAAAATAGGGAGGAGGCAACAGGAGGGTGGAATAAAGATACTTTCAGACGTGCTCCGAGAGTTTGCCTCTCCTGGGCTTTAAGGAAGACACTGGCAGGCGTGCTCTCCCCAGATGAGGTGGTGAATCTGGAAAGGCAGGGCCAGAGGAGACAGGATTTTCCTCAGAAGAGGTGAAAAGAATCCGCTGGATGAGCTGGAGAGGCGAGGATGCCAGCCGGGCCTGGAGCCTGGAGAGCCGGCACCCCGCACCCCAGGCCACCCAGAGGCTCCTCGGAGAGAGGACGTCTGCGGGCAGATGACATCCACCCGATGCCCGAACATCTGGAGAGGAGATTTAGACAGTTGGCGGAGTTGGGACTGGATTAGCGCTAAGTACGTAGCAAACAAAGCAAATGAGAGCACAAGACTGTTATTAGTTGCAGGGAAAATAAACCGTTGTGCGGGAAAAGAAAAATAATGATGGTGCGCTCAAGGCTAGGCTGTGAGTAGCCTTTGCAGAATGCTAATAATTGATGGAAACATCGAATATTGCTCTAATTGCAATGATGCCAGGCCTGTCTGGGGGAGGCGAGGGGATGGGCAGGGCGTGGCGCTGGAACAGGTCGAGGGGACGGAGGGGCGGCTCCGTCTCCACCTGCCGGCGTGGGAGGTGGGCAGACGATGCCCACAGAGGTGGATGCTTAGAGGAAAGAAGTCAACGCCGCGGGACTCAGCCAAAAGAATGCAGGAGAGGGGTGGAGGTGGGCAATGGGAGGGGGCCGGCTGCTGTGTTCTGTAGCAACTCCTGAGAGCGGTTTAATCTTCGACGTGTGCCCGTCACGTCGCTCAAGATGAAGGCGAAGCCGCAGGACGCGTCCGACTCTGGAAGAGAGCCCGAGCTCGCCTGTCTTGTGCCGGGCCATGGCTTGCCGGGCCCTTTTCTGGGCGGGGCGAGTTTCCCTGTTGTTTCCTCTCGTTATTGTCCTTGTTCTCTGTATCCTGTCTCCGGGCTGTGGCCACACCGTGGTCAGAGATCTGGCGCTTTGTTTAGCTTCCTTTTTTTTTTTTGCTTTTAGCTTGTTCAAAAAGGGTTTTGAAACGTGTCTAAAAGTAGAGAGAAGACTATTGGGAACTTCCTCACCTGGCCCCTGGTTTCAGAGATTATGAAATCGGGGTCTCTCCTGTTTATCTGGGTTTGGTTAGCATAAGGACTCTGTGTTGAGGTCCTACTGTGTGCCGGGCACTGGTCTGAGCCCTGAGGCTGTAGCTGTGACCAACGGGCCGGGACCGCCCTCTAAAGTGTGTATTCTGTGCCGAGAGACAGTGAGCAGATAGCCAGTGACTGGTGGTTTTGGGGGTGGTGACAAATGCCCTGGGAGAGAGCAGGCCTGGGGGGTGGGGAGTGCAGTGGTCAGGGACGCCCTCCCTGGTGAGCTCTGAGGACAGAAAAGGGGGAAGGGCGGGGTGGAGCCTCGGGATGCCCGCGTAGGCCCGTGAAGGCAGGCCAGCCTGGGAGCCTGGTCAGTGTGGCCGATGAGCAGC